AAAAATCCTATAAACAATCACGATTGTCACGTTACCAACGACACGACGCTTCGCTGGAGTAAGATCTTTTTACTCTTGACCTACCCAGTATTTTAAAGACTTGCCTACATGCTCGTCTCTTAAAAGTACTTTTAATTTGACCTGTCTTTAATATATTGCCAATTTGGTTTTCTTTTATAGAAGAGGGGACAAACGAGCATGCGGCTCACCTGATGGTAAGTGACTACCGCCGCCCATGATCAACCGCAACACCAGGGGATTTGCAGTTGCGTTGCCGGCACTTTTGAAAGGAGTAAGCTCTTTTCTTGAAGGTCCCCAGGTCGTATCGGTAAGGTTGAAAAATCGCCGGTGGTAAACTATTTTACAGAGAGGTCGTACGCGGAAGAAAACTCCTCGTGAAACGTACAGTGGTGGACCGCCAAGCATCCAGATGATGTGGATGCTATCGGGACGATTGCCGCGTAGTGCGTGTTGATTAAGTTCCGTCTTGGGCGTCCGTTGCTTACTCTACCATTCAGTGCTGCAACATTAAATTGTTTTGTCAGTTTATTTTTATTCATTCATTCTACATGCCTAAGCCACTAAAACATTTATTTCATAATCCCGTTCACGATATCATCTTGCAAATCACACTTTTCTCTTATCACAAAATTTTCTCAAAATAATTCTAGTTATTCAATATTCCCTATATTCACTATATTCCCTCTTTCACAACTTTGAACAGAAAGACAAGATCACCCCTTGGACTTAAATGACCGTGAGTTGATTAATCAATTCCAAATATTAAAAATAGATAAAATATAAAGAACGTAGAAGCAAGGTCAATCGAGTGCTTTACTGGAAAATATTTTAAAGTGGATAGCAGTTTTATAGCATAATTAAAATTCTATTCAAGTACACAATCACAAATATCGAGATGTAAACACGACTGTGACAGTTTTATTCGGAAGATAAGTAGGAAGTGCAAGGTTTATGTAACCAAATTAAATTAACATATCATTTTGGAAATCTGTATATGAGGTCTTTGATGATTAATTAACTTATAAAAATTTACATTTAGATTACACTAGATTGCGACTCATAAATCGGTAGGTAAATACGGTAATGACTGCCATCTCATCATTCATATATTTTGCGTGTGGTGATTAGTTAAAATTTGAAAACATAAACTATATACAGATTTGTTAAAACCTATCTTGTCAGTGTCGAGCACAGGGGTAGAGTAGCCAGACTCTCGGTATCTTCTTAGTATACATTTCGGAGAGTGTATGCAGGAATTACATGATTTAATTCCTCTCTCCTCTTTACACTACACCAAATTTTTGTATAGATATTGTAGTTTGTGGTATTTCGTTGGTATCTTAGATACATTTCGGAGAGTGTATGCAGGAATTACATGATTTAATTCCTCTCTCCTCTTTACACTAATAAACCACCAATCCAATAAACGTTCGGTGCGTCGTCATCAACACCCTTGTTGTCGATGTTCCACGCATTTGAACTTGTAATGGGTTTGAATGGCAGAGTAGCCAGACTCTCGGTACCTTTTTAGTATACATTTCAGAGAGTTTATGCAGGAATTACATGATTTAATTCCTCTCTCCTCTTTACACTCATAAACCACCAATCCCAGAAACGCTCAGTGAGTCTTCATCAACACCTTTATTGTCGATGTTCCACGCATACGAACTTCTAATGCGTATAGCAAAGGAATAACTTGCTAGCGACTGCCTTACCGTCAGATTACTATCAAACAGTATATAATCACTACGTTTTAATAACAAAGTAAATGCCTTAAATTTTTACCATCTATGGCTCATTACGTCTTGTGCTCAACCTTCACCACAATCACACTAGGTGTATTGTAGATAAACAATGGAACTAAGTAAAAATATATATAGTAAAATAAAAATAGGTAAACATAAAATATATCAAGAATTTTAAATTAATTAAGTGTTAAACTTTAACATATTATTACGTAAAAATTTGTAAGGGCAGGGAAATAATATTTATTATTATTTGAATAAATAACATTACATAGAACCACTACATCTCTTAGGTGTGCTAAAATTTAACAATTCAATATTAACTATAAATATAAAGGTCGTTTAGGAACAAAGGTAAATATAATGACGTATGACTTATTTCTGTTTTTCTGGCGTTTGCGTCGTCGGTTCATTGGCACGACAAAAGCGGAATGTGATGGCTGTTTGGCAAGTTCACAGTCAGTCACGCTGGTTACGTTTGATAGATGGAACCTTGAACTTTCAGTGGGTGTTTTCGTTTTTTTAAGATTCTTTGTATAATAATTTTTTAATAATAAAAAGTATAAAACAAGGGCCGTAGTGGCTACGCCTTGCCGTGCTCAAAGTACGCGAGCAACACGGGTTCGATCCCCATCGCAACCAATGAAATTATTAATTGCTTTTTTAAGTGTTTGTTACATACTCAGCGCCACAGTGGTGAATGAAAACGCGACTAAAGAATATAAGGAAAGTGTAACGTCTAAGTAACGTTAATAGCACATAGGACTCATATTCTGCCTAGCAGTCCGTCTGGTTAGGTGCCACCCACTCGCTTATTTCTGCTGCCAAATAGCAGTGTTTACACAGCTGCCCGTGTTCAAGTGTAAAACGTATAGAGATCAAAATATTACGTTAATAGCACATAGGACTCATATTATACCTAGCAGTCGTCTGGTTAGGTGCTACCCACTCGCTTATTTCTGCTGACAAATAGCAGTGTTTACACAGCTGCCCGTATTCAAGTGTAAAACGTATAGAGATCAAAATATTACGTTAATAGCACATAGGACTCATATTATACCTAGCAGTCCGTCTGGTTAGGTGCCACCAACTCGCTTATTTCTGCTGCCAAATAGCAGTGTTTACACAGCTGCTCGTGTTAAAGTGTAAAACGTATAGAGATCAAAATATTACGTTAATAGCACATAGGACTCATATTATACCTAGCAGTCCGTCTGGTTAGGTGCCACCCACTCGCTTATTTCTGCTGCCAAATAGCAGTGTTTACACAGCTGCCCGTGTTCAACTGTAAAACGTATAGAGATCGAAATATTACGTTAATAGCACATAGGACTCATTCTGCCTAGCAGTCCGTCTGGTAAGGTGCCACCCACTCGCTTATTTCTGCTGCCAAATAGCAGTGTTCACACAGCTGCCTGTGTTCAAGTGTAGAACGTATAGAGATCCAAATATTATGTTAATAGTACATAGGACTCATTCTGCCTAGCAGTCCGTCTGGTTAGGTGCCACCCACTCGCTTATTTCTACTGCCAAATAGCAGTGTTTACACAGCTGCCTGTGTTCAAGAGTAAAACGTATAGAGATCGAAATATTACGTTAATAGCACATAGGACTCATATTATGCCTAGCAGTCCGTCTGGTTAGGTGCCACCCACTCGCTTATTTCTACTGTCAAATAGCAGTGTTTACACAGCTGCCCGTGTTCAAGTGTAAAACGTATCCAACGTAACGAGATTCAGTATAATTACAGACTGAAAGGCATTCCAGTCTTCAGAAATAGCCTTCTTTGTTAGAAGTTGTTCTCAGGTGTCCATAAAACATCATATTAAAAAAACTTGAGACTTGTACGTGCGGGGAATAAAATTATTGAATCTAATAAAATATGTGAAGCCCGTCAACACCCACTGAGGCTGCATAGTTAAAAAGTTATAAATAATAGGAGTTAAAAAAACTTCCATCTCAAAAATTTCCATTTGTCTATTCCCAGCAGTGTTTTGACTTCTTCGTTGGTCTATTGGTTGTAAGCTCGACTTCTGATCACGTGGTTTCGAGTTGGAATCCCGGCTAGGGCAAACATCAGTTAATAATCGGGGTTAAAGTAATTGATCCTGCACCTAATCTCTCTCCGGTCGTGTCGGCTTACTACTTGTCGTATTTGATTATTTTGTCACCATCTTTGTAAAAAAAAAACCTAGTTATTTTTTATATGTCGACAAGCATTATTATACTGACCATTATAAATACCACGTATAATATAAAATTTTATGCGTGGTAGAGCCACGCTGCAGATATATTATAGTTAAAGCGCGAATGGGTTGGCTCGACCGGGGAAGGACCGCGCTCACAGAATACAAAAAAATAGCATGCGAAAACTAGCAGCTTAATACCGCTGTGTTTCGTATGATGAGTGTAGAGATCCGGAGACCCTTTTATACTGGAAACGAGACATTCCATCTTAGTCCTCTGGGGTGACAACGCATCTGCGTTTTAATTCTTAATCGAGGATAAGTGTAGATGACTATGGACTCTACCACAGAGTCAAAAAGGTTAATTTTTTTTTAAATCACGCGGCGGCTTTTGCTTAAAGAATTTCCGGAAATTAATGCCTGGACGTGCACCATAATTTTAAAACTAATCAGTTCTAAAGAAAACACTCCGTATAAAAATAGAAATATTTGTCCGCAATTTGCTTTGTACACTCTAATTCCACGAGTTGATGAGACATCTGCGTAAATAATAAGTACCTCTAAAGAAAGCACAATAAAAAATATTTTTATATAGTGGCGTATACAAAATTTACTTAATGTTTTTTGTTTCTTAAACTTAAATATGCGTAGGATGTTTTTCTGATGAAGATGCTTTGAAATTATTTTGTTTGAGTAATCACACATTACATGAATAAAAAATAAATTAAAAATAGTAACATGTCAACTATTACTGGGCACTATTAACAAGTAATAGGAAAAAATGGTTTTATTGCTAAAAACCTTAGAACTTAAATTAAGAAAAAAGGAATAGACTTCGTCTACAAGCTTAGCTTAATATGTTTTAAATGGCTTACGGTATGATCCTCTTCAGATTTAGCACCCATCTTCCAAACATCCTGTATAATATACATTTGTACCATTATAAATTATTTGCGTAATTATTTGTTGTATCTGGGATCCCAAACGATGTCCATCTCAGAAATCCAAACTATTATTACTTTGGTATGACAATTATTTTATTTTCCAGGACAAACGACTCATCAGGCTTGATTCGGAGTATCAGCAATGCTTCCGCCCTCACTTCTCTATGCGCTGATCTGTCACCATCCGACTCACATTTCTTTGAGGTATAGATGGTGTTGACTTTTTTTACATTATTCACATTTGTTTAGATCTTTTTTAATCATTATTCACATTTATTTTAGATAAAGTCTATGTCCACTATTTTCACCAAATATAATTGTTTTTTTAATTATTACTTACATTTTATCACTTTTTTATTTTGTCGGTGCCAACTTTTTTACATTATTTATTCCAATTTATTTTTTAATTTCTAAAGTAATTGTAAGGTAATGAACAAGATAAGTTAAGAGTATTAATTACATCTTATTAGGCTGTAGGTGTTTTACACAACACCGCAACTACTAAATAATAATAAAAAAAAACTGCGCTAACCCGTCTGCCAAGCGTGGTGATATTGGAAAATTTTCCTCCTATGAGGAAACGTGCCATAACTCAGGGAGAGCTTGAATTAAAAATAAATCTGAATCTATTTATATTCGGAATGTTTTTTCATAAAAATACGCTATCTGTCACGTACTCATATCATATGAGAATAAAATAAATCAGACGAATATATTTTTATCTCGCGTTTTTAGTTTTTATTTTAAATTGTCTATGTGTATAATAAGGAGTCCGAGCTTCATTTATCATTTGAAAAAAAAAATGTCTGGAATGACACCCATTACTGCATTATCTTCATCCAAATCGTTAGAGCCGTTTTCGAGAGACGAATAACATATTATAAACATAAATACAAAAATTGTCACTTAAATATGTATCTGAATCCGATGAGAGCCGACTTACGAGTACACATTGTAGTGCGTAAGTACAGCGCGATCGTATGAAACTTTGTTTCTCCTCCCCTAATATCTACGTCCTTCAAGCTGAAATCCGATATCCTAAATTTTGCTATGTCCAGAATGGTGACAATTAGTGACTTAAGAAAAAAAGTTACTTTGAAAGATATAACCTGATTTTTTGAGAGAATTCTGGTATGAATTCAAGCTTCTAATATACCACGTCTTATCTAGAAGCAAATAATCCTGAAAAAAAAATCTTCTGTTTTCAGGTACTATACATAGGCAAGGTTAGGATTTCACAAAGAAGGGTTCCAGAGAGCCTGATAGACGATGCACTTCATAAGTTCTCTCAGCACGAGGCTGAGAAGCTCAAGAATCAGAGGCGGCACAGCCTTATATCTTCTACTGCGGTAAGTTTGTTCATATGATCGTAAAGATTATCGTGTAAAATAAGAAATCAATAAATATATATACAAATAAAAAAGAAGTGCCTCTTTAGGCTTGAACAATTTTATTTATGTAAGTCAGGATAAGGATAAAGAACGAAAAGTTAATACGGGGTTGATTGAAAGGCCTCTTTAATGCTAAATGTGTCAAAAAGGCATACAAAATGTTGAGTTAGTCACTATCTTAATGTATTGTAATAGAAGAAGCCTATAAGAGTAAAATTAATGCTTTTTAAATGCCGGTTATTAAGAAATATATAGATATTTCTTGATAGGAATATGATGGCGGAGAAATTACGCGAGTGCGTAGATATATTTACGTGAAATAAGCGACACGCTATAGATACCTTGATAATATTATGTACAACACTTTTGTAACATACTTCAGTTATCATCGACCATTGGCACAGTAATACCGTCAGAGGCAACATTGAATACAACTATTACACAAGTCACTGATTAAAATAATTGAGTTGTCTCAATTAAAAAAAAAACTATTGAATTTTTAATTTTTGTATTTAATGAATATAAATGTTTATTAGATAAACAGCAATTATTTTCTTGAAAAAAATCTTAATATTTTATTTTTCATTATACCATATTTATTTATTACTAAACTATCCTTTTATACATATCACCCGCAAAAAAAAAATAATTTCGATGTTTCATATCTGGCGGGTGTACTGTGACGGCTCACAATTTTTCTTACTGGGTTTATCTTATAATAACATGCGTCATGCATGTTATTTTAAGTCAATGGATACAGGTTGCTTAGAACTGTGTTTTGTTGCGAAAGACCAACATCCGTTGAGTTGTATCGTAGTAATTGTAGGGTTTAAATGATAATGATGATGAACTATTGTCTTAATATGAATTTAACGGAAAATAGAAAATAAACATAAATTTAATATTTTCGTGTGAATAATCTTTTTTTTATAAAGTTAAAGTGACAAACGAACCTAAAGTTCATCTGATGGTAAGTGGTTACTGCAGGCCGTTGCCACCTGCAGCTACCACCTGCAATTTCAAATAAAGAAAGCTACAGATTCATTGTCATCTCTGAGGTCTGTAAATGCCTGTAATTCACCTCTCTGTACTACTTAGCGTTAGCAATGTGTAACATGGTGTTACCATATGTACTTCTAGGCACAAGTGGAGTCCTAGTATCTAGTACAATCTGAGTCATAAGTATCGGAAGTCATTTAAATTTTACTACGAGTTACATTTTTGCACTATAATAAGTATCAACAAAATTCCAATACTAAATAACTTTATACTTAATATAATACACAAGCATATACTTTTTTATTTACAGAATTCTCTATACAGTACTAGCTCTACAGAAAACTTAAAAGATGACTCAAAGACTGAAACCATTAGTGACAATTTACACAACCGAAATAGTAATCTGGTCACAAGCACTACTCCTTTAGAACCAGATAAAAAACACGCTTGGAAAAGCGTTGAGAGTTTGCAACAAATTAAAAAGGACCATCAACTCAATAAAAGTGAAAACAATGAGATTGATAATGAATTCGATTTGTTCACAAAAGAGAGAGTTGAGAAAAATACTCAAATTCGTAAACCTTCTCAATTACCTCTAGAACCTTCTTCCCTAGTATTGAATTTACCAACAAATTTGGGTACAGTAAAGGAAGACGAGGAAAAAGCTGACGATATTCATTCAGTAATCTCGGAAACCGCATCATCTATAACACAATTTTGTCGATCAAATTTTTTTGACGATGCAGAGAAATCTGATTTAACCGCTAATACAATTAGAGATAATAATCCCTTCCACAAAGAACTCATTGAAGCACCTGGTGATACAAATAAAATAGATGAGAAAGATTCTTTACTCAATATTCCAACACAAACTGGTTTAACCGAGAAGGAAATTGAAGTACAAACAAAGCCAGAGTCGAAGGCTGAAACAGAAAATAATTCATATTTAAATAATTCTGAGAACAAAGAAACCCTCCAAAAATCCTCTTTAGAACTTACACTAAATAGAAATGGTGAAAGTAACAAGAAAATCGTAATGCCCGAGAATAAGCCATTTTTAAGAGACAGGTCTGCTTCCATAGGGACGTTAAATTTGAAGACTCCTCTTGCACACTTAATTGGTGAACAAAACAGGACCATGCTATTTCAGGTAACACTTTTTTGTATCATAAAACTCAGCAAAACCTCACATCTTATTTAATAAACTGCTTTCACCCAGGTTATTTTTAGCCTAAAATAGGATTTTGCAAATATGTGTAAAATAACGATTACAGTCAATAAGCGAATCCAAAGCTACATATATCGTGGAATAATAATTCGTTATCATATCAGGTTGGTCGGTCAGAGCTTCGCCTCATCAGTCCCGACAGGAAGCAAATCCTCCTCCACAGAGCGTTTAAGGACGTTGCCAGCTGTGTACTGGGTAGAAGCAACAAGGATCATTTTGGGTTCGTGTGTCGCGAGACCAACGAGACTTACGCCTGCTATGTGTTTAAATGCGAGAGTGACTCTGTCGCCACTGAAGTTGTCAATGGTGTGTATGTGTTTTACGTATTTCATTTCCGATTTCATAATAAATTACCAAAAATTCAACTAAGGACAACCCTCGAAAATACATTTAAGGAAATAGTTAGTGGAATAGGTTTATTATATATATATATATATATATATATATATATATATATATAATTTTTCTGTATATGTGTTTGTCAATGAAATCCACCTAAATGGTTGGATCTATTTTGATAAAATTCACAATTGGATCTAGTAGGTTGCACTGTTGGCGAGATTCAGAAATCACGTGCAAAGACAGGGCAGATCGCTAGTAACAAAAACACATCGCAAATGTTGCGTAAGCTTACGTGGCCTTGATGTCAGTTTAAACATTATTTCGTAATAAATATGTATGAAAACATATAAAACTACTAGCAAATATTTAAGATTATTTATATTTTTCCGTTAATTACAAAATAGCTTACAACAAAAACAAACTTTAGGTATAGTCTCAGGGTTAAACTAAAATCTGTTTTACGAAATAAGTTTCGCAGAGATATGTGAACTAAACTTTAAATTGTATGAAATTTGACGGTAAATGTGAAATTTTGCAAAGACTGTGATCACCGCAGCTTCTTGACATCGAAAAGACTTCTCTAGTTGGAAAGATTCTTTTTCAACTCTTAGTTAAAACCATAATGTAAACTAGAGATTATAAATAAACCATAAACAATTAGTTTAAAACTGATTATAAATTACAGTACTATTTAGAAGAGAGAAAATTTTGTACAAAAATTGTTTTGCCTATTAGCTGCTTTTTCGATTTAAAGAGAAGTTCATTTTTTGCTTAAATGCATAGCAGAACGAGCGAACTTACGCAGTCAACCATACTGCCTTGGCTACTGGTATTTATTGACTATTTTATGCCGCATTAAATATAGTTAAATGAGACAGGTAAATTCACTACTAACCACCTTTTTTGTCAAAAAGCATTATACTGCTATTTAACGCTGGTACTTTGTGCAATTATAGACCTTTCTAAATTGAGTCGACTGTCATGCTGCAGCCATAGTACGCTGCAGTGTGACTTTACCACGATATAATTATTAATTTATATGAATTATTACTAATTAATAAGTTACAACTGGTATTGTATTTTATCAACTCATGAGCTCATGACGTATTATTTAGTACGCCATAACATAAAAGTAGATAAATGTAACAATAATTTCCGATGAAAGAAGCACAAAAGTCAATTGGCAATCTACGTTCATAATTATCTTCAAGTGCATCGTATTCGTTTCAATAAAGATCTAAGTTTGATGCGCACAACAATTTTTTATTTCGTTTTGTTTTATTAAACAATTAATATCATACAATCGCGGTGACTTTGTGACCTGCTGTCTCATTAGCTGTCTAATTTATGACTTTAGGGTTCAATAACGCACGTGTGACAAACTAAAGTATTTTTATATTGTTTATGTTATTTTTATTTTTTTCCGGTGAAATTACATAAATTATAAAAATTGTAAATGCTGTTGTAAATAAAAATTCGAAAGGATTGAGTGTAGTTGGTTAAATATGGCAACGATTTTGTACAACCGACGACAGCAAATTAAAGGTACCTACATACTATATATATAACCCTTTCAGACTTAAGCGAATATATAACGTTTTCTTTTAGGTTTCCCAAAATACATGACTTATAATTTTACAATTTTTTTAATAAAACTATAATTAATGATTTAAGTGGCATAACTGCGCTTAATTAAATATTATTACTACGTTATAAAATAAAGCTGTCATTTACGAGTATATTATTTAGCACAACATTTATTTCACACACGAAATTGGTCTTTTCCCTTTTAACTACTGTTCTTATAATGATAAAAGGCTTACAATTTTCATGTGTAGATCCCGTAAGCCACCGTTGACACTAGGGCAATCACCGTAAGGTTTAAGTTTGGCAAGAATCCGACATAACCTGCCTGATTAACCTAGAAGAGGAAGCTATGTACGAGAATTTTCCCATGTAAAAAATGTACATCTATTATAAATTTATAAAGAGATAAGAACCTGAATTTTGATATGTTCAAATCTTAAGAATGTGGAATATTAACCCCATCATTCAAATTAACGTATATAAGGAGAGACAGATCGTTTCACTTTTTTTGTTTCAGCAATAAAACAAGCGTTCATTGCGCATGCGGAGTTATTGAAAAAGTCCAGGGAGAAGTCGCCCAACATGACATGTGAGCATTGTCCAATGCTCTGGTACCACCGGCTGTGTCACGATATCGAAGGTAACTTAACAAAAACTTAGAAAATGCTCAAATTATTTATAAAGTTAATTTTTAACTGAAGGTAGCCGTAGTTAACATGATATTGGGACGTCGAATACCTCACCCCCCATACCGTGATAAGTACTGTAAAGTATTCGAAAAGTTGGAAATTTATAATAAGTGAATATACGCGATAAAATCCGTAACACTTAGTTTCATTTACATGTGTAGGGAAATATCATAAAAAATCAGTTTTTGTAAATATACCAGAATTGTGATTAAATTAAGCTGTAAGTTGTCATCCCGACAAGAATTTTCAACTAAGTTAACGAAAATGTTGACAGTGTTGCAAAAATATGATTCCTAAAAAAGAAGATATTTAATAATGAGGTGCCAGCCAAGATGACATATTACGATCATTTACGCTACAGGGAAACTTTAAAAATAAATGGTAATGACGTATCTGAAAGTTAACGGTGAAGGTTACGTAGACTTAGCAGCTACTTTTTTCTCTTCGTCAACCTTATTTAATCCACTATCAGGTTTTTGCCTTCAGAAAAATGCGGCAAATAACATATATGGCTTAAATGCCAACAATAATTGGAACCTTAAACACGCTATCGAAGTTTTCGAGTGACTGCTATTTATACAGAAGTTCCATTACTACAATAGCAGCTTAATACTGCTGTATTTTATATGATGAGTGTAGAGAACCGGAGACCCTTTTTACTGCATACGAGGCATTTTTTCTTAGTCCTCAGATGTGACAACGCGTCTGCATATTGATTCTTAATCGAGGATAAATTTAGATGTCTATGGGCCTACAGAGTCCCACTGCGTTGACTGCTCGCCAAGCTAAGCAGGTTGCTTGACGGCAGATCTCCACTTTTCTCGTTCAGACCAACAAAAACAAGCGCTGCTGTCAAGTGATGCTGAAACCAAGCCATACTCAAATTATTTTTTGAATACACACTCACGCACCCTTATGAATGAATCTTTTATCATTTGCAAACTAGAACATGGTTTTAGATGTATAATGTATATACGTGCGTCCAGCAGTGAATTCTCGAGTGGCATCCTCGTACCGTTAGGCGAAGTAAAGGACGACCAATTACTAAATGGAGTGACGATCTAGTAAGACATGTGGGAAGTCGATGGATGCAGGTGGCTCAGAGCCGTGCTTTCTGGCATTCCTTGGGAGAGGCCTATGTTCAGTAGTGGATTTGTGAAGGGCTGTAATGATGATGATGAAGTGAGAATAGTTTAGGGTGTAACTTGTTTTATAAAATATCCCTCTTTTACGGTTTACACCACCCCTACTAGAAATTTTTATGTTGTCTTTATGCAACAATCTCATAGACTTAGGATCATTATAGTCTAAACGTTCCTGCCTTTGTTCGCGCACCATTCGTGGTACTAAAATATCTCATCTAACATCATAACCATCTTCGAAGTTAAATGGGCTGAAGCTATTAGGCACACCTACTGACGGATTAGACACGTCCACGAAATATTACAATTTCTCAGATATGCAAGTTTATACCCAATTTCCTTTACCACTGGGCTCATTTTAATCGGCGTATTCAAGTATAATTAAAGCCTGCGGGTATCAAAGTGGGGTTGCTATGAAATTTAAGATGAAAGAACTTTCTAGAATTTTTAATACTAGAAAGTTCTTTCATCATAATAATTAATAATAGCAGTATGGTACGTATTATATGTGGTACAGCCACGCTGCAGCTATATTATGGCTGCACCATAAATGAGTCGATTCGACAAGTAAAATACGACGCTATCACAGAACACCGGCGTAAAATGGTAACATGGTGTTGTGTTTCGTGTGGCGAGTGTACATACTACATACCCAGAAACCCTTTTAACTTGTAATGAATCATTCTCATCATAGTCCTCAGGAATGACATCGAATCTGCATTTAGATTTAATCGATGATAGAGGTAGATGGGCTATGGATTACATTATTTACTCAACGCTAGGTGAAGTGTGCCCGTTTTTCAACCTTATTATTATAAAAAAAGTAAAATCTAGAGCAGAGGAATAAAGTTGAATTTGTCTTACCACAGGTATGAACGAGAAGAAAACTCACGCGTTCATCCTGCGTCGCATCGAGCAGCTGCCTGAAGATGAGCAGGATCTCGTCGTCACAAAGTACCAAGGCGGTAGTAACCACATTTTTGAGGTAGGATTCCATGTTTGACGACTCAATAGCGCTGTGTCTAAACATTTGACAGCACTGCCTCGATTTGAATACACTGGTACACTGATTTGGATGATAAACAAATAATTATGTCGTATCTAGTATAATTGAAAGTCTTTAACGCCGCCACCATAAATTTTATATAAATAATTATAATTAATTCTACGCTTAAAGTAAATAAAACTGTAAATTCATTTTAAAGTTCATGTTTCGTGAATATTCGGATGAATAATAACAAATTATGGAAGGACGCCGATAGTAAATTTAAGTATTTGAAAAAAATTAATATATGTATATAAATTTATGTATTATATATACAGATGGAGCTAAAAAAGTTTTCCATCAGTCGTGTAATCATAAGCACACTGGTTTCTTTTCTATATAAAAACGTACTCCTAGGCAGAAAATAAGCTCAACCATCGAGTGAATGTAAATGTGTAGATTTATGAATCGTATGGTTTGTTTTAACTTTACGGTTTCGAAAAGGTGTGTTGACAATTGCTCGCGCCATCCGTGGCCAGGACCAATTTGCTAAGTAATTCACCTCTAGTCCGAACAATCCTCGTAGTGAACAAAGTTCACGGGATGATGACATAGTTTCGAGTAATCTGAGAGAAATCACTAATATATAAATAAATAAAATAATCTACAATAGTCTAGAAACTAGTTGCTTAAGTTATGACTGAAGAATCAGAAACACTAAACGTTCAGAAAGAATGTAAGAATTTCTATTAAATATGCAATAATATCAGAAAGAATAAATGAGAAAAGTGCAACAAAACAAAAATACCCTAAATGGAAGTATATAGATCAAATTAGCGATATATTAAAGATGGGCCAAATAAAAGTACCCTCAACCGACGAGCATGTATGCGTAGATATATGGATTTGAAGGAAGCAAAGGGGAAACGTGTCAGGATCATGCTAAATCGAAGTTCGTAGTCTCAACCAACCCCCCTAGGTAACCGACGTAAGAGTTTATATAATGTTTAACTTCCAAGCAATTTAATTACCTTTATTTCTAATAACTTTTTAGACCCTGAGCTTAATCAACTTCTCTTGTCTACAGGTTGGCGAGCACAATGCATTCCTGATGATGCTTCTTCGTGCCCATTGTGAATCGAAGCAGCAAAGGCATGTTCACGATACAGCTGAGAACCGGTAAATATTAGCAATAATATCAAGGTCACCTTAATCAAACCTTAGAATTCTATTTCTGGATTTGGATCTCTGCCAATTTACAACAATGTGCCGTAACCGTCACGCTAGATGAATTGCCACTGTGTATCAGGCTAATAATTTTGACACAACTCCTAGTTGAGGTCTTACGTCACCGTAGAAGGGGGGAAAAGTACCTGCGGCTCACCTGATGATAAGTGACTACCGCCGCACATGAAAAACATACATATTGCTACACCAGGGAAATTGCAGTTGCGTTTCCGGCCTATATGTTTATAAACACATGCATGGCTATTTGCTAACTTCTGTTACTGCTTATCAAAGTCCAGTGATAAATATAGGCCCCCTTCATTAATTACCTCATAGGGGGGGGGGGAATATTTGCCATAGTTGTACATACACTTAGCAGGTGGGTTAGCAAATGCAGTTTTTTAACTTCCCAGTGGGAAGTTATTTCAATGGGTCCGATTTTGCAAATTGTAAATTTTAACATATCCCCAAGTTTCAAGGTCATTAGAGTCGATTAGTATGGTTTTTAAGAGGATGTCCGTGTGTGCACATGTACGTATGTATGTATGTTCGGATTCAATTTTCGCCTCGTGTATCTCGAGAACCAAGAGTGATACTGACTTAGAACCAGTTTCATTTAACGTATACTCGTAATTATGTAACTTACACCTCGTAAAATTTTAAGCAAAATCGGTCAAATACGTTTTTTGTGCTGATTGAAAAATTGTGTAAAATATTAAAATATATGATATTTTTTATTCTTTCCACTGCGAAGTTAGTCGTGTGTCGTATCGGGTCGCACCTAGACCGCTTTTTATTTTTTAGTTGCTATCGGGAAGACGCTGCTGCCCATATCCTGGTTTGTTACCTTTTGTCGCCTCTTACGGCATCTATGGGACGATATGATACCTGTTGTAGTTGATTCTTGTTGATGATTGTTGACCGAAAAACGGTCACGACGGTCAGTTACATCTGCGCAGGATAGGATTACACATGGGATAGTGGATATTCTTACACCACCACCACACAGTGTAACTTCTTTTACATTTAAATTATTGTCACATTGTATTTGGTCATGTAGAAAGAATGAATGAGGAAAGAGTGACAAAGCAAATTTATATGGCAGATGTGAACGGCCGAGTCGGGAAGGGACGCCCTAGAAAAAAGTTTATCGACCAAATTGGCGATATTTTGAAAATGGGCCACTTTAGAAGTACCCTTAACCGACGAGCATGTATGCGTAGATATATGGATGTAAAGGAGGTGAAAGAGGTATGTCAGGATCGTGCCAAAAGTAATTCCGTAGTCTCTGCCTATCTCTCTGGGTGACAGGCGTGAGTGTTTATGTTATGTTTTTTTTATGTCACATTGTAGTACCTCTCGTTTCCAGTAGTAAGGGTTACCGGTTCAATTACCATACGAAACAGCATTAAGTTTATATTTCACGTTGGTATTCTTTTAGATGCGCACTCCTGCGGCGGTCGAGCCGACCCATTCGCGATACAACTATAATATAGCTGCATCGTGGTAGCCAAATCCGGTCATCAATCCGTTTATCACTTGACGATTAAAGTAACTCAGCTCATATTCTAATTTTGCCCTCAATTCCCCGCGCTTCGTATGCTATGTACTGACATTTTTGTAATCACTATTGCTGTAAATAGATAGGTCGATAGATACTTATTTCATTAGATTTATCATATTTATACCTATTTATTTACGCCATCCCTGTCGCTTCTTATTTTTATTACGGTTATTTCCCTTTTTTTACGTCCTATGGTTTCTAGCGACACAGCTTTCCCGTTCAAAAGCCGAAGCAAAACTAATTGGGCGGCAGGAACAGGAAACAAGCTTAAAGACGCCGATAGTTTAAATTTCTTTTTACAGTGAAAATAATGGTAATTTAAAAAAAGGCCTGCCTTATAGTTATTTCAGTTAGTATACAAAGTTTCATGATCTAAATTGAAGTATGATATACTAGCGGTTTATTGTTCAGTTTGGAGGTAATTTTGGATTCTGTCGTGAAAATTTTACGGAATCTTGTTTTCGTCTAACATAGTACTTAATCTTCAACTTTACCATACGTTTATTTCAAAATTAATGCTGCAATATTTTCGGCATGACGGAGGATCTTGCTAAGCCATTTGAGGTAGTATTTTTACTACTTCCCCGTAAGACAACGAATATGGAAGAGCTCCCATGAGTGCTGTGAATCACCTGCAACGCCGGAAAGGAAAAAATAAATTAAATTAAATGCAACAAAATCCTTAAAATTAGTTTAATTCAATGTCGGGTATTCAAATCATTACTGAAGAGGCCCATGTGTAGCAACTTGTACAGGCTGATGAGATAGAATAAGAAGTACACGGTGGTGCAGATATTTTGTTTTAATTTTGTTACAGGTCAGAGTTCCTTAACCAGTATTTGGGTGGCAGCACGATATTCATGAAGGCAAAACGCTCGCTCTCGAGCAGCTTCGATCATTTGCTAAAGAGAAAAGTTAGCAGAGATGAAATGGTTGCACAGCAGGGTAAGAAGGTAAGCGATATGGATTTGTTGTAATTAAAAACCCCATCCCAACAATAATTGAAAATTAAAAATTTCAAAATAATGTAGGGATGTGGCATCGATTTGCTTTTTCTATCGCATCTACCACGGGGTGTGTTCTGAGGAATTATTCGGATCAGTTCCAGCCGCCTTTCATGAACGCACATCGCGTCAAATTTACGATATCATCCTCACCATCTGGATTTCCTTCCCTTTACAACTTCTCTGTGGAATAGTTTACCACCGGTGATCCTTCCGGATCAATACGACTTACGGACCTTCAAGAAATGAGCTTACTCCTTTCTAAAAGGTCGGCAACGCACCTGCAATTGCCTTGGTGTTGCAGCTGATCATGGGCGGCGGTAGTCACATACCATCAGGTGAGCCGTATGCTCGTTTGCCTCTTCTTCTATAAAAAAATGTGACACTTCTAATTCATTAGATCTTGCAATAAATTGCTGCATATGCACCTCACTTGTCGTAGTTCATCCATCTATCCATCGCAGTGTATAAAAATGCTGAACATAGACCTCCTTCGTAGACTGCCTCATACCCGGGGGAATTTCGTCATAGTTGCCGCGCATGGCAAGCGGGTTGCCAAGCGCAGTTTTTATAATTTAGAGTTGTTATCAGGAAGACGCTGCTTCCCATCTCCTGGCTTGGTTCCCTTTGTCGCCTCTTACGACATCCCTGGGACGATATGATACCTGATGTAGTTGATCCACCTTACTTCACCACACTTTACACGGATTGGCGATCGAGTCTATCGATTTATTGATATCTTGTAAAAATTATTATTGAGCGCTCATTATTCATGCCAACTTCTATCTGCAATCCATGAAGTAGTCAATATCGTTGACTTAAGTGTTAAAATTTGAAAAATAAATCCTTTGCTATATCTGCACAGGATAGGATTATAGTGCACTAGGCAAGACTATCAATTCCCTCACTCTTGTAGTTTATTGAACGACAATCCTACACGACCGGAGAGAGATCAGCCGCAGGACCATCAGCTTCAAGAAAAGAGCCTATTCCTTTTTAAAAGGCCGGCAACGCATTTGCAATCCCCCTGGTGTTGCAGATGTTCATGGGCGGCTATAATCAATTACCGTCAGGTGAGCCCTATGCTCGTTTGTCCCCTCTCCTATAAAAAAAGTTTTATGTGCTTTCCGAGACACGGGAGTGAAGTACCACCAAATAAAGTCAGAGAATAAAAGAAAATAGGTAGGTATAATCTGAAATGATGGGAACAATTTTTCGACATGTTTTGTTTAATGAAAATATATGTAAACAATAGGTAACCATTTGCATAAATATCATATAGGAACCACCACAAGTCCCCCCACCAGTGGTGATGGAAACATCATCGGAGCAGTCAGTGTCGGAGATGTTGCCGGAAATCACTCGCTCCAAATCCACGTCTCCAGCCGCGAATGCGGTCGAGAAAGGTAAATATTACGGTTTTGCGAAGCAAAATAATACCCATTTTATTAAATGGTATTGCCAGATACATTAATTTATCATACAATACGCGGTTAAGTCACACTGCAGCTATATTATGGTTGAAGCATGAATGGGTCGACTCGACTGGACCACTCTCTCACATAATACCAACGTAAAAGATTGGCTTGATGCTGTTGTGTTTCGTGTGATGAGTATAGAGAACCGGAAACTTTTTGACTGGAAACGACACATTCTATCTTAGTACTCAGGTGTGACAATACATCTGCATTTTGATTCTTAATAGAGATAAATAATAAAATTAAGATAAAATAAATATGTATGTATAGTCATATTTTTATCATATTGTTATCACCTGAATACTGGATGTATTTTACATTCATCAGATTACTTAGTCTTTTGAGGCGACTCCCCAACATCACATTTACACGAGAGGACTGGACTGCCACTGGAGAATCTTTCACGTTGGCTGCAGGTTGTTTCTACCTACCAAACTTGACTGAGTCACGTTCGGAAAATTTCGAACAAACAATTTATCCCTTGAGTGGAATTGACACATTGTCCTTCACTACTGGCCGTATGAGAAAATCGCTTAGTGAGCTTTATAGGGGACTAAAGAAGATATCAGAATTATATCGACACAGCCTAACACATCAGTAAACTGAAATGGCTTGGCCGTATAGTAGCAAGAATCGAATGTTCATTAATGTCGTACAGTGTTAGTACAGTACATACATACGCAAAAAAGTTTCTCTATCGCGTGTACATCAGTAATTTACGTTGGTTATTCAGATCAGCTCTATACTAAAGGCTTGTTCCTGTGTTTCATGCATCTTATTAATCCAGGTGTGATCCAGCTCTTTATGTCGCTTTGTCTACGACCTACTATAACCTACTGCGTGTTTGATGATTGATGGCGTATGTCATAACATCGTTAAATTTGTGTGAGGCGGTGTTAACATAATTATCGCTTGTTATTTCGTTCCAGTTCAGACTGTTAATATATAAGGCAACTGACTCCCAGTCTGTTTTACGTATCGTGCGTATTTTACTTTTATGCTGGTAGATTTGCAAAGGAATTTCAGCCAGAGATAAGTCATGATCTGTAATAGATGATTTGCATACGAGACCAGAGGATATTGTCTCAGATTTTATGAAGATGTGGTCAAGGCATGAGGCTCCTCTAGTTGGCTTTGATATCGCTGGATATAAACCATCAGATGCCATCAAGCATAAATAGTTGCCCACTTGTGCATTAATTGGATCGTTTATGTTAATATTAATATCGCCTGCAATTACGAGGGTTCGTTTGCATTGTATGTCAGAGAGTACAATGTCTAAAGAGGAAATAAATCGATCCGTATTTGAAAAGGAAGGGGTGTGGTAAATCGCTAAGACTATGAGGTCGTTATTTATATTTATGAGGAGACTATCAGCATCATCCAATTTTTGTGTTTGGGGTGCAATTTCACTATTCCATGAGTGTTTGACTTATACGACGATCCCACCGCTTTTGTTGATTTGTGATAAGCGTTTTGTAACCCTCCAGTGTTTCAATAATGATACCGTCATACAGCCAACATTCAGTCAATACAATAATATCGATATCCAGGTCTCTAAGCGTTTAAGAGCTAGTTTAAAATCGTCAAAATTACGTTGATAACTTCGTACATTGAATGTCAGAACTTTTAGACTTTTCTTATTATTATTAAGAATACTCTTGCATTTTTCCAAGGAGTCTTATGCTACGACTGTCTATAGCCTATATATATATATATATATATATATATATATATATATATATATATATATATATATATATATATGGAGAGTAACTAAATATGAGCTACCATTTTGTTTCGAGGTCATACATTAAAAACCATTTAAAAATCAAGTTTATATTAATGTTATAATATTCAGACATATATTTTAAAAGAGCAAAATAACAGTCTCATATTTTTATTACTAAACTATACTATCAAAATTGAGCATTAAACAAAAATGCAAAATTGGCACTTAATATGGAACAGGTACTCAAATATGGGCTATAATAACGTTATTATCTTTTAAGAAAATTATAAGCATAAATGCTTATCTAGATCAATAATTAGCTTTGGTAAGAGTAAGAAATGAATTATTTTAGTACCAAATGTCTCATAACCAACTATCAAATTCTGGCCCAGCACAGCCATTATGTGCCCAGAGCCCACACATCAAGAATTTAATCCAGAGTATCCTGAATTTTATGAAAAAAGTTGCTGTCAGAACATACATTATGCATCTTTAGAATCAGGAGCTCAGTAATCAGATTATGATATCTGGTTCAGAGTCTGAACCAAACTGGAAGACCTCTCCACCTTCACTGTCAGTCACTTCATCGTCACTAGTTGTTTTTTTTTCTTATTTCTACGGTTGTGTTTTCTCTACTTTGACTTTCTTATCTTTAGTTTTCCTTTCTTTTTCAATATTCTTCTATTTTTTTTAAACTAGGTCTCTTTTATGGGGTGACGAAGTTATAACAGAAGCCACAGCAGCTTTTCTACCCCTGTTAGATATCTTTCTGATTTTTTGGGTACAGGATTTATGCCATAAGGAGATACTAGGCCTAGGCTATTGCGATCCATTCTGGAAGATGATGTTTCACCATTATTTATAGATTCATGTGAGTTCTAGAAGTAGATGCTTCTGTTTGAGTGTCGATCCAGATGTTAAGGTTGAAGGTCCAAATTGAGATTTATTTTCTGTTTCAGATCTAGAACTTTGAGAATGATGCTTCGGTGAACATCAAACTGTCTTCATTAAGAATTGCAGTCAAAGATTTAGGTGAAAGGGGCAATCTAGGATAGTTATTCGGTGGTTTTTCATTATTGGATGATGATTTTGTTGTCTTCTCGCGTCTACTTTTATTGCTTTAACCATTTGTTCTTCATCCCAATTTTTACTTGATTCTTTTGATTGCGTCGGTGTCATTTAGAAAAAAAATTACTTTTAGAGACTAATTTATAACTATCCAAGTACTAGTACCTAAATATGGGCCAGCCCATATTTAGGACCGTAGTCATAGCCCATATTCAAAATTCTTGAATGAAATAATGTCGGACTTGTACTTCACAAGTCATACATTACTAACAATTAATCTTTCGATAGACATAAAATTAAACTTATACTCTATAAATGAAAGATATAGTTATACTATTTAGTCCTGATTATCATTGATAAAATAACATGTTTTTACTCATCTTACGAAATTTTTTGAGAGCGGTGAAGCAACAATGTCATATTTTATCTTCACCTCTCGCAGAACTCACGAGATAGAGTGATTGCGGTGTTGGGGCTAATGAATGCAATAGGAGATATTCGTTTGCAGCGCCTTTTAATTATTTGTTTTCGAGAATGTTTACTAGCCCATATTAAAGCACTAGCCCACATTTAGTTACTTTCCTTTATATATATATATATATATATATATATATATATATATATATATATATATATATATATATATATATTCGTCTATATCATTAGTAACGCTAAGTAAATCCATGTCTTATTAACTTAAATATTAAGACAGAAGATAAGATTGTTCTATTTTAAAGATACCTACAGCTGCAAGAGTGGGAATGTTATTAATTCGTGAAAATAGCTTTAATTCTTTATTGTGTATTTCTGTGCTAGTGTATGTTATGTATAATATAGTGAGTTGTGTGTTAAGTTTGTGTGTGTATAAGATTAATCCAGAATTATCTTTTCGTGAATAATTTGAGAAGGATTGATCAAATATAAGAATGAATTGGTAGCTTAAAACTAGATTTAATATAAAATATTCGTCGTATATTAATTCTGAATTCAGGTTTTGATTCAAAACCAGAAATTCCAAGTTAATACAGTCTAAAAAATTAATCTTAGGTTCGGTTAGGTAAGGTTGATTTTATTGTTTGACAGATGGTTACCATTTTCACATTAATTCTCATTACATGAGAATATTCCTACATATTCCTAGAAAGTTCTATGTTCCTTTAATACTCGATAAACTCGATAAAAGGAATATAGAAATTTCTAGGCTAATCCAGGTCATTCCACCCTTTCAACCAAAAACCATTAGAACAGTACTACAGCACACAGTAATACAGCTGCTCACACCTCCGTTTCTTGAATGCGGTCCACAAGCGCTTGAAGTTGAGACACCTGTATAATAGACGGTGCTGACACATAGGCGCGACAAACCAGCCTCTCTATCTCAGTAGCCCACTGTTGCCAGCCCACTGTGATCCTGAAACCACGCTCAACTTCTTGACAACTCTTTCATTCACATATTTCTTCTTTCTTTCTTTTACAACCCGTAAAAACTAATTGCTGCAAGCACACATATCACTTATGCACTTAAAACTATGTTGTCGGCTGGAAATGATTTAAAATGTACATGTCGTGTGAGTCAGTGCGTGTTATTGCAATAAGTTGAGTATGGTTTTCTCTTGATTTTGACATCACTTGTAATGATGATTAAGCAATCTGCTTAGTTAGCTCGTTTTTCATTAAAAAGTTTTTTTAAGCTGGTTTTAATAAAATTTACGTTTACCCATGTTATTATGCGCTTAGAACAACCGTCAACACCACCTAAGTCCGTCGTCCCGCCTGCAGTTGAAGAGGAGTCTGAGGACGTGAGGGATGACAATACGCCTGTACATTCTCCAATGATGGATATGTAAGTCTTTTTGGTTTCGATATATAAGGTGATTTCGGTCTCGTCAGCCCTTTATAATTGTTTTATACGATAGACACAATTGACAAAAACGATGTGTTGCCACTCTTTGGTATATATTTTAATTAGATGTGTATGATGTTTGCAAAAAAATCTAGAAATGGTAGAGCCAAGCTGCTGTTATGTTATGGTTGTAGCACGAATGGGTCAGCTCGACCGTGTAAGGACCACGCTCTCACAGAATATCAGCGTAAAGTAGCAGCTTAATGCTGCTGTATTTTGTATGGTAAGTGTAGAGAACCAGCGACCCTTATTACTATAAACGAGGCATTCAATCTTAGTCCTCAGGGCTGACAACGAATCTACATTTTGATTCATAATTGAAGATAAATATAGATTTCTGAGGGCCACAGCATCCACTTACCTCCAATTGGACTTAGTGCACTTTTATCAACATTATTTTAAAAAAAATTACATTCTGGCATATGTTTTAATTAGTTAAATGTGTGATGCTTATATTAAATTTTATATCGCTATTCTTTGCAGATTCCTTAAAGTGAGCGATAACCGACCGACCGTAAGTGAGACTGGCGCAGAGTCAGACGCCACCTGGCGACAAGCGATATACGAGAAGGCGATCCAGCCGCCCGAAGTGGAAGAAGGTTATATTGTAGTTTTACATGTTTTATTTTTTAACAAGGTTTTATGAGCTTCGCGTGTATTATCTATGTATCTATGTAACTGAATCTTTTAATGTAACTTTCGCCAAATTGTAAACGGCCGACTGACTTGAAAGTTTGCATTTGTATCAAGGACTAACTTTATCCAGTACCCTGATCAGGATAAAATAAAATAATTACATGCTTTATATTAGCTTGACCTGTATGTGTAATGCATAATATAATAGTGTAATGGTTTGACTGCCTTGTTGGTCTTGTGGTTGTAGTAGTGCGGCTGCTGATCATGAGCTGCCGGGTTAAAATCCGGGGTCGGGTTAAGAAAAAATCAGTTATTGAGTTTCTCCATCAAGAAATTCTCAGTATCTGCCCGGAGTCAGGAAATTGACGGTGTCTTACCCCCATGCCTAGGAGAACATGTCAAGCTGTTGGTCCTGTCGTGTCGGTTTACCATCCCATCAGACTATGAGAGTGAAGTAATAGAGATTGCGCATGTGCTTGCGCATGCACTTGGGCACTATAATCCTGGCCTGCGCCGATGGCTAGTCTCCGCTGAGACTGGTCGCCGTGACCGAAATTCGGTCTGGAGGACATTATTATAATGTAATGGAATTTTGTAATCCAATTTTCACACACTTCTAGAAGTCTGATTGATTTAAAAATTTGCAGACGTATCATTAAGAATCGATGAAAGTACAGTAATTTCATGAGTATGACCTAGTTATTCTCAATAGAATCATCACAGCTCATGATTAAGTTTTTTAAACTCTTATAATATTTGTATTAAGCTGACCTATATGCTTGTATGTTTATATGAATATAATGGAATTTTATAATTCAATTTTCCCTTGCTTCCAGACTTCTTGATAATCTGAAATTTTGCAGATGTATTAAGAACCGACGACAATACATATCATCGCTCTGACATATATACTAGGATCATCGCAGTTCATAATCAATACGTGTTGTCTTTTTACTCTAATATTAATAACTTATTATTTAACTATGCAGTAAAACAATAATACTATAATGTAATTAATAGTTATTAAATGTGGCTCCACTAATACACAATACACATACATGACATGCAATTCTCTAGATTAAAACTTTGGTTGGATTGCTTCAAGAATAAAATTGAAGTAAGAAAATTTTCCGAAAGTAAAATGGAAAGTAAAAAAAATAATTGTTTTCGAGATCAGCGTCAATTGCCGACACTCTTTGAAATCCTTAAAAATATATGACTCAATATTTTTTCTTTAATTCAATTCAAATATTTAAAATATGAGATATATTAATAAAGGGTAAAGGTATCATACTTGTTCATGTTTGTGAATTTAAAAAAAATGGTAAATTCGCTTAAACATACTGTACTCATTAATAATCCGTAAGGATTGTTGAAAAAATTAAAAAATATAGGCATTATACAGACATGATCTTGTTTTATGATGTCCGTAAAGTATTAAGAAATAGATAGAAAATGAACTAAAGTTATACAACAAAAAAGTAAAAATTATTTCAGATGAACTCACTTCTTCTACTCATCTCCTTGGTCGCCCGAAGATCAATCAAGGCAAACGGAGCAAAGAACAGTTGAGGCAGCTTTGGAAGATGGCCATCGACCAGACCATCCTCCTGGTTAGAATGGAGAAGGAAAATGCTAGATTGAGAGGTAAGAACCATTGCCATTTTGATTTATACGTGACTATATTCAATTTAAAAGATTTCTTTTAAATTTAATATAGTAAAATAATATTTTTTTCTTTAGTAGCCCGTAATAGTACGTAATAGTCCACTGCTAGAGATGAATTTCTTTACTGTAGAAAAAAATTGCCGTTAGTAATTATGCTTTACAATTGATTTGGTGATTGATTAGATTGACTTCTTGCGCTTTTAATGCTTAGTTATACAGGAATATCCACCATTGTATTTCGTCTTATGAATGTCGTAAGAGGCGACTATGGGAAATACCAGAAAAATCTCATGGCTACAGGAAGATGGCGGCAGCGGCGAAGTGTGGGGGTGCCGGGAGGACCATGGCCACGGGCGGCATACAAAAGGGGGTGGCGGCAAGCGTCAAGATTTTTTCAATAATATTGACTCCAAACTGCGCCCGTAATGTTACGTGCCAAGCGAAACCACAAAGGTGCGTAAGGAGGAGGCGAAGTCGAATACTGCCAAAGTGCTCGTGGCAACGACCCGGCGCCCGGCTGACCGGCACTGCGGCGGCAAATTGACGTGGACAAACCAACAGGTGACAGCAAGTACTCAGTTATTCACCAAACAAAACAATCTCTGCTGAACATAGGTCCAAGGAATGCCACAAAGCACTGTCCCGAGCCACCCGCATTCATCGACTTCCTGCTTGTCTTACCGGGTAAACATACTCGTCAACAAGCTCGTTAGGACATAAATACAGAAGAGTTCCAACAGGGGCACACACGTCGACGTGCGTTACAGCTGCAACAGTTTCAAACTGTAAAAAGGGCTTATAAGTCCGGCTTTCTGGGTTTATTAAAATACGTAATTGAGTCCAAACTTGAAGATGGCTTACCACACATTGTCATAATAAAAATAAAAAATTGAAATAAATAAAAAATAGTGCAAGTTGCTAAAGAAACTTTTTAAACTAAAGTTAATAAAAAAATATCAGAGATCGACTGCATCAACGTTGAGACTACCAAATGTAGTCTTTTAATAATTCTGGAAATGGAACATGACATACATTTTGATATTGACGATTGTGTTAAAGATTTTGCTTCGAAAAAAAACACGAAAAGTACATTTTCTATCCAATTTTAAACCAATAGTGACAGAAATAAGTAACAATACTAAGCACCCTATAACATAAATATTGTATTCTATCCAAGTTGACCTCAATTGCTGTTGGTTAAGAGAACGTTGATAACCGATATAAGTATCCACTTTTGGCGGTGATTAACGATTCTCTTAATTTATCAAATGCAAAATAACGAAAAATGATTCCAAAAATCCACAACAGGTAAATAAGTAGTAAAGTTACTTTTAGATTTTTTAAATTTATCTGATTTAGGGGTAAGGAAATAAAATGATGGGTGCCGTTCTTGTCTGCCCTTTAAGTATAACTATAACTAAGTATACTTTTTTGCAATACCTGTAAAGATTGCGAAGTGTTGAGCACTATGTATAATTTGAAATCCAATTGTACACTCATTATTATTATTTTCATTCTTAGTAAAGTTATGCCTTGTAAACAATCCGACAATTTTAAAAGATAAACTACCTGTAGGTTTCTTGCACCGTGTGTATATTGACTTTCAATAAGTTAAAATATTTAAAGTTTAAATTAAAATAACTTTAAAAAATGGGGGGGGAGCGGGGGGCGAATTTCCGGACGGCCCCAGGTGGCGAAAACCCACGCTACGCCACTTGGCGGTATAACCATGACCGGTGACGGATAGCAGTCAATTCTGCCAAGCGTGGTGAATAAGACAAATCTTTCATAACGGTGGAGGCCCAGCAAGGGTCTTTTATGAGCTTATACCTTCGTATTTAGAATTGATAATATGATCTATTTCGGCCACATAATAGATCATAATATACAAAGATAAACTTTACTGGTAATTCCATAAACACTTTGACAAGAACAATATTTATATGAACAGAAACATAAACAACAGAGATGGAATACCATAAACAATCTAAGGTCCCTTCAAGAGTTCACAGAGAACGACGACGAACGACGAATAGGTAACCATTTTAATTAAGATTGATACGTGGATACATGGTCATACTTTTGAAGATTGAAAATGAATCGAATGCAGTTATTCAGAAGACGGTCATAATTGTTGAGAAGATCTGCATTCAGGAATAGCACACATCACCATATTCGATTAGGAGAAAAATTAAGCTTTGCACAAGCGTTTTCTTAATTTCGGAAAATTTTTAGGCGATAGAGATACGCAAGGTACCGGTGACTTTCTGGCTAACGGTCGTTGCTTATGCTTTTCAACTCAAAGTGGAATCAATTAATAAACCTAGATCCTTCACAGTAGAACACAATTGAATCTTGATACTATTAAAAAAGATAGGAGGTTGAGCTACTGTTTGCAATCGCTGGATCATCCGACGGCTACCAATTATAATGGACAGGCACTTCGAAGGGTTGACCATTAGGCCAAACTTGTCGGACTAGTTCTCGTACTCAAGGATACTGTTAATTACGTCTACCGCTCTAGAAATATCGTCTATACTCGTTTGTGATTACAAGTCATCGGCATACAGATGATACGCAGACTGAAGGTTTTGGGTAATGGGATTAATAAATATAGAAATCAACAAAGGAGATAATATGCCACCTTGAGGGACACCAGCGTGTATGTCAAACCAGCAAGATGATAGCTCATCAATGCGAACCGACTGCAGACACCCTCGAAGATATGATGAAAACCAAGCCAGTGTTTCGGATGAGACTATATAGAAAGGGACAGGATGGAAATTAGAATGTCATAACTGATGGCATTAAAGGCGTTCGAAAAGTCAACTCAAACCAACACAGTGATTTTAGGGTCCTCTATGCCCGCTCTAATATCACCGGTTTCTAAAGGAAACGGTACTATGGCCTAAAGCCAGAGAGTCGGAGGCCTCAAGGACTTTGGAAGGGAAGAATGGATATAGGTTGGAAATGATTGGGTAAAGTGGGATTTGGGATCTTGTGTGCGGGTATAACTTAAGCCTTACGCCACAGTGAATGAAAATCACCAGAATCCAAGGAGAAGTTAATGATGTGCGAGATAACTGGAAGCATATGGTCAAGTATATAGATAATCACCCGTGGGCTGATAGGGCATTAGGTTTAATGGAAAGGATTGTCTTCTTAATATCATCTATAGCTACTGGAAATAATTGAAAGTGATCAATGTTGGGACGAGGTAAACCCATTAAGTATTCAACTGTAAGACGCTTGGTCTAATGATCATGAGGACTGTGGGAGACAAAAAAAATTGATATCATCCAGAGCAACCATCTTCTGAAACTCACAACGGTGTCGTTTACCGATACCTATGTTTTTCCGGAAATTCCAGATATTAGCAGGGGAACAAAATAAGATATTACTAATAAATCTTTTTATTCTTTTTATTCCTTGCAGCTTTATAAAGGAACCGGTTTTGACCACATCGATTTTTTCTAAATTTTCCGAAATCCCGATCCCTACGCCTCATCAAACCCCAATCGTCATCCATGGTGAAGTTGGACGCTTGAGCTTCATTTTTTAATGGAAGCATGTACGTCATATAATCTAAGGATAGCTTCGTTAAAAGCCCCAACCTTTTTGTTCACAATGGTGCAGAATACCACGCTGTTCCAGTTCATTTTGGATGCATCTATACAAAGCTTCTCAACATCCAAACAGATATATTCCATCATTAATATAAATATGATTAATAATTATTAATGGTGCAATTTATCTTGCTATTAGTGTTCGAAAAAAAATTGACGAACAAATGAATTAGTGTTGAGTTTAGTAACTAGCATTATAATTTTGTGTTTGTTCCTAGTAAAGCCGAATCTCAATAACTCGAACCTTGTTAAGTTGTGATCTTCAGTAAGATGAAAAAAATCACTGCATGCAATTTTCCTGTAAGGTATTTGTAGTATTTATTTATTTATACTCTATAAGTCGAATTTTAAAAGACAGACTCCGTAAGTTGAAGTTATTAAAATTTAACTATAATAAAATTTGACGCCTATGAAGCGAGGAATTTCCCGAATATATATCATAGCAAAAAAATTTAAAGGAATGTTTGTTGTTTATGTTTTATGGTGCGTACTTTGTAGACGTGCAATAAATGAATACATTAAATAAAGTTTCTAAGTAACACCTCTGCGTTACAGTTTGTTTGTGCTTGTTAAGTTTAAAACTCTTTAAATCGAAATGTTTTGCATTTCCCTTGAAATTCGAGTTCTCAAAATCCTTCTGTAATTATTGTGTATGGTGATTTCAGAGAGCGAGGAGTCGTCAGCTGTGCGGCGGCTGAAGCTTGAGTACGAGGAGCTGGGCGGGTGCGAGGCAGGCGCGGCCGGCATGTGGGAGGCGCTACTGTCACGCGAGCCCGCGCAGCGCGCCGCGTGCGTTGACCGCCACATGCTCACGCAGGCCGTGCGCAGAGGTACGTGGCCACTGCACGCGTCACTGAAGCTGAAGTATGAGGAGATGGGCGGGTGCGGCCGGCATGTGGGGGGCACTGCTGGCGCGCGAGCCATTTACCCACCCATGGTCCAAGTTTATCAGCCATCCCGTCCGTGACCATTGTCGCTATAAATAATTGAAAATGTTAAAAGTTAATTAAGTTAAACTATAGTCAACGAAATCTAAGAAATGCCTTTTGACGGTTAACATTAATCATTCCGCTACAAGTTTGCACAAGCGTCCTCACACAATATAAAATAACCTTTTACATAAATCCGAAGAATTATGGAGTTATCTATATTTCATTATAACGTGTATAGTTTTTTATCACTAATTTAAATTCGAATCTTTCAAACAAAACAAAATATAAAAATAAATATAAAATTTCAACTTTTTTACTTGACGTTTTAATGATATGTCGCTCAGAACCTTACCGTAATATTTGGATGATTAAAATTCATTGTTATGCAAATAATCGGTAAAAATATTCAAATAATCGAATCATTAATTTTTTATGTATTATTTGTTACATTAAATTAATATTTTTAAAATTCCTTAAATTAAATGAATCATGAATAAAACAAGTTTACTTTTTTGTTACAAGGCCGCGCTGAAAATACCACTATGTAATTTCAATCTCCCGCCATTTCGGGAACTTATTATGCATTATTTTATGATTTTGTGTTTGTCTTCTTTTTTGTGACCGGCTCGACTTTTTGGACTGTTTCTTCTATATTCGTTGAAGCATGTGCCCATGTCACAAAGGCTGATTGAGTAAAAGAGATAGAAAAAAACAAAAAAATTGATTAAGGATGACTTTGAAAGAGACATTAATTTTAACTGCATTATTGAAAATCAAATAATAATTAATCCATACAATAACAGCTCGAGTAGTTGTACTGAAAGCGATTGAATAAATTTGTTTTTAATATAGTTTCAATCTTAAATTTTTATAACTTTGCCTGTAGAAATAAGCAGTAACAATAAATACGAAGAAAATGATAAATCTTGTGTTATCCGTTTCTAATTTATTCTGGTATTATTCAAACCAAACTGTAAATCATTACCAACTCTAAATAAACGATATCGATTTTTTTTAAGAATTGAATATTGTACGTTCTCATTTTTTGATTGGCATGCTTGGTGCAATAAGTCTGACTGCTGTCAAAATGTATTTCTTAGATTTGGTTGACTATAAGCTTAATAAAAGGCTAAGCAAAACTTCAAACTACAAAAAACTTCGGCTACAAGTCAGGGTTTAATTTCAATTTCAAATTTCAAATCGTTTATTGCTTCTATAAACATAAATTATATATAATTATAATAAAATATAAAAATAAGTTAAATTAAACTTGGTAAAATCCGCCAAAGAGATTTATTTATTCACTTTGACTTTGACTTGACTTTAGCAATGTGTAACGTGTGTCGCGTGTGTATCGGCAGGTGTGCCGCGCGTGACCCGCGGCGCGGTGTGGTACTTCCTGGCGGAGCAAGCCTGCCTGCGCGCGCCGCTGCCCGAGCCGCGCGAATGCCCGCTCTACCACACGCCCTACCGCACGCTGCTCGCCGGACTCACCAAGCATCAGCACGCGATACTCATCGACCTCGGTGAGATGTGCCGCGACACTCGAACACGTACACAGATCACACGCACCGCCACCCACTCTACCACACGCCCTACCGCACGCTGCTCGCCGGACTCACCAAGCACCAGCACGCGATACTCATCGACCTCGGTGAGATGTGCCGCGACACTCGCACACGTACATAGTTCACACGCACCGCCACTCACTCTACCACACGCCCTACCGCACGCTGCTCGCCGGACTCACCAAGCATCAGCACGCGATACTCATCGACCTCGGTGAGATGTGCCGCGACACTCAAACACGTACACAGATCACACGCACCGCCACCCGCTCTACCACACGCCCTACCGTACGCTGGTCGCCGGACTCACCAAGCACCAGCACGCAATACTCATCGACCTCGGTGAGATGTGCCACGACACTCGCACACGTACATAGATCACACGCACCGCCACCCACTCTACCACACGCCCTACCGCACGCTGCTCGCCGGACTCACCAAGCATCAGCACGCGATACTCATCGACCTCGGTGAGATATGCCGCGACACTCGAACACGTACACAGATCATACGCACCTTTGCCCGCTCTACCGCACGCTGGTCACCGGACTCACCAAGCACCAGCACGCGATACTAATCGACCTCGGTGAGATGTGCCACGACACTCGAACACGTACACAGATCACACGCACCTTAGCCCGCTCTACCACACGCCCTACCGCACGCTGGTCGCCGGACTCACCAAGCACCAGCACGCGATACTCATCGACCTCGGTGAGATGTGCCACGATACTCGAACACGTACATAGATCACACGCACCGCCACCCGCTCTACCACACGCCCTACCGCACGCTGCTCGCCGTACTCACCAAGCATCAGCACGCGATACTCATTGACTTCGGTGAGATATGCCGCGACACTCGAACACGTACACAGATCACACGCACCGCCACCCATTCTACTACACGCCCTACCGCACGCTGCTCGCCGGACTCACCAAGCACCAGCACGCGATACTCATCGACCTCGGTGAGATGTGCCGCGACACTCGAACACGTACACAGATCACACGCACCGCCACCCGCTCTACTACACGCCCTACCGCACGCTGGTCGCCGGATTCACCAAGCATCAGCACGCGATACTCATTAACCTCGGTGAGATATGTCGCGACACTCGAACACGTACACAGATCACACGCACCGTCACCCACTCTACTACACGCCCTACCGCACGCTGCTCGCCGGATTCACCAAGTACCAGCACGCGATATTCATCGACCTCGGTGAGATGTGTCGCGACACTCGAACACCTACACAGTTCACACGCACCGCCGCCCGCTCTACATACGCCCTACCACACGCTGCTTGCACACTCACCAAGCACCAGCAGCTCTTTTGTACTAATTATTAAAAACTCGCATTAATAAAATGCCGTTTTAAAACAACTTTTATTTTGACCGCTGTAGGTCGCACATTTCCGAAGCACTCGTACTTCGCGGCTGCGCTAGGCCCCGGTCAGTTGGCGCTCTACAATATCCTGAAGGCGTATTCCTTGTTGGATCCAGACGTGGGCTACTGTCAGGGCCTGAGTTTTGTGGCTGGTGTTTTGCTACTGCATGTGAGTATTTTCTAGTATTCCTTTTAGCCATTGTTATTTCCAATCTTTTCTTCGTGCCTCTTACAGCCCCAATACACTTGGTCGCTAAATACACATAAAGAAGACTGCTAGTTCGTTGACTTCTGAAGACTGAAAATATATGCTAATAACTGTGAGTGCATTAAGCCAATCACTGTTAGCATTATCCTCGTTCCAGCCAGAACATTAGAGATTACATAGAAAGTACAAGACACAACAGGACAGAAGAGGATTTTTTACCAGTCAAAACGGATACTTAATCAATCAGCTGCTAAAGGCAAATGTTATGCTAAATGGTGATTAATAAATGGAAAACAAAAAACCAAATTTCTCAAAATAAAATTAGTATAAAAATATTTATTTATTTTGAGGCAGTACGTACGCGAATGCGTGCTCGTATGTCGTGCGTGCGTGTATGTGTATTAATTCGCGCTTATCATGTCACCTCTTACGACACTCACAGAATAACATAGGCGGGGTTGTCTTTCTTACGCTTCCACTACGGTGGAGTATGAGACGCTACTTTTTTCTTCACAGTCCACCTGATGGTAAGTGGATGCTGTGGTCCATAGACATTTATTTATTTAAGAAATTTATGATTACAAAGATGAATAGTTTTAGTGTAAACATAAACTCATTAGAGTTTTTCCGTACACCATTGCTGTCGACACATTATTCTAATTAACACTTTATAATACATTATATTACCAAAGTTACATTAATATTTTTATCAACTTAAATTAGGTGCATTAAATGTTATATTTCTAATTGACAAACTATTTGTGGGTACAAAAATATAAAATAGTTTAGGCGATGAGCGTAAAATCACAAGGTGAACTTATTACATTCTGTGAATAATCGTGATACAGGTTGATTATAACATATATTTTCATAAATTTATAATAAGATAATATGTTGGTAAAGTAAACCAATAATATAGAACGAGAAGTTGTTTTAAGTGTTACAAGTATTTAGTAAGAGTTAATTGTATATAAAAAAAATTTATTTATATTTTATGTTTTTACGTGTTATGACTTCTTTCAAAGATTTAAGTAACTGATTGATTAGATTAGGTATAACATAGTTTAAAGTTCTTTTTCCGTATAAGTTATTATATTTAGGTAATTGCAGTTTTAGATTATCAGTTCTGCGTGCGGAGTAGAATAACTTATCTACCTTTTTAAAATTCTCAGTAAAGTAATTTTCAGTTAGTAATGTTAGTTCAACTTTGTCGTGAATAGGTATAATTTTACAAAATGCAAATAGTTTTCGATAATCATCTTTAAAATTAATTTTGAGATTATTAGGGACTATTTGTTTTAAAAATGCGCAGCTGAAGTGAGTATATTTGATCTAGATGTGTTTTATAGGTTCTCCCATAGTTTGACAAGCCATATTGTATAACAGATTCAGCTAAGGATTTATAGAGCATTAAAGAGGTTTTGTAAGGTATTTTGTGTTTGATTAATGTAAATTTTGCTAATATCCCTCTTAATATATCACAAACACGATTTACATGCTCTTTCCAGTTTAGCCGATCGTCAATTATTAGACCAAGATAGGTGTGCTTATTTACAATTTCTATGGCATCGCAATTACAGGGTGTCGAATTGTCAGTATTTTGTATATGAAGGCAGTGATGTGTGTGCGCTATTAGTTTAGGTATAAAAGAACTTGTGTTTAAATCTATCCTCGACTATGAATCAAAATGCAGATGCGTTGTCATCCGTGAGGAATAAGATGGAATGCCTCGTTTCCAGTAAAATGGGTCTCCGGTTCTCTACACGCATCATACAAAACACAGTAGCGTGGAGCCGCTACTTTGCGCTGATATTCTGTGAGAGCGTGGTTGTTTCCTGGTCGAGCCGACCCATTCGTGCTACAACTATACTATTAATATGGTTTCAGCATAGCTATACGACGTAAAAACTTGATTAAAAGATTTTCCAATGCAATAAAGAGGTATTACAAAGATATTATGATAGCTTTTTTAAATTCAGATGGAGGAAGCAGACGCATTCGTGCTACTGAGGCACCTGATGTTTAGGCGTGGTCTAAGGAAGCAGTATCTGCCCGACATGAGCGCTCTTCAAGTTCAGGTTAGTTGTGATCGGATTATCAACTGATTACTAACCAGGTCTGTAACGTAGATCTGTGTACTGTAATCAGAAGGCAATGTTTTTTTCTTACTTGTTATATTTCTTCTTTGTCAGCAGATCATCTGATTTTTAAAGTAGATGTATTTAGAGGGTATTTTATGTATATAATATAGTATATATGCAGATGTATATACGATGATAGACGCATATGCAAATATATTATATTATATATATTTAATGGTTGGAAATGTACTTAAGTCAAAGTAATTTTTTATTTTTTTTATTAAAAAGAATATTAACAATGCTATAAACATTACTAATATTCCCCTTAACCACTCGTGGTAAGCTTACATTGCTTGTGTTACGAGTGGTTCACGCCAGTAGTCGAATGGCGGATTCGAACCCACGACCTTTTTGAGTTCGCGGTCCGCGCCCTGCCATTAGGCTGCTGTCGCTTTGAAATCTGTAAAGTAAAAGTAAATGTTTAAAGTAACTGGGTTTAAAGTATAAGTATATCCCACTTACACCACTCTCACACGAACATATTTACACTTTATATACATCCTACTTTTAAGTACAGGGCTTCTCTCATTTCTGAGAGGGTTTCCTAACGCACGTTAACATGTCCAGTTGTACCAACTGTCCCGACTGCTTCGCGACCATGAACCGGAGCTTCACGCCAAGCTGGAGATGCTGGACATTTCGCCCGCGCTGTACGCGGCGCCTTGGATGCTCACGCTCTTCACCAGCCAGTTCCCCCTTGGCTTCGTCGTCAGGGTTTTTGGTGAGTTTCTTCAATTTCCTATACATGGTAGAGCCATGCTGCAGTTATGTTAGCAGTATAGTTGTAGCAAGAATGGGTCGGCTCGACCGGGGAAGGACCACGCTCTAACAGAATACCAGCGTGAAATAGTAGCTTAATGCTGCTGTGTTTCGTATGGTAAGTGTAGAGAACCGGAGACCCTTTCTACTGGAAACGAGGCATTCCATCTTACTGCTCGCGGGTGACAACGCATCAGCATTATGATTCGTATATGTATATGTCTATGGGCCACAGCAACCACTTATCATCAGGTGGACTTTGTGCTCGTTTGTCACCTTATCCTATAAAAAAAACACAATAGTTTGAGGGTTGTGGCAATACCAGGCTGTTGCTCTACTTGAACTTTAAAAAAACTCAATATTATCTCAGTGGCATAGCGTTTTAATGCAGATCGTTAGATCTGTGTGCTAGTTTGTCACTCATCATTATCACATTGTATTATCATCGTCATCATAACAGTATATCAAAGTCTACGGCTGAACATTGGCCTCCCCCAACGTATGTTGAAGTTGCCAGTCCAGGACACTTGGCAGGTGAGTTAGCAACCGCAATTTTTCATTTGAGTTGTTAGCAGAAAGGTGCCCATCACCTGTTTCATATCCCTCTGTCGCCTTTACAACACCCGCGGAAGGATAAGAGGTGGTGAATTCCTTTCCGCTCCTACTACCGTCGGCTTTTTTATAACAAAGAAATATATTCTTTTGCTTCTTTATTTCAGATCTCATCTTTTTGGAATCCTTAGACGTAGTCTTCACTGTATCGCTGGCGTTACTCTCAGCCCACAAAGACGGCTTGATGATGTGTGAAAGCTGCGAGGAAGCTGCCGAGTATCTCAAGCACAAGTTGCCTAACATGGACAAGGTGATCTACCAGAAGGTCATGAAGAAGGTATGCTAGTGAATTAAAATCTATTTGTTTTTCGACATTTAATTCCAGTCATCAAATTTCACCATCGCACATCGCGACAATATTTGCGATACTATTCACATAGGCTGAATGCTTGGCGTTTCACCACTGGGCGATTTATCAGAAGTTTTTTTCCTAGCACAACATCTTTGTGAAATCAGTTACCACCAGCAATATTGCCGAACCGATGCAACTTAGGGACCTTCAAGGAAAGATTACTCCTTTTTAAAAGGCCGGAAACGCACCTGAAATTCCCCCGGTGTTGCAGTTGTTAATTGACTAGTGTTCGTTTGTCTTATTTATTAAACCTACTGATATACATCAGTAGGTTTAATAAAATATATTTAGTTAAGACTATTATTACCTATATTTAAATTCTTCAAATAGGAATGGGTTCAGAAAGCAAATAACCGAAAATTGATCAAATTACGAAAGTATAAGAGAGTTTTAAAACCATAAATCCAGATGTTATTATTAATCCAAAAACATCTGCCCCTAAAAGCAGATCTATCGAACCTGGTCTATAGAAATATGGATCCGATTACTTCACGTTGGTGAACCGAATAATTCATGTGGGTGTCGTAATAAGCGATAATGGAAAACGCCAGAAGTATATCTCATAGTTTCCGATAGATGGCGGTTTAATCATTCCGTTTACTTCAGCATAAGACACTCAGCCCAGTGACGGGCAATGGAATTAAGGGTGCTTACATCTAGTACTGCAATCGTTAAACCGCCTGCCAAAAGTGACAATCAGAGCATCCACGACTTTTTCTGCCCCCAGGGCGGCGCAACTTTGGAGAAGACCTTTAACAGATTTCGTAGCGAAGATAGTATAAATTAGTTATAGTAAATATAGTAAGTAGATTATACATACATACATAAACACTCACGCCTGTCACCCAGAGGGGTAGGCAGAGACTACAGACTTCCATTTGGCACGATCCTGACACACCTCTCTCGCTTCCTTCACATCCATATACTTACGCATACATGCTCGGCGGTTAAGGGTACTCCTAGGGTAGATTATAGTTATAGATTATTAAATAAAAGTTAAAAAAACATCATTAAACTTGGACCACCACCTTATAATTTGAATAAGCAACAAAGATATTCGCTTCTTAAAAGCGACGACTTAGGAACGAGTGAGTAATTCTTTATTAATGCTTATGGCCTTGGGAACGAGTAACTTTTTATTAATGCGCATGGGCTTAAGGTTGGATGCTTCGACCGTCCGTCCATACATTTTTTAACCAAAATCTTCACTAAAACAGACACTCCTTCTTTAAAACTAATCATTTTATCACTTCTCAACAATGAAATGTGTACGCGTCTGACCTTTATAGGCAATAACTTACATTATATACTGAGAAAAACAATAGTGAAATCCTGGAAAATTTTGACACTTCTTTAGTAGTGTGCGTGACTTGACAAGCAAAGGAAAGGCGACGTTTAAAAATTGGCACGCTAGATTGCATCCAAGTGATCTTAAATAATTCTGATAAATCAATATCTTAAGTTCAATAATTGGTTAATTTCCTTTCCAACCGTTAAAAAAACAGTATAAAATAACATAAAACTAATGACCTTAGACACCTATGTTTTTTTGTAAACAATTTTATTACTTATTATCGTTGTGTGGCATACCAAAAGTCGTAGGTAAAGCGACGTTGCCGTCCTTACTGACAACAAACTGATAAGAGTACTAACCGTAGACAGAGAAGTCTACGGTACTAACGTATTCCTGACCTTGAATTGAAGAAACAAAAGCGTTGCCAAACTTACGTACGTTCACTTGTTTGACTTGTTATAAAATATAATATTCTGATTTCGGTTGTCACGGGCTATGATTTGCGCGCGGAATTTCTTGTGTATTATACATATTTTGTATGTATGTTTTCATTGATTCGAATTGCAATATTTCTCTAGTATATATTTGAGACTATATTGTAATTTATCGTAGGTATAGTAATTAATTATTTTAAAAACTCAATTATGTTTTCGATAGTATTATTAACAGCAGGCTGGCCCGTGATTTTTCTGAAATATCGTCACAATACTGATTACCTACGTCATACGTGTCAGTGTTTCATATATGAATGTGTTTGAATATGTTTTTGGTCAACAATAAATACAATTATTATAAATCGGTAAACTACCAAAGTAGTCACAAAATTAAACTTGCATACATTTGCTAAATATGATTTTGCCGGGTTACATTAAGGTGACTCTAGTCGACATTATTTCCATAGAAATTTCGGAGGGGTTTTACTCCGCTGTTTGACAGTGTGATGTACACACAAAGTTAAACATGATATCGTTTTGTCTCATTATTAATTTTGTCTGTACCGAAACAGAATAGTAAAATAAAAAGTCAGTAAAAAGTTACGAGCTACCAAAGATTCGTTTTTATTGCCAATTTTAACACAACTTTGGGCGTAAATTAGTAATAAAAGCAGTGTAAAATTTCCAAAACAAAGTCGGTACCGACACAGCTCAATTATCGAAGAATTCAATAAATTTTATTAGTAATTGATTCATGCAGTGGGTTTTTCATAAGACCCCTCCTTCCAAAGGCCTTTTCGTATTTTTTTACGCGCGCGTGTTTATATGAATTATCGTGCATCTCACTGAATAATTTTTCCCTTGGTGCGGTGCGGGAGGACGACACTTACACACACATGCATGCGCGGTGACGCGCGCTTATTCTAGTTTTATTCGACGTCATTGTCAGCTGCGGCCTGTGACGTTCGTATGATTATAGCTATACCTGCGCTCTAAACTACTACGCTACAGTGACCCCTGCTTGAACTTTGGATTAAATCAAATTGATATAAGCACAGACAAAAATAGAGGAATACATAAATAAAATTTTGAAAAAAAGGATCTCAAAATTTTATTAATGTTCCGCTAATTTTATCTGTACTTACCTATGTCAATTTGATTTACATTCGATTATAATTATATTCTCAGACGTGCAGGTTTCCTCAATATGTTTTCCTTCACCGCCGAGCACGTGGTAAATCAGCACAATTGCAATTAACAATTTCATTGATACCGGCGGGGATCGAACTCGGGTCTGCATGTCTGAGAAATTAAAAAATATATTTTTCGAAGAAATGTGAAGTTCGTCAACACGCATTGAGGCAGCGTGGCGGACATTTCCTTGCCTTAAAACCCTCTCAGAAATTAGAGGAGGCCTGTGCCCAGCAGTGGGACGTATATAGGCTGTAACTTTACTTTTTTTACTTTTATAAATATGTTATTTTACCGACGAAAATTTTAAAGAAAAATAAAAAATAAGCAACCGACAACCTCCTAGGTCCCTAGGTGACTTGCGAGATGTCAGTGTAACAAAACAAAACGGCCCAGAAAAACAGACTTTCCAACTGATTGAAATCAGCACGCAACAATTTCATTGGTGAAAGTGGGAATCGAACCCGGGTTGCTCCCGTACTGTGATACCTATAACGAGCGCTAACCATGTGAGCTACCACGGCTCTCAACGACATCGTTCCGTTCGTGTACAGCGCTGAAGATAGCAGAGTAAAAAATTAGAGATTGTGGTGTTTGAAATTTTAAAATTTGTGTTTTTGTTACTAGTACTTTCATATGCATTTAATAAAAAGCTGTTATTTTAACATTACAAACAGACACTTAATTTTTATTTATTTATAGATATAGATATAAGATATTATTCATATTGGTGTCATTTTAAAGGGAATATCATGTACTATTATAATAATAAAATAATTCTCTCCAGTAAATATTATGCTTTTCTTGTAAAACTCGAAATAACAAATAAATACGATTTCTTAAATTTACGCGAACACTACACATTGAATAAAACTATTATTTACGGATTTTATCGCGTTTAATTACTTTAATTTATTTTTATTATTATACCGACGTTTCGGGTGCTTTACAGCGCCCATGGTCACGGGGGGGACCATGGGCGCTGTAAAGCACCCGAAACGTCGGTATAATAATAAAAATAAATTAAAGTAATTAAACGCGATAAAATCCGTAAATAATAGTTTTATTCAAATAAATACGATTTATTTTTATATTCCCATATGCTTTATTTTCATCCTTTATTTTTTATTTGACCAATTTTCTTTTAACAAAATTAAATTCTGAATTGGTTGAGCTTTTTGAGAATATTTTTATTTGAATGTTAGGTAGGTACCTATTTAGTTTTTCAGTAGTAATCGTTTTTGCCTACCTACTACTACCTGCCTAAGTACGTCGGTACTAAGGAAACAGTCTTGACGGGTCACTTGTCTTGATAAAAACATGTGTTTACATCTAGTGATATTGTGTGTATATAAAACAAAGTAAGAAGACAGGTACCTAAGTATTTTTGAAGACAATTTATAGGTAGGCAGAACTAATTACAATTATATCTAAATATTATAAATGCGAAAGTTTGGATGGATAGATGTATGTTACTCAATCACGCCAGAACAGCTGATCTGGATGATATTTAGCTCAGAGATAGGTTATACCTGGTCTGTAATAACACATATTTTGATACCGTTTATTCAGGTATTTCGTTCCTGTGGGATAATTTTCGAGTTCACGCGTTTGAAGCCGCTGGCAACAGCTAGTACGGATATAAATTGCGATGACTGTTCCAGTTCATGCTTCGGCGTCGTGAACTCTTGAGTGATCGCTGCATGACCACCCGGGGAAAACAAAACATAATAAAATAAGCAATCTATATTAGGTATCTATAGAGCCATAGAGATATAGTATAAAGCGATAACGTAGCGCAGTGCCTAATAATTTAGTACGAGTTTGTAGGTAGGTACTGCTGATTTCTTAGCAAGCGTCGAGTGGCACAGAATAGGGTGGTATGTATGTGTGCATCGTGTTCGTGTAACTTCGTTTTTGTTCTAACGGTTCGGAACGCCGTACGAACAAGACGTGCGTTCTAACTGCTCTTCACTGGTACTATCTCTGTCGGGCACGATGCCAGGTGAGACAACGTGCTTTTTGGCCGCGCCCACCAATGAGTTCGAGCCCGCGACTTGAGCCACCTTAAACACCCTTTACGAATTTTGCAAACAGTTTCAGACAGACACACATTCTTAGTTTGTTATATTTTGTAGAGCTCAAGTTCACTCGTCACTACGTCATACCTTATGATGCGTTCAGAAACAAATATAATTCAGTTACATTAAATCCTTTTTTTCTGTTCCGTGCTTTATTGTTTATAAATAAATAGCTTATTCTAATCTGAGTTATATTTTTCTTATTCGTCGGCCAATTCTACCAGGAATATAAAGATAACATTGAAATAAAAAGATAAGTGAATTTTTGTACATTTTAGTGTTCTAGATCTTGTGTTCCGAACGCAACCCTACTCATATAGAATTGAAGGAAGATTTATATATATTATATTGTATAGTACCTGGATGACATGATGATGATGTTTTTTTGGAAATCGTGTGTTTTGGAAGTTATATTTAAATTAAAAATACATACTGATAAAATATGAAGAATATTTTTTTGATCTTACCGACATAATAGAAAAAAACTGAACTCGTTATTAAAATCAAAAATCATGAGTGCAATAAAATTTTTGTATTTTGAAAAAAAAATACTACAAAAAGGGCTCGAAATAATAGATTTTCTCAGAAAAGAAGGGAACTTGAAAAAAATAAAACCGGCCAAGAGCGTGTCGGACCACGCTCAGTGTAGGGTTCCGTAGTTTCCCGTCCGTCACAATAAGTGTTCCCACTTACGAGTTTAAAGGTGGGTATCCATTATGTTCGCGCTCCAGCAGCGCTCCGCGCTCCTGCAACTGCTCCCGGTAGTGGGTACTGTTGTTCCCATCCAAGTTCAAAATGATTTTCCTAGAAAGTCCTTATAAAGTTCTACTTTCCAGATTTTTTTCATATTTTCTAAACTTATGGTTCAAAAGTTAGAGGGGGGGGGACACAATGTTTTTTACTTTTGGAGCGTTTTTTCCGAAATTATTGACATTATCAAAAAATGATTTTAGTAAACCCCTATTCATTTTTAAATACCTTTCCAACAATATATCACACATTAGGGTTGAAATTAAAAAAAAAAAAATACTTCTACCCTAATAAAACATTTTTTTCCAATTTTTATTTTACCACTTTGTCGGCGTGATTGATACACATATTAGTACCAAATTTCAGCTTTCTAGTGCTCACGGTCACAGAGATTAAGCGAGGACGGACAGACGGACAGACAGACATGGCGAAACTATAAGGGTTCCTAGTTGACTACGGAACCCTAAAAAGGGAAAAAGTCAATCCTAAGACAAGTCGCGAACCATGGAACTACGATTTCGCGACAGTGCGTTATCCTCTTGAGCTATTACGACCATTATTATATTGTTACCTTCTTATATTGTAGCAGATTTTCATTGCCTGAAAACGGGGATAAACCGATATTTTATGAAAATCGTTGGAGCCGTTTCCGAGATTCCGATTATATATATATATATATATATATATATATATATATATATATATATATATATATATATATACAAGAATTGCTCATAGGTATAGGATTTATATTTTTGTTTTACTAAAAGCTTTTGTTGAGTGCTTCGAATTTCAAACTTCCTGGTTATTATCACAAAATAAATCGTGTTATAGATTTGTTGTTATCTCTTGTTTGTGAATTATAGTTACTTACGTGTTGGTTGTGAAATGTCTAATTATTGTAATAATTGGTACAGTTACAAATCATCAGTGCTATTAGTTTTGAGTGAATATGCATGTATCAGTATAATTATGTTGCTTCAAATAGGTACTTCTGTTTTGATAAAATATTCAATAGTGTAATGTAATAAAATAAAACTGCGTTATATTGTAATCAATGTTGACATAATTTATTTCCCAAAGTTATAAATCAATTAAATAGTTTCCGCCAACAAATATAAATTTTATTTTTACAACAATCGTACATAGCGTTTTGTAGTTCTGCCTACCCAATCTACACATACACAAAAATTAAAAACTGTTTGTTTTTTTTACATACACGCCATCTAGTGTTCCAGCTTCGTAAACGTAGGGATACGTCGGTGTGTGTAAACGACCCTATATTCAATGACAGATGTTATAATCAAAATTAATGTTGATTTGGGTAGATTTTGAGGCAATGATATGACCCATTCCAATAAAATGTAATATCCGATAACCGCTAAGTCTACTCCTACGACTTAATAATTTTCCAATTACACAAAGATCCAAATAAACTTAAAATGTTGCGTTCAGCGCCATCTTGCGGGAGAATGGCTGGGAACAGTCCGAAGGTTCCACCTTAAGGACGAGTAAGTAATTTTTTATTACCCGCGCACGGACGAAGAGCAGTTTTTACCGAGTTAAGCCCAAAGATAAGACCTTAAAGTTGAACCACTACTTTACAGCGTTGAAATGATCTTCGAGTGCAGTTAGTCTCTCTTCTGCATAGTTAATAGCTTCCGAGGTTATAGCAGCATTCCAAACTACAATATTAGCTATATTATTACTACCTCGTTGGTCTAGTGGTTGTAGTTATGCGACTGCTGATCATCAGGTCTTGGGTTCGAATCCCGAGTCGGGCCAAAAAATTCGATTATTGAGTTTTTCCGTCAAGAAATTCTCTGTGGCAGTCCCGAGTCAGAAAGTTGGCGGTGTCTCACCCGCGTGCTTCGGAAAGTACGTAAAGCCGTTGGTCTTGCGCTCTCCCACCAGCCGTGTCGGTTTACCGTCCCATCGGACTATGAGAGTAAGGGAATAGAGAGTGCACCTGTGCTTGCGCATACACTTGTGCACTATAATCCTGTCCTGCGCCGATTGCTAATCTCCGTTGAGACTGGCCGCCCTGACCGAAATTCGGTCTGGACGACATTATTATTTTTAGCTGTATTGCTAACATCACTTTTATAATCTTTTCGTGGTTGCAGGTTCAAAGTTTGGACATTGCGCGGCAGTTGAGTGAGTATGCCGTGGAGTACGCAGTGCTTCGCGAGGAGATGCCACGTCTGGCCGCACTGGCCGACTCCAACCGTCAGCTGACCACCGACAAGCAGCGAATGGCACAGGAGTTAGATGTAAGTAGTTGCAGAAGAGGTACAAGATGAGTCACGCTGTATATTGTGACTGCAGAGTCAGAAAAGACCATTTTACTGCTAATGAGGCATTGCATCATAGTCCTCAGAGGTGAAAATGCATCTAAATTATGTTTCTAATCGAGGGTAGATGTAGGTGTGTATATGACACGATTTCTACCTACTATTAGGTGATCTATGGGCTTGTTTGTCACGTTTGGCTCTAACCAAGTTTAAAATATGTCATATATATTCGTAATATAGCAACAATAAACAACATTATTTCTATTTATCATTCTAGTCTGCAATGGACGCGATAACGAATTACCAGAAGACACAAGCACGTCTCAGTACCCAGAACAAAGCCATGGAGCAACAACTAACACTGCTCAGCCGATACATAACGAATCATAGACAAGACGTGCCCATAGAAGTGAAAAGAATCATCCAGATGTACAATAGGAAAATGTCATTCAGCTCGAAAATCTTCTCCTCTAAGTTTACGTCGAGCGAAGAGGAAGAAGACCCGAAGAGGAACTTCAAAACGGGCGTCAGCGCCCCGAATCTATTCTCCAAAATATCCAAAGAGGACATGATAAACGCGGTGAACAATGAGAGGAATAAATTCTCGCCAGAGAACGACAGGAAGCAGTTCCTCATGAAGAAGTCTCAGTCCATCCACTCCGGACTCATGGCAAACAAACACTATCCCATGAAAGTTCTAGAAGAGAAATCTGAAAACCAAACTCAATTCCGGACGGAAATCATCTCTGAATCTCTTAAGGAGTTGGGGAGGAGAAATTCCGGATTTTTCGCCAACACCCACGAACAAATCCGCCAAGAAAGACTTTTCGAGCAGCAACTAAAGCACGACTTCGACGAAAATTTAAAGAAATCGGACCAAAAACTTGCACCGACATCGTATTTGGACGACTTAAGCATCTTCCAGAGCAAGAAGAGCATGTCATTAAATTTGAAACCTAATACAAAGGCGCACGAACCAAAATTGATTGACAGTGGATTCGTGACACCTTTGAGCCCTAACGACAGCGACAAAAGGGACGACAACGTGTCGGTCATATCTCATCCGTTGAGCGACTGCGACGTTGACATCAAATTCGACGGACAGTCTACTAAGTTGAAGCAAATTCGCCCGTTAAAGCCTCACAATGTCGACGCGGCTCATATATAATAAAATAAATCTATATTACTTAAAAAAGTAAATTTTTCGAACTACCAAAAAGTACTGTGTTCCAAGCAGTCGGTTCTAATAATACCGGTAAGGGTAAACAATGAATAGTAGTATTTCATCGTTTTAGTACTAGAACTGAACCGAATCAGGATTCGGTTCAGTTCTAGTACTAAAACGATTCAGGAAAAAGAACCATTATACCTTTATTTTACCGGTATAGATGTTTTATCTCACGACGGCGGGTTGGTTGCACTTGTGTGTATCTCGATAGTCAATAATTCAGTCAAGTCAAGTAAACGGAGAAAAGTTGTTGGTAGTGACGTTTGATAGTAATTAATGTGTAGGTACTTCTCTAAGCAGCACAGCGTTTGTTTAATTGTATATGTGATTATTTATGTATCTTAATTACGTATTGCTTATTAAATGGCCGTAAAATGATCGTTAGGTTCTATTATTTTAACAATACTATGAACCCATACAATGTTATCAAGAACCAAACTGTCATTTGAGAGCGTATATTCAAATATACGGAAGTCAAAATCTACGCGATCGCTCTGAAATGGCGTAATATCGACACACACTACAATGTTCTTTCTGTGTGCGTGACTGTTCGAACGCAAGACTAGTTGCCCTTAGTTGCAGGAATCATTTTGATACTATTGTAACTAAAAGAATAAAGTAATGAATAAACTTATGAGGTCAGTGCTAAGACACAGTGTATATAAGAATTAATACCGAATCTAGCCCCGACATCGGAAGCTCATATGTGGAAATTATTTTATTCTTTTAGTAAATTGAAGTGGGCTTTACTTTTTTACCGTATTGAGTAGACTAAGGAATGTCACAAGGTCAAGGTAACAACTAGAAAAGGGTAAGTATGTATGTTCTAGTTGAAAAATATGTATCATACCATGTACATACTATCTATGTATATACTATGTATATATTTATTATATCATAGTATATACTTATATCATACATAATATGTATATACTATGTATATATTATGTAAGACAAGTCATATCTATCATGACTTACTGATTAAAGGAAGAGCGGACTCATCGTAATACAGGTTTTTCAAACTTAAAAGGGTGAGATCCATATCTAACACTGTAAATGAGACTTGTGTTATGAATAAATATTTTTGTAATTTGTATTCTTTTTTTGTATATATGTTTATAATACATGTACACTTTATATAAGTAATATGTTTCGCACCAGCCAAAATTATCTTTGACACCCGGGGTTGACTGACGGAGAATGCCACATGGCATTAAGTTCACCTTGTGCACTCTTTTCTTTAAGGTGTTATATTTAAGTTTTTAAATTAATATAACATGTGTGCAATTCACACGCGGTAGAAGTGAAATCTTCAGAAAAGGAGACCGAATAATTGGTTCGATCCTCGCTGAAACCGAGGCAATTGTATATTGCAATTTGTAGTGCTGATTTTTTATCACGTGCTTGGTTATGAAGGAAAACATCGCGTCGAACGTGCACATCTGAGAAATAAAAAAATACGTGTGGCACGCGGTGACTGCCGCGGTAAAGCTATTGCATAGCATTTTTTATCAACTTATGCAATTATAATTATTTATTTATTTTATTTATGCAGTTAAGTCTTTGATATTAGTTACACTTTTTGAGCGTGGTGACCGATAAGAAAACATTTTTTTTCTCTTATTGAATAAATGAGAAGTTAATATTGTTTAAAATATTTTTAATATCTTACAATACATGTAGGTTATTCAGGAATTTTTATCATTGAGTTAGCAGCTAGTGTACACGCATACGTCTAGTCGCACGCACAAAAACACCGTGCCGAAGTCTGCCGAGTGCCGAAGTCTGCCGAACTGAAACGACGTTAGACGATGCACGGCTTTCAACGCCACACCTCCGTGGCCGTCGGAGTGGGGAGCGTGAGGTTTTTTTCGTTACGGAATTTCTGGATTCGGTCCCCGCGCTCAAGGCCCGCGATAGAAGCTATGCAATAGCTTAAAAAATATTTCGAATACATGTAAAGTTCACCAACTAGTATTGGGGCAGCGCGACGTACATTCCCATACCCCAAAAACCCTCCCAAAATTGAGAGGTAGCCTATGCCTAGCTAGCCTAGCTTAATATTTTGTTCTATTGCAATAGGCTGTCTAACCCGACTAGAACTCATGCAGCAATCACGTTTTCCTACACGTCCCAACAACATGTAAGGCTCGCCCGCCTTCGTGAGATATAACACTAGGTATACAGAAGCGAAATAATTCTAACTTATTTAATAGTGACTGTCACACAATTATATATTCGGTAATAATTACAAGATGCAGTTATATATTTCTTTGTCTTATGTTAAAATCGAAGCAATTATAAAAAAAAAAAACTAAATTAAAGTCTATTCGGTGGGAATTGATAAATACTCGTATTATGAAAACGTCTTGCAACAGCTCGTAGCTTGAGAAGCTCGGGGCCGTTTGGGCGAGCCGACACGGTGAACCTTTTTATTATCTATCGGCAAATAATTTGCGGACCGCAATTTGGAATGAATGAAGGATGCTTTTTTATGCTTTTTTATCGACTCTCGCCAAAAAGACTACAATATCATGAAGGCTTACCCCTCTTACTTCCCCGAAAATCTTTGTTATTTTGAAACTGCTATTTTCTTATAACAGGTACCATAACGAGAAATCGTATCGTAGTGAAATGAGTAACCTTTATAAGAACCGAAACGAAATTTGGAAACGGTTTCTTCAAACAGTCCAAGTTCTCGCCATCTCCAGAATTACAGTGTTCATATACATAGATAAAATTTCATTCCCCATCACGTGGTAATAATTTAGAAGAAAAATATACTCGTACAACTTTTAACCTTAAATATTATCATTTGATATTACTTAAGTGAGCAGTGATTGCTCAGGGGGTAAACCCTCTGTAAATTTCGCATTACATGAGCAACCCAGGTTCGATCCCCGTCGGTATCAATTAAATTGTTAATTCCAATAAATAAAAAATAAAAAAATGTTGATTTATTACGTGCTTGTCTGAGTAATAAGAAGTAAATATATCAGAGACATTTGAAGTTCGCCAAAACGCATTGGGACAGTGCGGTGGACATTTCCTTGCCCTAAAACCCACTCAGAAATGAGAGGAGGCCCGAGCCAAGCAGTGGGACGTGTATAGACTGTAACTTTAACTAACTTTTGTTCATTAGATAAGTTAGTGGAAATTTTAGTATAATCAGATGTTATTCTAGACGTCCTAAATTAATTTTAAGGTGTATTAGGTGGATATTTATGTTTAATATACTTAACAGCAAATATTTTGTTTTGTGTATATGCGTTGTATTCCGGTCAGGGTTATAAAAGAGTCATATATTTACAGGCTGTGAGGCATCCTATATTATTAGTCCTCGTGGGCTGACAACAAAGCATTCTTTGTTTCAAATGTAGGTGCCTATAGGCCACAGCATCCACTTACCATCAGGTGGACTGTGTGCTCGTTTGTCACCCACAAAAAATAATCTTCGTAATGTGATGCATCAACATATTTTGAAGTTTTATCTGAAAATATTTTATATTACACCTGCGTTCAATGTCTATTTTTTGCTATAAGGCTTTGTAGCCAACCACAAAGTAAACACAAGTAATTAAAACATTTTTTTTTAATTTCACAAGTTATTATCAATTATTTATTCTGTGTCATTATATCGGTTATTTGCCAACATACAGTTGATGTTATAGCAATCCAAGTTAATTTAACATAACATAACATGTGATTTTAATATCGTACTTATTTAGGATAATACCAAAGACTCATAAAACAAATATATTAATAAAAGTCAAAGACTATTATGTATACTATTATACTAACGTTAAACACCCGCTGCTCTCGGTGCAATAAAATAAAGTTGTTCAAAACGACTATAAATCAATAGCACGCTACAGACTATAAACTATAAATTTCTAGCGCGCTATTAAATACGCTATGTTATAGCGCGCTATTTATAAGAAAGCGTGTAGGAGGCCGGTAAGCGCGTTTAGTTTTACAGCACGTTATATCTCTTAGCACCTTACATTACATGTCGTTCATTGGATAGATCGCGTGCTATATAAGAACGTTATTTCGTAATAAGTCGCATTTTAGACTAAAATAAAATGAAGTGGTAAAGAAAAACCAATGCACGCGTTTTCATACTTTTCGGGCTTACTACTTTCTATAATCCTAAAAATATTTTTAAGTTATGTACTATTTAAAATAGAATTAATTTTATTTTTAGAATCGATATAAAATTATTTATTTGTTATTATAATTGATGTAAACATTATTTTAACCTTAATATAAATTGTAAATCAAATAAAGTGTATTTAAAAGTTTATTTATTGTATTTATAAAAATCAATTATTTACATACACTATTGTATACACTTTTTTATCTATATTTTATTTACATTTAAAAACATTAGTTAGGCTTCTTTTATCACAACTGTGTCCTTTGATCATTTATAAATGTACAGTATACACTAAAAACAACGTCTAACATTAAATTAGGTCGCGTGCGATGAATAGCGCGCTACGAGATCAAATTTGCGTCACACGTCCTCTCCAAATAGCGCTGCTGCTAGAACTAATTGCCGCTAGATATTAATACTTGATAGCGCCATGGCGACTACTTACATAACACGCGCTATGTGTTATGAAGAGATAGCGCGCTATAATATGGCGCTATGCGCTATATTAACCACCATTACAATAAAATGGGGAAACAGGACGCCGTCGTACGCGCTAACGTACGCTTTACGCTGTCGTAAGGTCCTTAAGTGCGACAGAGAGCGCAACTGGCGGCGTCCTGTTTCCCCATTTCATTGCACCGCGGGCAGCGAGTGTTCAACCAAGGTAATTTTTGGTTCAACTCAACAAGAACTGCAATTCGAAACAAAAACTGTGTCATTGTTTGTGGAACGCGCGGATGCGGACGCCAGCTGAGCGGTCAGCTTGCACGTAAATGTGTCACGCACTCACGCAGTTGTATTTTCATCTTCGACAGTTGCTGTTTTTTTTTAATTTATTTTATGTACACACATCAAGGTACAGAAGCAGTCTTATAGTAATTTCGTACAAAGGTTCTACTTATTCCATAATTAGCTGAAATATCTTCCAGTAGACCCATAAAGGAAATTATATTGAAATTGCAAACTTAGTGCATACATTAGTACTACTAAAAAATAAATAACATACACAATGTTACGTAAATTATATAAAATAAAACGATAACTAAAAATAAAATAAATTAATACATAATAATAAATACGATAGTTACATATGATATATTTATATATCTATATATATAATAATAGAATAATATATATTAACAGAATGTAAAGTAGGGTAAGTGCACCAATGAATGAACCCTTAAGGCAATTTCAAACTTTGAAAATTATAAGCATCTATATATGGGTGGCTGTGCTTTAATAATGCCACTCTATTACATTCAAAATTTATTCAAGTTTAATATTATATGGGCAATCTGCCGTTAAAGGACATAATTACTAAGATAATCGACATTTTATGCCAAAGCACCCAAAATCACCAGTAAATGAACACCAAAATCCAGTGCATGAACATTTTAAACTCCAATGAATGAACGTTTTCTGTTGATACTAATTAAGCTAGAAATCACAAGTTTCTGATTATTTATTAAATGTAAATGAGGTTTTATAATTTATATACTTCTTTGAATAATATAACTATGAATTTGAAAGCGATGGTGTAGGCATATTTATAAAAACACAGTGGGAAATATAAAAAAAAATAAAAAGAGAATAAAACGAAAACATAACTTTTATTTAAATTGTAGGCACATTAAAATCACAGAATAATCAACGTAGCCGTTACATGCTATTCGACATACTACTCTTAATTCCAACTAGGTAATCACATTAGTAGATACATTATTTCAGTCTTTACTCTTACAAATTAGGCTTTAGGTATCACTTTTAATTAAGAACTTTGATTATGTTCTACCTAGATAATTAAAACAATAGCGGACTAGAATCATCATTGGTTATAAAAATATATAATTAACAAAGATTAAAAAACATGTTGTACCTAAATCAAATAAAAACAATTTTTATGAAACTTATCAAATTAAACCTTAAGCTTACAATATAACTAATCAACAATAAGCGTAACAAAAATATGATACCTTAATCTCTTCACATTCTAAAAATAACTAAACCGGTTAATGGTATTATTAATTTAAAAACTAACCATAAAGTGTGAGATAAGCGTAATCAGCAGTACATTTTTTCTCACTATAAAAAATATCAAAAGAATTAAAACAATTATTATTCAATATCTTTAAATACTAAATCGTCAAAACAAATTAATCCGCGCCTAGAAATATTCGGTGTACCGAATACACGTTTAATATCATCGAAATCAACTTCTGCAATATCTGGCACTATTGGTTTTGCAAAATTGACAACATTTTCCACAACGGATTTTTTTCTAAGAAAATCTACTTTATATTTTCTTTCATTGTCATTTACCATTATCACTTTTCCTACAAAATGACGCATTCTCTTTCCACTCTCAAATTGAACCAGTACATATCTATCAAATAAATTGTCCTTAAATTCAGTACAAGTCGTAGTAGTTCTCCTAGTTTCTATTTCAGTCTCTTCACTTGCTTCTAAATTATCTGTTGTTATAAAATCTTCGGCAGGTTGTGTGTGATCATCATGTTCTACTTTCATTTTCTTAGCTTGCTTTTTAAGGGGATTTTTTGGGCGTTTCAGTTGAACACGTTTTTTGCTTTGAGATTTTTGTTTTTTCAGTCTTTTTTCTTCTCGTTCCTTTCTTTTATTCGCTAATTCTTCCTCCTTAATTTTTTTCTCATCGTCCTGATTTTTTAGATATTCTTTGTATTTGAGCCCTGTTAATCCATAAGGTGCAGGCATTTTTTTTGTAACTTTAAATTTCTTTTGTGGTAAATCCGGTATTTTCAAAAATCCTTCTAGTGGATTGGATGGATTTGTATCATTCGATGAATTAATACTATTAGTGGCATCTATTACAGACTTTATTGCAGTCTGACTATCAACTGTGGACTCAAGCGAATTTTTTGCTTGATTAGTGTTATTGCTGCAACTGGGAATGGCTGGTATGGATGATGCGTTATTCTGAGGAGAAGAGCATTTATTAGGAGCGTCAATAATGAGGTCTTTTTCTACTATTATTTCTAAAGTATCATACCATGGCAATGGTATCACATCAGGTATGTCTATTTCATTCTGAATAATAAAATCTATGACATCTTCAGTTGTATCAAAGGGTGGTAAATTGGGTAAAATACTAGTCTCACCCAATAATATGGAATTATCCGATGGCAGTCGGATTGCCGAATCTATTATAATTGAACTATTAGTTGCATGCATTTCTTCAGTTTCCACATTTGTAATTTCAGACTCGACGATTTCGGGAACACTATTCCTTTCCAGTGCCTGGCTTGATTCCAGTTTGGAATCGTCCTCGTTTGAAGTAGACGCTTCTATAGATGATACTGACAGATCAAGAGGAATGATCGGGGTATTCGGTGTTATCGTGTCACTCTGTTTTTTATTCTCAAGTTGATTTCTACATTTTTTCCACAGCTCAAAATATTGATGGGGATGAGAACGGTTTAAATTGTAAGACATGACAAACTCATTTCTTATCATCTGGCCAACTTCACCTTCTATAACCTTGATCGTACTTCGTAGATCCTCTTTTTGGTCATGAAGACTAGAGGTTGTGGTGCCTTTTTGGTTTTGTTGCGCAATTTCTTGCCTTCTATTACTTATGCAGCGTGAGTAGTCAACTGCATCTGGAGACATTGGATATAAACCACAAACTCTAAATGAATTTTTTATCGTAGTTGGCTTAATGCTTCCGTCGTAAGCTATTTTAAACAACGCAGCAAAATTTTGTTTTGTTATAGGTACAGTGGATGCCTGTTTATGCTTTCTCACTACCCTTTTCCAATTTTTCTTCAACGGTCCAAATATTCCTACATCACAGGGCTGCAAAATATGAGTTGAGTTGGGATATAAACAGAAAATCATTATGCCTTTTTCACGACAGAAATCAAACATGTCACGGTTGATATGGGACTTGTGGCCATCCAGAAATAGCAATACAGGCAACCGGATTTCATTTTTTACCAACCATTCATAAAATAACTTAATGTAGGTAAAAAATACAACTGATACCATCCACCCGCTGTCGGAACGGCCAATATACCAAGTATCTGGGAAATTTTGAATTACGGCTGGTGGCATTCTTTTATATGGATACAAAACAAACGGTGGTACATCAGTACCATCAGCAGAGAATGTACATAGGACTGTGATTGATTCTTTTTCTTTCCCACTTGCGATTTCGTATGTATTTTTATAATTTTTGGGCCCCAAAATCAGCCCCGTTTTAAGACAAGTCATGACGCCAGTTTCATCTGAATTGAAAATACGAGTCGGGTCATCTTTAATGTCTAAGGCATTTTCTTCCTCTAAAAACTTGTTCAATTCAGTAAACCAATTTCTGATGGCCTCTTCTGTAACCGCTGCCCTAGCTTTTGATATTATTTCAGCGTTTCTTTTAGTTACTTCGGGATGTCTTCGCAAAAACAAAGTAAGCCATTTTTTCCCCGGTCGGCCTTTTGTAAATTTATTCTCCCTCTCATTTTGTTTCAAGAATATTTCCACAGTATCATAAACTTCTTCCGGGTGCATTGGAAACCCAAGTTTAGCTTTTGTTAAAATCCAGTCTGCTAGCTTGTTTTCTTCGTCGAAAGTTAGTTGTGTTAATGGACCCATTTTTCGTTGCCATGGTACTTTATTATTTAATTTATTACTTAACGTTGATTTGGGTATGTCGTATATTTTGCTGGCTTTATTAATAGACAAATCGTTATTTGTTATACGGGTAAGAGCCTCCTCTAACTGTTGTTGAGTATAACGGAATCTTGCGTATTTCTTTTTAGTAGATTCCATTATTTTTGAACTAAAAAAAAAGAGAAATTGAAGTTGAAGCGTCTGAATATTTTTTGTAACTAATTACTGAGATAAAACTAAATATCACTGCTTGAAATATAACAAAACATTAATAGTTTATTTATTCATTCATTGGATTTTAAAAACCAGTAAATGAACGTAGCAATAATACTATAGTTCATTCATTGGTTTTTGAAAACCAGTAAATGAACGTAGCAACAATACTATAGTTCATTCATTAGATTTAAAAACTAGTAAATGAACACTAGGGTGTTCGAATACTGGCCTAAAGGTAGACAATCAATAATTAAACCTTTCTACAAAAAATAAACCAATTCTGAGAACAGAAACATGCAAAATTAGCCAAAAGTAACAAAACAGACCAGAACCAGTGAATGAACACTCGTTCATTTACTAGAACTTTCTCACTTTCATGATCTAGTAATCGAACACCCCTTTATTTTTATTAAACACATGAAATTATAAACAAGTTGTTTTCTAATGAATAAAATAATCATTGTTCTATCTTATTATGCAGTTTTCTTTACACTGTCACTCATATAACGTGAACAACGCTAATACCAAAATGCACTGTCTTACCTGAGTCCTAAATTCTCGCTCATACAATCACGAAACACAACACAACACGTCCACTTTAAGCAGTCGCCATTTTGTAACTACGGGTCGCTGGCAAATGTTTGTGTGACCAGTTTACGTAAAAAAATTAGACCACTCGAAAAAAAAAATACAGTGTTTGGTAGAAATGTTTACTTTTCTTATTATATTGAAAAAACTCACTTTTGTTCATTCACTGGGGGGTGTTCATTCATTGGTGCACTTACCCTAGTTATCTCTAAGACGTTTCTTGAATACCAATAAAGTTTCGGAATTTCTTATATTTGACGGTAGTGAGTTCCATAACTTTACCGCGTGAATTGAAAAGAAGTGGGAGTAAAAACCGGAATTATAGATGGTTTTAGTACTTTAAGGCAAATACGAAATAATGTTACATCCTTATCTGAAATAAACTTCAAATCACGTTGACAAAGTGCGCACATAAATATTAACAGCGTTTTATTAAACAAAAATACTGTTATATAGCCGAAAACGACAAAACAAAAAATAGGTTTTTAATGTAAAGACGACAGATCCCGTCTTGTAGTATAGATATCTACATAGAAGTCTTTGATTAAAGTATTAGGAACATTAAAATACACATTCATAAAATTATATAAAAATTTACAAAATATGTATACAAATAGAACACCCGTTTATTTCTTTATTTATTAAAAGTTAGCAGAGTTTGAACGTATATTTTTAAATAAATTTAAGTAGCCTGAGATTATATATCTACATGATTCTTTGACGTCGCTATTTTATATATTCTGTGTCCAATAGTTGTTAGTACGTGTCCGTAGTGCCTAGTCTCATTGGATTGTGGCGTTCGTTGTTCTTAAACATAAGTTATAGTCGGTAATGTATAATATTTTAGTTCGTTATAAATACGACCTAAACACCGAGATATTTGGTACTTTTCCTTTAAAAGTTTAGGTTTTGTCCTCATTAACATTTTTGTCGCAATAAATGTGACTTTAAAGTAAGGTGTTGGTATGGATTTAATGTCAACGTTTAAGATAAAGATAATTTTAATAAAACTTTGAACGAGAGTGGATTTTTTGTTTTGGAACTTATAAACTTATCTTTATAGTTATTTCAGTTCCCTTACATCGCCTCTAGGTTTTTAATTTTAATAACGTTTTATATTTCCAAAATGGCTTACAAAATTCATTACGTACTCGTAAAATGGATCAGGTTCTTTTGTAGGCTTAAATGTTATGGAACTTCGGCCTAAGCTATTTACAGTGTTACAAGATATTCTATACAAGGCCACTACGCAGCAAAAGGAAACTCAGAATATATTTATATGTGTAGGTACACATTATACACATTTTTAACATGGTAGAGCCACGCTGCAGCCATATTATGGTTATAGCACGCATGTGTCGGGTCGACCAGGGTGGGACCATCGTAAAATTACAGCCTAATGCTGCTGTGTTTCATATGGTGAGTGTAGAGAACCGGAGATCCTTTTTACTAGAAATAAGGCATTACATCTTAGTCCGCAGGTCTAAGTCAGAGGATAAATGTAGATGTCTATGGCCTGCAGGATCCACTTACCATCAGGTGGACTGTATGCTCGTTTATCACGCTTATCCTATAAAAAAAAAACACATCTGTGGTTACAAAATTTTATAAGCAAACTCTGTGTAAATTCTGGCCGCCGAATATTTTCTAATGAATGCAAACGAAAGTCTAAACTTTACACATCCGATCAAGAGTTCATAAAGATAGTACGATAAGATAGTTGATGAATTTATGCGTTACCTTATTTTTATTAGATTATTGTTGGAATAAACAAAACATAATATTAAAATACTTTTAATGTACTAGGAAATCTCATCGGCTACCACTCAAGCCTGAGTTACTTGAGTAATAGCGTATTACTGTTATTTAATTTGGAAGGCGTTAATCGTTTTTTTATTCCAAACTATACGCAATTAATTTTACAGCCTTGCGTACAGTCTTGTATAGAAGGGAAAGATGTAACACAGCAGCTGTTTACATCAGTACTGACCAAGTATTGATATAAAATCTGTCATCTTCAGTAAAAAATCAAGGCGTAGATTTCCTTTTTATGTGTTTATTAAATTCTAGAACATTGGTGGTATAAATTTGTTTTTTTTTAACACACACTTCGATGTTAAAACTACTTCAATAACAATAATAATATTAAAGCCCATATTAATTTAGTGAAACATGGTTACTCTTATTATTATTATTACATAAAATTATTTAGGTATTTTATAAAATTTATGTACCTATGCATATAAGGTTGAAAAGTTTAACAGACTAGCATAGGGTATTACTATCTGTAACTTGAATCTCTTATAGTTCACTTATTGTTTTAAAACAGTAGTCTAACGACTTTTTACTTTAAATTATTGCTATACTCTATTTTGATGTTTTTGTTTAGCAAAAAGTCAAAAACGAATTGTACAACCTTTAACTGGTTTATTATTATAGTCTAGATCAGTATTTTGTGATTATTAAAATATAAGTTAATATATTACATCATGTGGTTTATTTCAAAAACTTTGTTTATTATTCATTGATATTTATGAAATGGTATTCGCTGAGTAGAGACGGCGGAGGAGACTCCACTACTAATCCCATTCATCCAGTAGATTTCGTTAGAGGCGACAAGGATAAATGAAACTGGATATGGGTACAACTCGCGGCCCGAAAGTCTAGTGGTGACCATTAATGCGCATAATCGACTGTAATACGCGTTATTGCGTACGATAGGCTGTGCGGATCGTTCGCACGCGCTGATTGACTCTCCAGTCGCATTCTGTCCCCTGTACTGATACGATATTCGCAGCTATATACGTGCAGGGGGCACGTTTTGTTGAACGCTAAAGTTACATGCCGCGATTTATAGCAGTATCTTCCTAATAGTATCTTAAAATAATAAAAATCTGCAGTTGCCAACATGCCCGCCAAGCGTGGCAACAATGGCAAATATCGCCGCTAATTTATGGGAGATGCTATCTATGTTCAGCACTGGACATTTTTATATGAGATAAATCAAACGAGCATGCTCTCTCAGCTTGATGGTAAGTGACTACCGGCCCCCATGAACAACTGCAACACCAGGGTAGTGGCAGATGCGTAGCGGGCATTTAAAAAAGAGTAGGCTCTTTTATTAGAGGTTGGCACCGGTCCAGAAATTTTTTTGGTGGTAGTCGATTCCATAAAGAAGTTGTGCAAAGAAGAAAACTTCTTGTAAATCGCATAGTGGTAGACCGCCGGTCATCGAGATGCTATAGAAAGTATCTCGACTTTTATCGGGATGAGCAATGGTGAAATTGGGCGACTGGAATTAGTTCGAACAATTCCTCTGAGAAATTCCCATTGTAGATACGTTAGAATACGCAAAGAGATGTAACATCCCTTCAAAGCACCAGTGAGTCGAGCCTTGAAACACTGCGCTGGATGCGATTATAAAGATGATATTCCTTGTAAAGATGCAGGCGGCGTGCATGGAATACTGTACCGTTCTGCTGAGTACGCCAAGCTTTTTAGAGGCCAATTTGGGTGAATAAATGAATTAATCATAGTAGTCGGTGTGCGTTTGCTCACCCCACATATCCTTGAAACTTCTTAGTTGAAGGTGTTCATGGACTGTAATGGAATGTATATAGTACAACAAAATAAGACAATAAAACAATCATACACCCAGGTGAGTATAATTTTATATATTTCGCCTTAGAACAAGGTCGAGAAACAAACATCAACAAATTTTAAATTTTTATCATTAACAGTAACATATTACAAGATTTAAATATAGTAAATACAGTTAGAACATGACTAAGGTTAAATATATTATAATTTAATGATGGTATTAATTATGTATGTGAAAACAATAAAATAAGTGGTAATAATAATAAAGTGACATATTTAAATAATAATTTTGTTTACTACTTTATACTATTTAATATAAAGCGAACATTGCAATTTAATTAATAATTTGTTAAAATAATTTAAAATGTGTGTATACTATTTAAAAATAAATTTCTTATCTCTGATTTATTACAAAAAAATCCAATTTACATCCTATCGGCATGTGTCATGAGCGGAGAGACAGTAATTAGCACAAAGTAAGGAGTAAGGACTAGAGTAGGAGCTTTCTAACAACGTCTAAAATGTACACCTATTTTGATAGGGTTTTTACCTGATGAATATGAAAAATTTAAGGAAAAAATAAAAACATTATTTAGCAATCTATGTTACAATGGTATTTATTAAGGTTTGAATGCGTCGGCTGAACGGGGAAGGATCACGTTCACACTGAACACCAGCGTATAAGAGCATCCTAATGCTGCCGGGTTTCATATGGTGAGTGAAGAGAAATGGTGATCCTTTTTACCAGTGAAGAGGCATTTCATGTTAGCAGTTAGGTGCGCCAAGGCATCTGCGTAGTGCTTCATTCAGGATAAACATAGGTGTCCTTTGAGTTTCAGTATCCACTCACACTCTTACCGTTACAGCATATACACCCCTCCCCATGTTCTGGTAATTTTCTTTCAGCCGTCTCTTAGGACACCTACGGGACAATATGAGGTAGTAGATATTCTTCCAGCGCCACTACACTTAGAACCAAAAAAGGATGTTTCAGGGAAACTGTGTATATGCGTACTTAATTGTAACATTTGTTTTTAAAAACTGTCATTATGACATTCTGTGATTTTACACATCTAATTGAGTCAATTAAAGACAATAAAATAAGACAAAAAAAAACTTAAAACAATTCTACAACGTATCACTGATACACCTAAACTGAAAACGTATGCGTACTTAATTGTAACATTTGTTTTTAAAAACTGTCATTAATGATCAATCGAATAAAGTATTTTTTCCTTCCTCGGGTCGTATTTTACCAAGCAAATCTATACATCGAACAATGCGCAGATCAATTAGGGTTACGCTCACGACTCGTTCCGCTATCTATAGTTGAAATGGAAAAAATAAAAATGGTACAAATTATTTCTTTGTGAACGGGTTATCCGCTAAGCTACCTACCATACCGTTCAGTAATATCATAGATATCACCAAGTAATACAATAGAAACTAACATAGGTATTGTATGATATGACATTGTATTTAAAATATTATTATGAGGTATGTACTGTATATTTATTAATTGAACTATATAAACAACTATAATTATCCTATACACAGAATATTGTGATTCATAAGGTACACTATTAGATTCACTGGGCTAATAGCTAATATATATATTTATATATATATATATATATATATATATATATATATATATATATAGAATTTATTATATATATATATATATATAGAAATAGCATGAGGTGACCAAATATCGCTTCAATGCAAAACGAAGACGCAGCGGCAGAAAAGAAATTATTGAGAGGAGACGAGGAGGTGGGCGATAATGATGGGGAACCGACGTGGAAGAAGTCCATGAAGGTGACGCAGTAGCCGTGCTGCTCGGCTACACCGATAAGTGACTTTGATTGCCAGGCGAATACGCAATGGTAGAGGAAGATGTAAAGGATGTAAAGGGAAGAGACGAGAAAGTAGCCGATCATGACGGGAAAGCCAACACAGAGAGTGCAGGAAGGTTAAGCAATAGCCGTGCTACTCGGCTACGCCGTTAAGTAACTTCAATGCCAGGCGAATACGCAATGACAGAGGAGGAGGTAGAGGGAGGAGACAAGGAGGTGTCCGATCATAATGGGGAAGCCGACGCGGAAGAATTGCATGAAGGTGAAGCGGTAGCCGTGCTGCTCAGCTACGCCAGCACAAACCACGTTTGCGCTTGCGGCAATCAGCGTCCCGTTACCTGGACGAAGAAAAAAATGTTAGTGGAGTTCATGTGTGCAATGCTTGTTTAATTAAAAGTCATGTGAATGGTGAAATATATTTTTTCGAGTATACATGCTGTACGTAGTAAAAAATTATAGACCTTAATATTATAAGAATATAAATGACGTGTATGCAGTCGTTTAAAAACAAGCAAACAAGCTAGCGAGAACGCACGTAGGTACTCCTGCAATATGTAAAAAAACCCTGTCTTATCCGTGAGGATGTTTTTAGGTATCATAATATGATTCTGTTCATGTAATCATTTCAGAGAATAAATAAAAATTCTAATAAAATTATCCCACAAAAAATAATATATATTATAATAGAAACCAGTTTAAGTGACAGTGTTTTTGGTTCTGAAATGTTTGATTCTAAATTTACTGTATTCAGTAGGGACTGTCCTACAAGTTGAATTTGTAAGCATGATGGCGGTGGCGTATTAATTGCTGTTAAGGATGAATTTTATGTAATTAGACATGCGAGTTGGAAATATGAAGTTGAAAATCTTTGGGTGACTATCCTTCCGAGCAATGTTTCTCGTCGAAAGCTCCACTTATGTTAATGTTATCTTAATCCTGATACTTCTCGCGACCACTTGCAAGCTTTTTACGACAATATTCATAAAAACATATTTCGTGGTCAGGATAAAGACGCATTCTTAATTATTGGGGATTTTAACACACCACATCTAAGTTAGTCCCCGTAGTTAGTACTTACAATAATGTTATGGCACCAAGTATTTCATTAGACGTTAAATCTAATTGTCCTGTTGATCTTTGTAATATGAATCGTTGTAATCCAATACTTAATTCAGTATCTAATGCAAATGACCGTATTCTTAATCTCGCTTTATCAACAGCGGAAAAACTGAAAATTGTATTAATGGAAATTTTGAAATTAAAAAAAATGAAACCTGCGCAACAAATAAGATATAACTACCATAAATGTAATTATCCTGATTTAATACAGGATCTAGCAATGGTTGATTGGTTTAGTCTAGTTTATCGAGTGAACCGGATATAAACGATACTGTCGATAAATCCTACACTTTCGTGAAAAAGATAATTAGGTATAAAACACACGTCGCTTGTAAGTAAAACCAATAAAACAAATATCGTCGTTTTAAAAAATATTATAACGCTAGGGATTACGTATTTATTACTAAACTTTTACTTTTTGACACTTATTATTAAACTTAATACAAAGCGCAATCCCCGAATTCCTAGCAAGACATTTTACCTGCAAACTTATAAGAATACTACTTCCTTTTATAACCCGCTAAAAAGAATGTGTTGACTTTACGAGATATACATGAAAATCTCCGGCTTTTGGATATTTTTGACCCAAGATCCAGGATATACAAAAAATTTGTAAAACAGCTTACACCTGTATACATTAATTCCTATATCACACAGGTTTTTAATTTGTTTGTTAAATTTAATTTGTTGTATCATGTAGTGATGTGTGTCATTAATATTATAAAGCGTAGAGTTGATCTCTTCAGAATAACAATCTAGCACAAAACTGTAATTTGTGTTTTAATGTGGACTTGGACAATAAGTATGATAATTTTTCCAAGATCAACATTTTATTCATACGACGGTGTTCTGCATATGTATATATGTTGCCAGATTTAAAAAAAATTGTTAAATTTAAGCAAATTGTAACAAAAACATTTTATAAAAAACAAAAAATATTTTAATAAACAGTACCACTATTATTATCACTACAGCTCATCAAAAGTCCACTGCTGAACATACCATTAATAAAAAAAATATCTTTTTTTCCGCAACCTCATAGTGGTAGGTACCTACGTGCGTCTTTTGGATCAGATAGGGTTTCCTTTACATATTGTATAAGTATTATTGGTGGCGCTAATGGTTCCTGGGTTCGAATCCGGAATGGATGGTCGCTAAATGGTTAGGGTGACTATGTTGCCTTTCGTATCCGGATCGAAAGAACCTGAAAATGGTGACGCGGTAGGGTGTTAATTTTGAATCCGGTCCAACGGTACCAAAATGTTGCGGCCACAGGCTGTCCCTTCGAATCCGGGTCGAAGAACCAGAAAATGGTCGTGCTACTGAAACTTATAGCCGAAATGAAGGGCCAGAAAATGGTGGAGCGATAGGGTCTCGGGTTCCCGGGTTGGGCCAAATATTATTATGCGAGATTTTACTATATATGGACTGTATGCGCGGTTTTCTATAATCAATGCAAGATGGCGGAAGTGGAACGTGGCCGGGTGTTGGGCAATGCAATTGCTAGGGCCTAATATTTTTATTAGTCGGCAAGGGTACGAGCGTGAGCTGTTGTAGGGAAGGAGTGACACAAATGAGAACAGCTCACGCTAGGAAAGAAGGAAAAGGCACTTACTTGGGCGTTCTCTGGTGTGGCGTGGTTGAATCTTCTGGCGGCCTTTTACTCAAGCCTGAGGTTGATGGCGCTACGTTGCAGCTGCGGTGGCGCGTGATGATAAATTGCACTATGCGAAACGGTTACCACTAGGCTGTTCTGTGGCGCGAGTGCCACAGAGGTGCAATCACATCTAGCGATGGTCTTCGACTACTTGGCGTGGCGGCGGCACGTCGACAACAACTGGCCAGCCAGTGGCGTATTTTCGACCTTTAATCTTCGACCCGCGCGTCTTACTGGTTACCCAAAATAACGCCACCATCTCCGGTGATATGGTGGCGTTATTTTGGGTGGTGGCACCGTATCCGGTATCGGAAAGTAGTTGGAAGTGACAGGGAAGGATGCCGGCTAATGTAGTCTACCAAATATGCGTTTTAGTGCAACCAATTATAGAACAATGTTTTATTCTGATAACATCTACAAGAACAGAAAAGATGACAAACACAGCTACTTTAATATTTCATATTTAAGAATTACCTCCCAAACAAGCTCCAAACATCAAGGCCCATATCAACGGCGCCATGGGGAGGTTCAAGTTGGGATTTGAACCTATCGACACGACAACCCGTATCATCATTGTCGTCAACGGTATGTTGTCTACAAAGGCGGATATCACTCCCGACACCTATAAATGAAAGGATACATATATTTTACATGCTCCATAGAAGAGGAGTAAGGATATCGACTACCCTAACTAAGAAGCGACCGAGGGAAATGGAAACAGAAGATGGGCAGCACCATCTTCCTGATAACAGTACAAAATCATAAAAAAACTGTGGTTCCCAACTCGTCTACTGAGCGTGGCAACTGTTACGAAATCTCCATTTGAGTCAATCTATAGGTAAAGCCTGTAGCAGCAGTGGATTTTTATGGGCTGTAATAGAATGAATAGAGTGTCTTTGGACTAGAGGATTCACTTACCATCAGGTGGATTATATGCTCGTTTTATCACTTAATTTACCTGTATAACGTTTAAAATAAAAAAGTCCTTGATCAACTCTGCGTTTCTAGACCCCTTCTTTATGGAACTCTTTTTTCTAACAATTGCTCACGAGCACACAGTCAACCTGATAGTAGTGGCCACTGCAGCTCATGAACACCTGTAACCAGCTTTAAACAAAGAAGTCTACATACAGAATGTCACTGCTGAGGTATTAGATGTAATAAATCACAGTCTTTTAATATACCGATCCTTTATACAAGTGCTTGCTACTGCTCTGTATCAAAAAGTTTAAAATTTTCACTAATTAGAAATCGTTAAGTTAAGGGTTATTTTACTACTAAAAAGTACATGATTGATAATAGCCCCTGGGAATGAGGTGACCGCTATCATGCTGTTTATAAATGTTTTCATTTTTAATTGTGTAAAATATTTAACCTCATATTTAAAACATAGTATAAAATTTAAACTAATTAAAGGGTTACACACAATACTAAATAAAACTGTAATAAAGAAAAACTAAAACTAAAAATTTAAAATTTTCTTTCATTCCTACTCCCCGTGGAATCGTGCGAGAACGCTGGCTGCGAGTCCTCGCTGAATATATTCTAATACTTAGCTTTTGAACGAGAAAAGAACGAGCCCTCTTATCACCAGAAGCAACGAACACGCACGGATATAGTTCTATTAGGAACTCCACTGCACGTGGACCTCACGAATAAAATATTATGCTATAAATTAATTAAAAAAGTCCCGCTGTGTTTCTCACTGGTTCTTCCTAGGACAGAATTTTTTTCGGAATTATTGGTAAAGCTTAAATGACATTCAATAAGTATTCTGGTAATCAATATTGAATAAAAAATATGATATTATATTCTATTCCTTTTTCTATTAACTGGATTTACGACTCTGGGTTCTAGCCCTTCTGAGCCAATCATTTCTTTCGGAATCTTCATTTTTATATTCTTTTTCTTCACAATATGCTGATGCGTCACATTGCGAAGCCTTTGGGAGATTTTGACGACAGCTCAACCCAGCGGACAGTTGATGACGACAGTCACTCAAGTTCGTAAGGCGCCAAAGCGATGAAAATAACTTGAGGTTTATATCGACATCAAAGCACTTGCTTTGTCGTTTTCTTTTATAGTTCACACGTGCGGTCATTTGATTCACAAAATCGCATCACTTTTACGAATCAAAATCCACTTTAAACCATTATTCAAGCGACAAAACAGTAGCAACAATCCGTCTACGGCCAAGTTCCCGCCAAAACCCATCTATTCTATTCTATGCTGCTTGGCAGCAGATAAAGATAAGGATGGTACAGACACAGGCGTTTACCTAAACAGGAATGGAGTCCTGACACGATAAATGATAAAGATTATTAATAATAATTATAAAAACAGCCATGATTATAAAATCAACTTACCCACAAAATCAACATCAAGGCAGCTGCGAGACGAGCGCTCTCATCCACCTTAAATATGAGCTGCTCCATGAAACTGCCGATGTATAGAATCAAGCCGAGCTTAGACAGCGCCTACAGAATGATTTTTATAAATTTTTTTTATCGGTTCCTTAACAATAATAAATATAACTTTATTTTATGTAAATACACCATAAACAAACATTACAAAATAAAGGAATATGCGCTTTTATAAACAGGCATCAGTTCTTTATAATCAGTTTTTTATAATCAGGCATCGGGGCATCAGCTGTGCGTGACCTTATCGCTGCAAACGATCTATTTCAGGCAACTTTTAGATTGACAGAAACATAAAGTAGTTCTTCTTCTTTATCGGCACAGATGAATTGGCGATTGCTGACTAATGGCTGGTAACAAGTGCTATAAGTTACACTGTACGAGTAACGAGCCTATATTGCAGTATTGCACAACTTATTTATGTAAAATTATGATATATTCGTATCCAAGTAAAAGTTAGGAATACGCAATGTACTACAAAGCTACTACCATTTTTATAATTAACTAAGTTAGCGATTAGGCCTGCGGTGTTTCCAAACACAATCAAGAAGCAATTGATTATCTTTACATACAGTGTTATTTTTCAAAAGTACCTAGTCAAATTTTAAACTTAAGTTAAGTTCAAATATATAACTAATTATATACCGATATTGCAGTTTTCGAAAATACGGGTAAATAAGGCTTCTATTTTTATTTGAAATTGTCCCAAATTGAATTTGAGTTATGAGGAACAACGTTTTTGCCTAGCGATCGACCCTTATCCCCTGGCCACACACTCGCCGAGTGGCATGGGAATTAGCGAGGAAAGGAGGCAGAGACGTAGTGTGGCCACAATACTCGTCATATCGCACGTCATGCTTCTCGTCATGCACATCGTTCCCAGTTTTCGTTCGGTTTATTGGGCGCGAGTCAAAGGACTGGCAATATGAGCGCGAGTGGGTGGCCACACATTTGCGCAAACGCAGTCCGAATCTAGCACTCGTTACGGAAGCACGTCACGTGTAATTTAAATATTATAAATGGTGAACTTATCATCATCATTGAACCATTTTATCACATGAGTAAACAATATACAGAGAAAAAACTATCGACGACGGCAACGTATACTTTTTTTAAGAAATTCGTATGGTGATTCTAGAATATGAACAGCTCGCATGCAACAGTTCTTCTTTTTTACATCCAAACCGAGGATAGGGGAGACAAACGCCGCGTTTAACACACAGTCCCCACCTCGATGGTAAGTTGTTGCCGAGCCATAAAGTGCGGCGCATAGACATCTACATTCTATCCTCGATTACAAATCAAAATGCGTAAGACGCGTAGGAGATACGTTGTACCCGTGAGGACTAAGATGCAATGCCTCGTTTCTAGTAAGATTACGTGGTAGAGCCATGCTGCAGCTATATTAGTAGTATAGTTGTAGCACGAATGGCTCGGCTCGACCGGGGAATGACCACGCTCTCACAGAATACCAGCGTAAAATAGCAGCTAAATGCTGCTGTGTTTCGTATGATGAGTGTACCGGAGATCCTTTTTACTGGAAACGAGGCATTCCATCTTAGTCCTCACCAGTGACAACGCGTCTGCATTTTGATTTGTAATCGAGGATAGATGTAGATGTCTATGGGCCGCAGCAACAACTTACCATCAGGTGGACTGTGTGTTAGTTTGTCACCCTATCCTATAAAAAAAGAAGGTTCTCCGGTTCTCTACAATCACCATACGAAACACAGCAGCATTAAGCTACCATTTTACGCTGGTATAAAATAATGCATTACCAGGCAATTTGAATATATAAGTTACTTATATTACTTAGTCTGAACCTACTCTGAAAATTTGGCCGGTTATTGCAAAATAACCCTGTATAATAATTAAGTATTACATTGTTCCCGATGAACTCCGAAATCACTCAATCGATTTTAATTAAATTTTGTAAACGCGTATTGCGTACTTCACTTGAGAGATCGTGTAGTTTTTATTCTGATAAGTGACCTACAATATTTTTACTGCGAAGGGCAAAGCCTCGTTAAACTGTCGCAGAACAAACTCTAACTCGACAGTTAGTACCTATAGTTATAGATTTCCATTTAAGTTGTGTGATGATCTAAATATCAGACTGTAAAAATGGGATTATAAACTAACCTCCATAAGTACAAAGAGCGCTGCAAAGAATAAAAGAGTAGACCATTCCACACGATGCAGTACTGGCTCCAAGTCCTCGCGGTCTGCGAGAATCAGCAGAAGAATGGCACCAAGGAGTGCCGTCCAGCTTAGGGATACACGATCTGTGAAATTTGAAATAATATTTGTGTGACGTAGAACAACGTTAACCACGGACATATATAATGTCCTCAAGACAGAATTTCGGTCTCGGCGGCCAGTCTCAATGGACACTAGCCAACTGCGCACCACACGATAATAGTGCACGTGCACGCAAGCACAAGTGCACTCTCTATTCCTTCAGTCAGCCAGTGGATCGTCTGCAGGGGTTGTTCTAACCAGCAGGTATCGGGTCTCTAGGCTAACCTATTTACCCGGAAGTCTTCTAAAGGGGTTTCCCCTCCGGGAACTTGTAAACAGCACGTGAGTGTGCAGATTGTGGTGTGACTTCGGCATCTGAATCTATTCCCCTACTCTCATAGTCCGATGGGACGGTTACCTGACACGACCGGAGAGAGACAAGGCCCAATAACATCAGCTTTACTTGCGTTCCGAGGCTCGGGGGTGAAACGGGGGTTGCTACTAAGAATTACCTACAATTGATTTTGGCCCAACCTGGAATTCGAACCCAGGACTCATAATCAACAACCGCGTTTAAAATTACTAGACCAACGAGGCTGTCAAATAATACTGTATAATGTTACACTTAAAATGTATCTAGCACATTAGGTAGTACAATTTTGTTTGTTAATACGCGAGATACACACACATAAAAGACAGTCGTTCCTTTTCGTTCCTGGCAATTTTTTCGGGTCTGATACGACTTAGGGACCTTCAAAAAAAGAGCTTACTCCTTTCTAAAAGGCTGGCAACGCACCTGCGATTCCCCTGGTGTTGCGGTTGATCATGGGCGGCGGTAGTCACTTAACATCAGGTGAACCTTATGCTCGTTTGCCCCCTCTCTTATATAAAAAAAACAATGCCTAAAGATAGGTGTTTTAATGATAAGCACATAATGTAACAGCACTTTTCATTGTAATCAATTTAACATTTTGGTGAATTTTCGTAACAGCACCATCAAGACGATTATTAATAGCAATACAACTATTAGACAACTGACCTCATTAATTTCTTTTATAGCACTGGGTGACAAACGAGCACACAGTCCACCTGATGGTAAGTGGATGCTGTGGCCCATAGATATCCACATTTATCCTCAATTAACGATCAAAATACAAATGCGTTTAAGATGACATGCCTCGATTCCAGTAAAAATAGTCACCGGTGCTCTACACTTACCATACGAAACACAGCAGCATTAAGCTACTATTTTACGCTGGTAGTATTCTGTGAGAGCGTGGTCCTGCCTCGGTCAAGTCGACCCATTCATGCTGCGACTATAATATAGCTACAGCATGGTCCTACCATGTGAACAAAATACAATACTATGACAAATATAATAATTCAAATTATGTACAAAAGTACTAAGCAAAAATTATTAAGTAATATATATATACGTCTATTTTTTTTTTTTTTTTTATGTTGCGTGTGTTAATTACGGAATAAAGTTTGCTGAATTTTCAATATAGTGAAGTAAATTAACAGCAGAAACCCTTTTCAAATTATTAATGTTGCTGATAATGTAACCATATTTTTTTTACAAAGAGTCATCATTAATTATAAAACGAAAAAAATCAATTAAGAAAATAAGTAGTTAGGTATTATAAGTTGCTCACGTAATTATATTGAGCACTTAAGTTTGTTGTCCATTTTAATGTTGCAAATTGTCCTTTTTGTGCATGTACAACTGTAATTAATATTACGTTCGTATGTTTTCCAAGTCCGTGAATTCTGAAATTTTGTAGGCATATTATGAACTGAAAACAATACAATAATTTCATAAACTTTTCCTAATTGAATTACCCCGCGGTATAGTACCGTGACAATTTTTTTTAATATTCAGTTTAGGGTTTCTAATGAGAGAAAGTCATAGTGCAAAATATTAATTTGAAATACTTACTGAACTGGGGTATAGAATGCAGGAAGAACAGAGTGACGGCGAAAACGATCGCAACTATCGCTTTTATAAGAAGCACCTTGTCGCGAATTTTGTACTGCGAAAGAATAATTCCTATTATCCTCTGTCTCACCATGAACACGCAGGTAACGTTGAGATTTTATCATACACGTAGACAAACACACGCACGCACGCACATACACGTCATAACTTAGATATAGATACTGCAGTTCATCCTACATAGGCTGCATTAAAAGTATCGGAAATGGAATATTTCCACTGTTCCTGTCATATTAAAATCTTTTTAATTGAAAAGTCCTTGGTTTTAAAAATCGAATACCATTTATTTATTTAAAAAAAGATTCTCGGTCGTGTCACAAGGTTTTGTCAAACTTGTTTAGTCGTTAAGAAAGTGAAATTGACTCGAGAAAATTCAAGAGTGATGATTTATTACGACTTTCGAACTGGTTTAACACAAAAACAGTGAGTTGAACGGATAATTTCTGCATTTGGTGATGAAGCCCCAACCAAAACCACAATTTATCACTGGTTTGCTGAATTTCAACGTGGACGTGTCAAGCTCAGTGATGATCCCTGTCAAGGTGTCCAAAAACTGCAGTCACCCAAGAAAACGTTGATGCTGTGCGTAAGCTGATTGAGGAAGATCGACATGTGATATACCGCGAAAATCAGGCAACTTTAGACATTGGAATGAGTCAAATAATCTTGCATGAACAATTAGGTGTAAAAAAGTTGTTTTCCCGATGGATACCGCATTCGCTCTGTGAAGATCAAAAAGCGGCTCGCGTTACTTGGTGCATCAGAACTCTCGAAAGATTCCACGCAGGATCCTCAAATGCTGTATACAATATCGCATCAGGTGACAAATCCTGGATATATGCGTACAAACAAAAAACGAGTCACGAGTTTGGGTGTTCGAAAATGAGTTAAAGCCAACAAAAATTGTTCGTTCACGGAGTGTTGCAAAAAAAATGGTCGCCACGTTTGTCTCCAAAACCGGCCATGTTACGACTATTCCTCTTGAGGAACAAAGAACGGTTAATGCAGAATGGTATGCTAGCATTTGTTTGCCACAGGTCGTTTCTGAACTCCGTAAAGAGAACTGCAACCGCCGCATCATCCTCCATCACGACAATGCGAGTTCTCACACCGCACACAGAACAAAAGAGTTTTTAGAGCAAGAAAACATAGAATTATTAGACCATCCGCCGTACAGCCCCGACCTAAGCCCTAATGATTTCTATACTTTCCCTAAAATAAAGAATAAATTGCGTGGACAGAGATTTTCATCACCTGAAAAAGCTGTGGACGCCTACAAAACGGCCATTTTGGAGACCCCAACTTCCGAATGGAATGGTTGATTCAATGATTGGTTCCATCGTATGGAAAAATGTGTCAAATTTCGCGGAGAATACTTCGAAAAGCAATAAATACATTTTTAAATAGTAATGTTGTGTCACTTCCTTGATTCCCGAAATTTTCAGTGCCGCCCTCGTATACCCATTGCTTAGTTGTAATCACTACTCACTAACTGGCTATGTTTGGTGGCATTATAGAATCCAACGTCCAATATCCCGCGGGTGCCGTAAGAGGCGATAAAGGGAAATTAACAAGAGATGAGTTGCAGCATGTCAGAAACATGCTGCCGCCCACTTCCTCTATTCCATGGAAACTCAAAATCTAATCAGAATTATCTAATATCGAAATATAATGATTTCTTAAATTTACGCGAACACAACACATTGATTTAAACTATATTTACGGATTTTATCGCGTTTATTACGACATTTCGGCCGCTTTACAGCACCTATGGTCACAGACGGGGGGGGGGGATTGAGACGTTTGACGTCCCGAAATCATACTTAACCCGGCCCTTCAGTTTTTGAATATTCATTTTTGGTTCGATCTACGCAGTACGCACTTACAGTATCCTGAAGTCTTGCAGTGGTACACTTATGGTATGGGTTTAATTTTGTTAATTATAGGATCTCAAGCAGATGACAGCACCCATCCATCTTCTCCATTGAAATTAGGATGTTCTTTAATTTCAATAGCCTCGCGTATCATCCTTGGTAGGGATCGGTGTTCTTTTACGAGGATTCATGGTGATTCTGTTCAAAATTGTCCCCATCATTACATCATACATTTTCAGAATATTATTTGTAAGAACTGAAGAGGCTCCCGCTTAATTAGAGGAGAACATAATCCTCACCTTTTTCTTTAAGTCTACAAGCGTGCTTTTAAATGTGGCTTTAGGACAAGCTCTCTTGCTGCTCTCCCGCAACATCTTGTCAAGTTGCACAGTCAGCTTCTTGACCTTTCTCTCCAGCCTCTCCCTCACGACGTGGACGTCCTTGCTGAGGTGTGGCAATGACTCCGCAGCGCGGCGCCATATTGAGATCTGATTGCGTATATCTGAAAAAATATATATTAAGAAACTAGTATTATTCATTGACATTGTATTAACGTATCGAAATAATATGCAATATTTCAAAAAAACTAAAATTAAAGTAAAATTATCGTAGAGTCCTACTCCCCGCGTCATAGTTTCGAGAACGCCGGCTGCATTTTCTCGCTGAATGGCAATAGTTAGCCTATGAGCGAGAAAAAACCAGCCCGCTTCTCACCATGGCGATGCCATGTTGCGGGTATGGTTCCTTAAAGAACTTCACCGCATGTGAACGTCACAAACCGATAGTATTTATAGTAAATAGCACAAATATGTAGTTATATTTCAGAGACTTATTTATATTTGCCCCGATTACTCAGTTCAGACGCCGCTGATAGGGCCCAGACTCAACGAGGTACCTGATACGAGGTTGTCAAAATGTCTACGAATATTTATAAAAACATAAGCTTTTCGACTGTCATTGTATAGAAAACTGTGACCGGACAACCTACCAGCACTTTTCTTACATTAAATTCCGTGAACTCCCTATATTCAACCAAATCTAAGAAATATCTTTTGACGTTTAACATTAATCATTCCGCTACAACTTTGCACAAGCCTACTCACACAATTTAAAATAACCTTTTACGTAAATCCGAAGAATTATGAAATTATCTATATTCCATTACAACGTGCATAGTTTTTTTATCACTAATTTAAATTCGAATCTTTCAAGCAAAACAAAATATTAAAAAACTAACCAGTATCAACCTTTTACTTGACGTCGTTTCAATGATATATCGCTCAGAACCTTAGCGTAGGTTTGGATGATTAAAATTCATTGTTATGAGAAAAATCGACAAAAATTTTCAAATAATCGTTAAAAATATTAAAATAATCGAATCATTATTTTTTTTTGTATTATTTAATTAAATTATTATTTATAAAATTTCTTAAATAACATAAATCATGAATAAAACAAGTTTATTTTTTTTATTTTATCAACATTAATTTGTGTAGAAAAAAAATCATATACAAGACCGCGCTGAAAAAGCCACTACGTAATTTCAATTTCCCGCCATTTCGGGAGCTTACTGTGCGTTATTTTATGATTTCGTGTTTGTCTGCTTATTTTGTGACTCGACTTTAACTTTTTGGACTGTTTCTTCTATATTCGTTGAAGCCTGTGCCCGTGTCACAAAGGCTGATTGAGTAAAAGGGATAGAAAAAACAAAAAAATTGATTATGGATGACTATGAAAGAGACATTAATTTTAACAGCATTATTAAAAATCAAATAATAATTAATCTATTCAACGACAGCTCAAGTAGTTTTACTGAAAGTGATTGAATAAATTTATTTTTAATCTAGTTTCAATCTTAAATTTTTATAACTTTGCCTGTAGAAATAGGCAGTAACAATAAATACGAAGAAACTGAAAAATCTTGTGTTTTAAATTATCTGTTTCTAATTTATTCTGGTATTATTCAAAGCAAACTGTAAATAATTACCAACTCTAAATAATCGATATCGATTTTTTTATGAATCGAATATTGTATGTTCTCATTTTTTGGTTGGCATGCTTGGTGCAATAAGTCCAACAGCTGCAAAATGTATTTCTTAGATTTGATTGACTATAGTGATTATGTGAACCAGTGGTAAATGAAGGTGTTTTTTACGAACCAGTGGTAAATGAAAAAAAAGTGACTTTCAATTAGTATTATTTGTAATCCATTTTGAATAAAAAAGTTTTTGTTTCTGTTTATTTTATTTATTTATTTAAAACTTCATATACACAAGTGGTATATAGGCGGACTTAATGCCTAAGGCATTCTCTCCCAGTCTACCTTGGGATGATGCAGAGATAGAATGAAGTAGGTGTAGTAAAAAGTTAATATGCGAATACTAAAATAAAATGACAAAAAAAATTGTAATACATGGAAATAAAATACATAAGATATAAATGGTACATCGCAAAAAATAGATAAAATTACATTAATATTCATACACATATATGTATATAAAATATATAATATACATAATTACAATAAGAACAATAAGAATATATAACACATATAAACATACATTCTGTTTCTGTTTCGACTAAAAATTACAAACTCCGAAACTATATTTTGAAAAATTCGTTAACTTTAGATACCCGGAAACTGGATTTGAAAAAAGTAGCTAACACTATACACTCGGAACCGTTATTTAGAAAAAGTCGTTAACTTTAGACACCCAGATACTATATTTTGGAACAGTTGTTAACTTTAGACACTCGGAATATGTGGAAAAAACTCTAATTAGTGTATCGTGTTATGTTTGTTTAATCCTTCCATAATACGAGAGAAGTAACTTTAGGAAAACATAGATCTTTATTGGACATAGTTCTTGCCATGAATGCGACAACTGATTTTTTTATAGAATAAGGTGACGAACGCACACACAGTCAACCTGATGGTAAGTGTATACTGTGGCCCATACACATCTACATTTATCCTCGATTAAGAATCAAAACGCAGATACGTTGTCACCCCTATAGACTAAGATGGAATGCCTCGTTTCCAGTAAAAAGGGTCTCCGGATCTCTACACTAACCATACGAAACACAGCAGTATGAAGCTGCTATTTTACGCTGGTATTCTGTGAGAGCGTGCTCCTTCCCCGGTTGAGCCGACAGATTCGTGCTACAATCATGACAACAAACATATTTCAAACTCAAACTCAAACATTTTATTGCGTTCATATGGTTACATAAATAGTTCTTAAGTTGGATATATTAGAGCCAAAAATGAGCCCTGATAGGGCGTAGCAATATTATATTATATTATGTTATTTATCAATTTATTTTAATCAATTTAGAAAGACGAATTTTATTTTATTTTCTTAAACTACTTACTCAAACTACTACATTACTTTTAGGTTTAATAAACATTTGCAATATTTACAACGATATTAAAGTGTATTGTAAATATATAGTACATATTCAAAATAAACAATTATTATTTTTCACCGAAAAACTCTGACAACGAATAGAAACTTTTTTCAATTAAATATTTTTTAAGCTCTTTTTGAAATTTATACGACGATTCTTCTTTTTGTAGACATTTGGGAATTTTATTATAAATTTTTACACACATACCATGGGGTCCTGATTTAACTGTTTGTAATTTTGTGATAGGTGGAGCTAATTTTATACTAGGACGTAAAAAATGAGGCCGGGAGTATATTGAAAAAAGGTGCATATTCTTTTTAACAAATGTGCATACTTCTAGTATATAATATAGCTGCAGCGTGGCTTTATCACTTAAAGAATAAATCTCGTAACTCGGAAGTTTATTTGCATACCCAGTTTCTTTGTTTGTGTTAACATAAAGAAATAAAGAAGACAAACTGTACACACCCTGTATTTCCCTGGGTTCTTGCAACCGTAGTTTATTAGTGTCACGGTACATGAACCGGATCTGAAGAGTCGTTTGTATGAAAATTAATAGGATTCCCAGAGCCATGTGTGCGGTGAAGTTGGTAAAATTGATTCCCTGATAAAACAGAATAACAAAACGATATAATCAATAGTCTACAAAATGCTTAAAATACTTAGAAAAATTAAAAAAGCATCATAGCTATTTAATAATGCAGGGCAGCCTGAGCACTCACGCTCAGGAAGAGTAGAGGGGTATAGGATTCTCCGTCATCAGGGGTGCTGTTACCCTCCTGGAGTAGTGTTGTTTTTAACTCCGCTACAATATTAAGGGGGGTGAGCTTAAGTGAATTGGCGCCCTGGCCACCTGCTTTCGCTCACCAGACGAAATGCAGAGGCGCAGCTTCTACTTTACACTGGTCGTCTGTGAGGTCGTGGGACCACCCTGGTGCGAGCCGGCCTAAACATGCAACAGCGAAAGCTGCCGCGTGGCTCTACCACTGTTAGACACTGTTGACATGCCGCCATGTGACGTTTTTTTTATGAAATTGTTAGTATGTCTCAATTTAGACACTAAATCCTAAATGTCCTCCAAGCCGAATTTCAGTCACCCGTCTCATCAGAGACAAGCCATCTGCGCAGGAAAAGATAATTGTGCCGGAGTGTATGCCACAAGCACAGGCTCACTCTCTATTCCCTTTCTCCCATAGTCCGAAAGGACGGTTATTCAACACCACCGGAGTGAAATATGGCTCAGGACAGATAGCTTTACATGCTTTTCGAAAAACGAGGTTGAAACCTGCCAACTTTCCGTCTCCGGGCTGCTACTGAGAATGTCTGGACAGAAAAACCCAAAAACTAATTTTGACCCGACCCGGGATTCGAAACCGGAACCTCATGATCAGAACACACGTTCACGACCATTAGACAAACGAGGCAGTCATGGTATATACCACGGCAATCATGGTATATACCACTGCTGCATACCTACTGAGAAATAAGAGTCTACTCTTTCATTTTTAGTAGGGATTTGAAGCAATGTGATGTGATCCACATGTGCAGACAATGTCAAATCGAAGTGACAAATTAAAACGCTGTATATTGAGGTAAGTTTTCGAGTAGCAAGATGTGTATTTTAGCATCTAGCTCATTTCAATGTATGAATGTGAAAGAATCTGTTGTACATGTCGAAGGCTCCGTTGCATTAAAGGGTGCCGTATTAGTTTGGAAGCACGAATTAACCCTTAAATTGATTTGCGTGGTGAGTAGTAATGAGTGGGCGCGTAAAATAATCATTTAAAAAAGTGCAACAGTCAAACTTGTTTACGCTCCTGATAAATTTGATGATAATGATGAATATTTTGGTTGTTTTGTTTAAAAATTTGTTTTCTTAGTTAAAATATGAATAAAGGTATTCTGCTGTATTAATTTTGTATAAATATAACACTAATTACATCGTCAAAAACTTGGTTTATTTATATGTCCCATAAAACGGATCTTGCCAACTTAAGCTATGGTTTTTGTGTCTCTTGTAACGGACATTGCCAATTGGGCCTACTTGTGTTTCCTTTAATTGTCATATGAAACTGACGTCGCCAATAATTTCTACCTTATTTTCAACTTTTTTATTTAATTTTACAATAAAATGACTCGGAGATCAAAGAAAATTAAATCGCTGATACCTCCGTCAGATTCCAATGAGTCGGATATGAAGTCTGTTAACGATTTAGAAGTCAATCTTGAGCGGCGTGAGTTTTTTCGCTATGGTATAAGTAATTCATCTTCGCCCCGTACATTTATTGGTATTATAAGACATATTAGCCGATCGCAGCAGCAGCGAAGATAAAAATGGAGAGGAATGTACCGATCTCGAACATTATATTACTGAAGAACAGAGACTAGAGACGGTGCGTGTTAAATCCTCTCCACTCCCCACTAACTCTTCGGTCCTAATATCATGTTATATACCTGAAACACCATCAACAATATTGGCAGTAACACCATCCTCAAGTTTTTCTAGACATACACTGATGGCAAACACGGCAACATGTCGAATCAGATAAACCACACGTATAGACACGTCACTTGGCAACAAAACCGGCAGATAAAAAGCGTATAATAAAGCAATTAAATTTTGTATTTTAAAAAAGGAAATATACCGCATCTGTAAATACATCAGACTCAAACAACGACTTCAAAAACATTTATAATACTTCAAAAAATACCATGATATCCTTATTTAAAGTAATATTTTTAAAAATTCTTCAGCGATGAATTATTTTTAATAGTTAAAATGACAAATTTATATTCAGTACAAAGTAGCGGTAAGTCCATAAATGTGACGCAAAAAAGAAATAGAAATATTATTGGAAAAGAAATCATTACATGTATTGAAGACTTGCCTGTAGTCGTAGATTACTGGAGTGCTGATCTGAAGTATAAACAGATTGCACCCGCTTTGTCACTTAAGCGTGTGATATTTTTTATAGCATTGGGTAACAAACAAGTATACAGTCCACCCGATTGTAAGTGGATGCTATGGCCCATAGACATCCACATTTATCCTCGATTAAGAATCAAAACGCAGATGCGTTGTCACCCCTGGGAACTAAGATGGAATGCCTCGATTCCAGTAAAAAGGGTCGCCAGTTCTCTATACTCACTATACAAAACACAGCAGCATTACGATGCTATTTTACGCTGATATTCTGTGAGAGCGTGGTCCTGCCTTGGTCGAGCCGACCCATTCGTGCTACAACTATAGTATAGGTACAGCGAGGCTCTACCACGTAAACAAAAGAACTAAGATAATACAAATGTAGACAAAAATAACTGTTACTATAAAATTAATCCTGTCATAAATTATGTTCGTCAGCCGTGCTTGAAGATAGAAGAAGAACGGTCATTTGCAATCAATGAAGTGATTATACCTTACAAAAATAAAAGGCCCGGCAATAGAAAGCAATACAGCAAATGAATGGGGATTAAGATTTTTAGTTTGTGCTAGTACTTCAGGCATGGTGTTCAGGCATGGTGTATGACTTTACTTGCTAGCGATGGCGCCAACACTTTATGGGATTGGAAGTTAGACAATTTTCAATTCAATTCCTAGCGCAGTATACTTTGATAACTGGTTTACGTCACTTGAACTTATATATTATTTGCGTAATGATTTGGGCTTTTTGCCTTTAGGGACTATACGAAAAAATAGATTGTGGGATGATAAGTGACTGACGAAGTTATGATGAAAAAGAGACGATTAAATTTTGAGGTATTGCGTGAATTCCAAGATTAGCCGTGATAAAATGAATGGACAGTCAATATATTTATATAGCAAGTTCGTTTTGTGACCAAGAACCAGTCAGTATTATAAAACGGTATGACAAAAAAAAAGAGAACTCTTTTCTAAGCAGACTTTGATTGTTTGTATTTGTATTTTTTAATAATATTGGAAAAAAAGTTTAATTTCAATTGTTTTCAAGATTTTTAAAAGCTTTACTAATATTTCAGAGGTTTCAAAGACTGATTCGGGATGGTTTCTAATTATAAATTGACGTTAATTGTTATATGTTTGTAAACACATTGTTGGTAATGTCCGTTCTGTGACGTATTTTGGTTACCATACTTACACATATAATGGACAATTTCCATTATATAGGTCATTAAAAAAAACTATAAAAAATATGATACTTTAATTTAATTCTACATTTCTTTTCTATCCCAATTCCAACCCAAAACAGAGATTTGAACTTATTTAACCCAAACTTTCTAAGGGTGACCATTTAAGGGATAATTTGATTGTCATTGATGGTCATTGTCACTATTATTTACGATGTACATCAGAGAAATCCTAAGATATTGAATCTTATGTAATATCACACCTCATCTATAAATCAAAAATTCATTTGTGAGAAAGCACTTTGGCCTACATTATACGTGTGTGTACTAACTACTTAAATATCAAAATAATTTAATTCCACATGAATTATACATATGAGACGACGGTCTAGATTTGGATAGAATATCTGTGGGATACCAATGGACCTTAATGAAAAAATAATAATTGACTTTGGTGGAAGAGAGACAGAAAACCTAGAAACGTTATCGATTGCATAAAAAGATGCATCGAAGATCATAACTAATAAATCATTCCTAAGTTTATTTTATTATAGAATAAGGTTGTCCGTAAATCATCAATCAAGTGTCCGCAGTGTTATCACAGTCTTACTAAAGTTTTGATTCTTTCAATAAACTTGAAAAACAGCATTGATCTTAGTATACTGCATGCATATATATTTCTGCATAATTAGAGATATAAAAAGAACAGTTAAATTAATAATAGTGCATAATAGTGATGCAAACTCGTATTCTGTAAGCTTCAGTAACACGCACAAGCCAGTAATGATCTTTGATTTCAAAGAGTTAGTAATTCCTTTGTAGTAAAAGACGCTTTTACTACAAAATTAAAATAACTAAAAGGGTTAAAATATTTATTATACAAAAGTTGTCTGAAAAGTTTATGTATAATTGCCCCTTTTAGGGTAATTAATAATTATAGGTACATTAAGTTTTCGCTACCATGCTGTTTCTAAATGTTTTCATATTAAAGTGTATGTACATTTTGATATTGTAAGTAAAAAAATGTAATTATGCAGAAAACATCTTCAAGATTAGTAATTAAATATTTAAGTCTATCTCTTCCAAGTTCTTGTTGTTTGTAAGAAGTCGAAGTTTGATGGGGCATTTCAGTATTTTCTTTTCTTCCGCGTAATAATCATAACAGGTTTTCTTTTTTTACGTTTTATGTATTTATTTGATTTTGTAAATACGGTATAAATCTATTTATTTTGGTTTTGCTCTACAATTAAAAGGATTTATATTTTAAAAGGAGGTATAACACTTAAACCAAAAATATTTGTGAATCAAGCTATAGAATTTATTGCAAATTAAGAATTAAATTGAAGATTCGTAGTTAAAGTGAATTTAGACGGATTTATCCTGCTAGTATAGTCGTAAGTAATTTTACACACACAGATAACTGTGCCTGCGACTAAAAAGTGTTTATTTGCTGAAACGATGGTTCATAGCTTCATACTTGGATCCGATAGGTGACGCTGTAGCCAAGGTATTAACAATTTCCATCAGTATAGATCAAAACGAGTTTTATGTATTTATATTTGTATGTTAATTTAGTGCCACAAAAATCACTATCTGGGCCCAATATGTAACGCTGAGGTGGAGTAAAAATTGTAAAAATAGTTACTTATCGCGCCATCTATTGACAAAGTCTATCAAACAGTAATTTATTAAAAAATGTATTATTTTAAATAAAAGTGTAGTGATTATGGAATTTACGGTCCACATGATGATAAATGACTACTGCAGCTCTTAGACACCTGCAAATAACTTCAAACAAGAAGACCTAATAAGAAATGCGTGTAATTAAGCTGACTTTCTTTACTCCTTGCGATTTTCTGAATTATTTCAGTAGATGTCGCTATAACAAAGATTATAGCACGCTATGGTTTTGTTCACTATCAGCATATATATAATAATTTACAAACTTTCCAAAGTTACTCTGGTTTCCCTTCAAAACGTATAAATCTTTCGCCTTTTACTAAAGATTTCCGTGGAGGGGAACACTCAAATGAGTCTTACTCAATTTTTAACGTCCTACGTTCGTAGGGCTATAAATTAAATATAACTAGTAACTACTAATATTAACAAAAGAGTGATTTAAATTTTTTCTAGATCAATATAGTTGTGGTTAACTAGTGAAAGGTAATATAATAAAAATTTATATATTATATAGGTTGCCCGATAATTAATTGTTAAAATAAACCAGGAATTCTTTATTATGTTTGCGTTTTATAACAATAATTACCTCTTTTACATTCTTGTACACCACGACCACAAATGATGAATTCCACTGGATTTTATTAATATTGGAGTAAGTCTGCTGTTACGTTTTTCTTAAACTTGAATTAATGCAAATAGGCAGACGACGTAATATCATGTCTTTACTTGTCATGTCTTGTACTAAGGTTTTCTCATGATTTTTTTCTTCATCACAATGCACGTGGTAAATGATTGAAAACAGAAATTACTAACTTTAGCCATGTTGGTAAGAATCGAACTAGGTTTGCGAATATGTCTTAATATATAATAGGAATAATTTATAGTCATATTCAATATGACTAAAATTATTCCGCACATTGCCATCGTCATTGAAAAGTTGCGTTTTATTAATAAAATGTTTTCGCTTTTTAGTGTATGTATATGTGTATACACACAGCAATGCCTCTGTGCTGTTTTATTAATATTTTACACATTTACACATTTTAAACTTTTTTAATTCTTCCGCTTTTAGGAATATTCGTAGTTTGGTTTATCTATTTTCAATCTAAATAATATACAATACTAGCGTTCCGCCCCGGCTTCGCACGATTTCTGGATCTCGACAACAGCGCCTTAGGGTCCAATTCAATTTTCAAACCATCCCGGACTCAATACAACTTGCTTGAGTTCGCCTTGGGCGTGTTGATTCAATATGTGTACAGAAAGCACTACGCTGCTAAGCAAAACACAGAGTTTTAAAGATGTGACTCAATTATTAGTGAGTAAGAATAATGATTTAAGAAAGTGTAAAAGTTAGTTTGTAAGTTAACTAGTCTAGTATTCCTATGTACACACATCGTCACAGTAGTTAAGTTAACTTGTAAGTTAGAAAATAAAAGTAATATAAGAAAAAGTCTTCGGCTCCTTCCACTTCAACCCTCCCTAAACTGCCGAAAACGTAAGTAGCCCTTTTAGAATTTTTGCGATACAAACAGACACCAATTAGTTTTTATATATAAGAAGAAAAAAGAGGATAAGAAGAAGATAACTAATATCTCAGAACGAAACGTTTAAATTTAATTATCACAGCTTTCATAGTGGTAAAGTCACCTCATTTCTAAGTGGTGCCGCACCGATGCAGAAAAAGTTGGATCATTGCAAAGTAACCATATATTTGGCATAGCAATTCTCATTTCTCTGTATGAATTTTACCAATTTACCCTAGATTATACTACTGACGGGTCCTAAAAAAATTAAAAAAAAAAGATTACACGTTATTATACTCACGGCCTGAATGACAGCTTTGTTAGAGGCTACTATAACGTTGGGGGGATCCCCCACAGGAGTAGCGCATCCTCCGACATTGCTGTAGATCGCCATAAATATCAGGATTGGGACTGGATCCAGGTCCATAACTTCGCACAACCTGCATAATATGATTTAAATAATGTTATAGTTGAAAAATACAAAAAGATCACTGATTACTGATTAATCAGGCTGTGATGATGCAGAGTCAACTGGCTAACAGCACTGACATCACAGAAAATAATTAATAGATTCAGGCGTTTCTTTACACTCCATTATACGTAGGGCACATTGAAAGTTTTGCGATCCCGGCTGTGCTCCTTTGTCACCCATATTAATAAAAATGTAATAGCTGTTCGGTGCGGGATTCGAACATGCAAATCTACAGTCGAACGCTTAGCCACTGCGCCAACGAGCTCTTTGAATTAAAAGTAGAACAGATTTCGACCTAAAATAATTACTTTATATTATACAAAAGCCGTGGTAACTTAAGGACTTAGCGCTTGTTATAAATATTACAGTAAGCGAGTAAGCCGGGTTGGATCCCCACCGGCACAAATGAAATTAATTGTAATTTAAACACTGATTTACAACGTGCTCGCAGTTGAAGGAAAATATTATGGAGAAACTGCAAGGTTTTCTAAAATGTGAAAACATAAACAAATTTATATATTTTTATGTATTTAGTAAAAATTATAATAATATTGAATAAATTGAATAAAATTGTTTATTTTTTATATCATTTACAATACACGATTTAACGATTAATATATTTTTTGGGGTTATGCCATCTACTCTGTGTACCACCTTGAGAGTCAATAAATTTTTGACCCAGTACGTAGTGTTCACCCCACAGTCTATAAATTATTATACTGTGGTTTACCCCCATCATTTTTCATCACACAAGAAGGTTGTGGACTTCCAGATCAGTATTTCAAATCCGTCCCATAAAAAGTAAAACTTCCAAACCTTTGTCCTGGGAAGAACCAGCAAGTAACCCAGCGGGACTTATTTTAAATGATGTAAAGTAAAGTTACAGTTACAGCCTATATACGTTACGCCCACTGTTGGGCACAGGTCACTTCTCAGAAGGTTAAAAATAAATTTAAAATATTATGTTTAACAATTAAATATGAAAACATTTAGACAGCATGTTAATGGTTCTTTCCCAGGCGGTCATTATCAATGATGTGTTCTTTAATAGTATAATAACCCTTTAAAAACATCTTGATTATTGATAATTATAAACTTTTTCGTGGATGTATCCAGCAGTGAAACGTATATAAGACTGTTTATATTTTTACACAAGTGTTCGGGACTTTGCGGGAATTTAAAAATAATGCAAATTAAATGTGGTCTAGGACGATTGTATTATCTCACAACAATTGAGAGGGTAATAAAATATTGAAAAGATAAAGAACATAATATTCAAAAATTAACGAACTTAAATCTACTGACGTAATTACTACTTAATAACAACGTATTCGTTAACTCGTTGGTATGAATGGCGCAGACGCTTCAACACCAAGAAAAAAGAGAAGAAGAGACCTTATAGTGACTGGCGACAACAGCAGTACGGTAGTGACGTTGTCGAGGAACGTTGACAGGACTGCAGTAATCGTGCACAGTAGAAAAATTAGCGGCCACAGCTTCCCTCGCGTCACCTGGATTAAATTCTTTATTGAATCATCATTCAACGTTACCACAAAATTATCTGCAAAGGGTCCATTTCTCACGAGTCCATCAGTTTGATACCTATCACTGTCTTAGCTATTGTTGCGGCCTATCTAAACGAAACCTACAATCTAGGGAGGTTCAAACTTTCATAAAGGATAGATCTTATTTTGTTAGTATAGTCCATCAATATTAAACTGCTGAAAAGAGTAGTTTGAAATGTTAATTTTTGAAAATTATTCCTTACTTATGTGAACTGTACGCCTTTTTAGATTTAAAACACTTGCTTATCATAGGAGGACTGTGATGGGTTATTATAATTCATAGACACGTACGTCTATCCTTGATTGAAAATCTACTAAGATAGAATGCCTCGTAATTATTGTAAAGGGTTGCCGATTCTCGTCGAATAATATACGAGACATGGTTCAGTATTTGGTGCAAGTGTGATTATTCTATGATCAAGCCGACCCATTAAAGCTTTCAGGCATGTTAAAATTTAACCTGGCTTTGCCATTTATTCAGAATCGCAAATAACATTACCGTCATTTTCAATTATAAGATCTTAAAACCTACCTCAAAAGTGAACACAGCCAAGAAGTCAAATATCCCAGTTTCTGCCACGATCGCAACGAGGATCATCATGCTGAAAAGCAACAGCAGTGTTTCCACGTCCAGCCACGAGACGAGCTCGGGGAGAGACGGTCTCTCTCCAACCAGAGCCAGTGCAGCGATGGATGTAGTGGAAACAATTATGGCGGCCATCGTGCGGTTTATTACCTTAAATTATAAATAGGGAAAAGTAAATGAAAATATAGTTTTAGTATATCAATTGCCGAAAAAAATTAAGGGCTTTTTCAATACCGTTTAACTATCACACAAGATGTGATTTTGCTTTTTTTATAGTATAAGGGTGACAGACGAGCACGCAGTTCATTTGATGGTAAGTGCATGCTGTGGCCCATAGACGTACATCTCGATTAAGAATCAAAATGCTAATGCGTTGTCACCACTGAGAACTAAGACGGAGTACCTCGTTTTTAGTAAATAACGACTCCGTTTCTCTACACTCACCCTAACAAACACAGTGATGCTGCTATTTTGAGCTGGTATTCACTTGCCTTATTAGTAAAAAATGATTAAAATAAAGGTTTATTTGAAAAACTTAAGCTTTGGAACAAAGTAAAAGCTGTCTTTAAGAAACTAATCATAATGGAATGATTTCCTCATAACAGCTTCTGAACTCGAGACTTTAATTCTTCTATATGGATATCTACGTGGATATTATTCGTGGATATTATTTCGACAGGCCTGTTGGTCTAGTGGTTAGTGACCCTGACTGCTAAGCCGGAGGTCGTGGGTTCCCACCCAGGACAAATGCTTGTGTGATGAGCACGATCATTTGTTCTGTGTCTGGGTGTAATTTATCTATAATATTTATGTATTTAAAAATATATAAGTATGTTTATCAGTTGTCTAGTACCCATAACACAAGCTCTGCTTAGCTTGGGACTAGATGGCGTTGTGTGATAGTTGTGGAATATTATTATTTTTGGGGTATCTGTATAGTTTTCTCATCTGGTTGGTTTCTATAAATATATAATTATAAATTAAAATGAAAAGATAAATATACATAAATATCAATAAAATAAAATAAATACAAAAAATACACAAATAAATAAAGATCCAACCAGATGGAAGCCCTCGGCAGGGGAGACCAAACGGCCGAGGGTTAGGGGGAAAGGGAAAGAAACCGACGGACGATGCGGGCGGTATCGAGGACCACTGCCTTCTGCATTTGAGCCCGGAGCGGTCCGTCACGGAGTCCCAGTCGCCTCAGATGACCCGAGAGGCTGACTGGGATTAGCCCGTTTGCAGAGACGACTACAGGAATAATTTCGGTCGGCAGACCACCCCACATGTCGGTCACCTCGTGAGCCAGGTCCAGATATTTTGTTTGCTTATCTGTTTCGGCTTTCACGAGGTTCTCGTCATACGGAATGGTAATGTCGACCAAAAATATCCTTGACTGTGCCCGGTCCATCAGCACAATATCAGGCTTATTTGCAAGAATAGTCCTGTCTGTGATGATGGCCCGGTCCCAGTAGAGCCTGGCGCGGTCATTTTCGAGCACGGCTTCCGGCAAGTACTTGTAATACGGCAATTTCCGGTCCACGAGACCGTATTTCAGAGCGAGCGCCTGGTGTAGAATTCTGGCTACTAGGTTGTGCCTGTGCAAGTACTCAGAGTTAGAAAGCGCCGAACAACCGGAGATGACATGTCTAAGTGACTCCCCGGGATGGCGACAAGCTCGACAGACGTCGACGGTGCCATCCTTTAGGATGTATCTCCGATAGTTGTTGGTCTTAATAACCTGATCCTGTATTGCACAGACAAAACCCTCGGTTTCCCCCGAAGAGGTCACCGAAACGTAGCCAGTTGAGGGAAGCGACTGTATCTACGAAGGGCTCATGTAGAACCCTGTAGTACCTCCCGTGGAGCTCCTTCTCCTTCCATACAGTCTCCCGGTCGGAAATGCTAAGCACTGCTGGGTCCTGCCATTGCTCGTTGGCCAAGGATAGAGGGGTAAGCCCTTTATCACTAGAAATGACGTCATTATAGAATGGATCATCCGATCTCGCCAGGAAGTAATGACGGAGGCTGCACACTTCACGATTATGCATAGTGAGCGCGCTTAGAAAGCCACGCCCACCATGCTTTCGCGGCAAGTACAGCCTCATTACCGACGATCTCGGATGATGCATCCTATGGGACGTCATGGTAGTGCGGACTTTTCTATCCAGGGCGTTAAGTTCAGTCTGAGTCCACCTGAGTATGCCAAAGGTGTACATAAGGACAGGCATGACCCAACCGTTATATGCGTGTGTCTTATTCACACCGGACAAAAGGCTATTAAGCACTTTGGTCAAGCGTGCATAAAACACGTCGCAAACTGACTGTTTCACACCAGCCTCATCGATACCGATGTTCTGTGACATACCCAGGTATCGGTATGTTTCAGCCTCGGAAAGGGTCCTTAAGTTGACGGGCATAGATAAATCTATGCCCTCAGAGTTAGCAACCCTTCCCCTCTCAACATGGAGGACCGCACACTTATCCGTCCCCAGCCCCATTCCAATGGAACTGCTAAACTCACAAGTGATTTTTAGCAATTCCACAAGATGAGAGCGACTGGAGGCGAATAACTTAAGGTCATCCATATAGAAAAGGTGGGTCACTTTTGTCCCTCCTTTCCGTAGCTGAAATCCTCTCCCGGATCCCTCCAGTAAGGTACTGAGAGGGTTCAGGGAGAGGCAGAACCAGATTGGACTCAGACAATCGCCCTGGAAGATACCCCTTCTTATCCTTATGTGGTTCTCCGCAGCCATCATCCGCTCATCCAGATGACAAAGGGTCGTACTCCACTGCCCCATACACTGCTCGAGGAAGTCTCTCACTGTACAGTCTATCTTGTACAGCTCGAGGACTCTCTTTAGCCATGTATGGGGCACCGAGTCGAATGCCTTTCTGTAGTCTATCCAGGCGGCGGAGAAGTTCCGACGGTTGCGTTTCACCACTTTGCCAATGACCGCGTCAATGAGGAGTGGTTCCTTAGTTCCACGACCACCGCCCCGACATCCATTTTGAGCGCGTGACACCACCTGATTTAGCTCCAGGTGACGAGTGATTCTCGCGCTCAAAATGGATGTCAGTGTCTTATATATGGTGGGTAGACACGTAATGGGGCGGTATTTGCTCGGGTCTGTGGTAACCTGGTCTTTAGGAACCAAATGAGTGATCCCAGTAGTGAAGAGGCTAGGGAGCGACTTCTGGTTGAGAGCCTCTTGAAACTGACGGGCGAGCACAGCGTGACACACCATGAACCCCTTCAGCCAGTAGTGATGCAGTCCGTCGAGTCCCGGACTTTTCCAGTTCGGGGCTCTACGGACCGCCTCAGCTACGTCATCCGGCGTTATGATGACGGGGTCCATGGGCGTAATACTCGCACACTGACTCGCCACAACTTCCGTCCAAGGGCCCTCGCTGTGGTTTACGGGCTCTGACCACAGGCCACGCCAAAATGCGACAGTGTTAGCCTGATCCGGTCCTGGGCCCGCTCCACATACCTCTGGTCGCTCCAATGATTTGTAGAGCCTCTTCTGATCACTCTGGAAGAGACGATTCTGGTTGAACCGCCTTGACCTCTCGGTAAATCGGCGAATCCGCTTCCCCCCAAGCGGCAATCTTTTGCTTCAGGTCGTCTATGCGCTCCGTTAGTTTCTGCGTGATATCCGGCTGGGACAAACTGATATTTGTCCCAGCAAACGCCATTCTAACGGTGCGCACAACCCTCGGTCTATTATTACCCGACCTGAAGCTTATCAGTCTGCCGATAAGGGCCCTTGCCTTTGCGATACGGTCCTCAATTCTTTTTCTCCAGGCTGGGATGGCGCTACTTTGTTTAGTAGCGCGTCCAGCCATGGGAAGTTTGGCGCCAATAATACGGCAAGCTGCCAGTGCGGCGCCAAAAAGAACTGAGTCCGTCTCGCAAAGGTCCCGGCTGGCTTCCAAATAGGTTACCAGCATTGGGTTAAGAGCCCTCACGACAGCCCGATTTCGCTTGCTTAGGGGTATGCGGGGAAGTCGCGGTCGATTTTCGAGAGGCATGCTGCGCGTTTCTAAAATCGCCTCTTCCAATATACTCCTCATTTGCTCTAGTTCGTGGGAGACCATTTCATCATCGTCCGAATCACCCACAACTGGAAGATCCATGGCGGCTTCTACTCGTGGCAGCTGGTCTGTCGCCTGAGGAGCCTCATCCCCAGCCGTAGCCAATTCATTCGATGAGGGAATGGCCTCACGTCGTAGTCGTTCGAGCTCGGCATCATCGAATATTTTCGAGCGCATGATGTACCGAACTCGGTCTGCCAGGTTTTGTTCCGTGACGGGAATAGACGGCTCCAGCTCAGCAAAAAAGCAATGCATCCGAGCCCGATACGCTATCCCCGCAGTTTCTTCCCCTTTCGCCCTATAGTACGCCCGCATTGCGTTTGCGTTCATATCCCTTGTCCAACGCATGCGGCGCACTCCACCAGCGGCGGATGCCGCTTGCCGAGTCCGAGAGGACCCTGCCGACATCAAGCCGTCTGGTGGGGATGATGGATGCGGGGGCTGTTAGGTGATCTTGCAGCTCCTCGCGCTCGGCTGGCGGCCCACATGCTGCCGCGTCCAGCGCCAGCTCCAGACGCGCCCCGGCGACCCCCAGGCAGCGGCCCTATACATTTTCCAATCTTATCCATCATCCATTTTTGGGCGCCAATTAGCGGGAGACGCCCAGGCCCGGCACCGTTTTATTGTATCATTGTACGGCCGTAAGCACAAACGGGCCTTTGCACCCTGAGTACTGCCGAGGCACGGCGCTCACACCTCTTGGCAAGGCGCTGACTGACTGCACCGACGTAGCAGTTTTGTCACTTAACTGTTTCGTCAGCGGGCGATGGGGTCGTCACTTCCCTACGCCTATTATTATTATTATTATTATTATTATTTTATCCTTTTTACTTTTTGAAAGTCGACTTTTCTTTTTTTAATATAGGATAAGGGTGACAAGCGAGCACACAGTCTACCTGATGGTAAGTGGTTGCTGTTCCCCACAGACATCAACATCTATCCTCGTTTGTGAAACAAAATGCAGATTGTGGTATCAGCCGTCAGGACTAAGATGAAATGCCTCTTTTCCAGTAAAAAGTGTCTCCGGTTCTCTACACTCATCATAACAAACATAGCAGCATTACGCTGCTATTTTACGCTGGTATTCTGTGAGAGCGTGGCCCTTCCCCGGTCGAGCCGACCCATTCGTGTTACAACTATACTATTAGTACAGCTGTAGCATGGCTCTATCACGTATAAAAACTAGATAAGTTAAAATTTTTGACCCTTCTAAGTGGACTAAGTAATATCAAAATCTTAAAGTAATTCAACTAGAATGTCGTCTAAATAGTAACATTAAAAACTTTATCCCCTATTTTTCCACCCTTACGGGTGGATTTTCTCTAAACATGTATTTGGGAACACTCCCTAAGTATAACCTATTACATACCATCACAGCCTATATAAGTGCACTGCTGAACATAGACCTCCCCTATAGATTGCCTCATAGGGGGAATTTTCTGACCATCTCCAGTTTTAGTTACCCTCTGTCACCTTTTACGATACCACGAAACGATATAGGGTATAATACCCATTGTATTCTTACACCGCCACTACACGGCTGTTAAATCATAAAGAAATAAATAAAATCGATTCACAAATATCGATGATATCGGGGCAACAAATATATTATAAAAATAATATACAGTCGAATTGAGTAACTCCTTTTTTGAAATCGACTATAACTTTTTTATAGAATAAGGGTGACAAACGAGCGCACAGTCCACTTGATGGTAAGTGGATACTGTGGCCTATAGACATATTCATTTATCCTCGATTAAGTATCAAAACGCAGATACGTTGTCACCCCTGAGAACTATGAACTGAGTGATGACTGATGAATGAACTGAGAAGAATGGAATGCCTCGTTTCCAGTAAAAAAGAGTCACCGGATCTTTACACTCACCATACGAAACACAGTAGTATTAAGCTGCTATTTTACGCTGGTATTCTGTGAGAGCGTGGACCTTCCCGGGTCGAACCGATCCATTCGAGCTCCAACCATAATATAGCTGTAGCGTGGCTCTACAACGTTATACACGAAGTACGTAATAAAATGGAGACAACAAAAAATAACAGTATCTATACACACTAGCGTGTTTTGATAGACAGGTACACCAGGCCTACGAATAGACGTTGCTATTTTATGGCAAATATTTGCACTGCTAAGCAGGCGGGTTGGCAAACGCAGTTTATTTTATTTTGTATTGTTTTTAGAAAGGTGCTACTGTCCGTCTCCTGTTTTATTGCCGTATTTCGCCTCTTACTCCTCGTAGTTAAAATTTTGAAAAGATTCAAAATCTCACCTCAAATATAATCAATACGTACAATCCATCCAGCAAGAAGCAAGCGTATATGACACCAGTGCTGACATCTAGCGGGTCCGATGTCAAACTCATGGCGAACGCTACGGTTCTATTGGTCTTAGTGCGCATATGGACCGCGTGCGTTGTGTCGTTGGTTGATCGTCCGAATTCAAATTTCAATGCCCTAGGTTCATCTTTATTAAAGTTTAGATCTGGATCCTGCAGGATGATTATTCTGAAGTTTGACGCCTGAAAAGAGAATCTAATGGTACTACTGTGTTTATTGTAATATTTACACAAACTATCCTATCACATGTTACTCTCTCTCTCTCTCTCACACACACACACAATTGTCAATCATTTTAAAGTAGGTAAGTGCTTAGTTTAAGCAATACGTTGTCACCTGAGCCATTGCCATTGGAAATAAACGGTTATTTTATTATTATATTATTACTATTTAGTAACCTTTGACATTTTTTTCTCTCGTAACGAGACATTACATCTTAGTTATTAGAGATGAAAAGCATCAGAATTTTGATTGTTCGATGAAAATAGAATAGATCTAGACGTCTATGATCAACAGCATCCACTTACCATCCTGTGACCTGTGTGCTCGTTTTTCACCCTTACTTTAATCATTATCATCATTCATCATTACAGCCCTTCACAAGTCCACTGCTGAACATAGGCCTATGTTCTTACTTCAATAAAAGAGTTAAATAAATAACTCTTACAGTAAATATTACTTAATCCCGTAATACATATCCCATTTTGATAAGAGACAACTACGAGATATACCAGAAGGATCTTTTGGAGCAGAAAATCCACCTCGTTAAAAAACGGACCGGCGACGGGGAGAAGATACAAAGGTGTGAGACGTCAGTATAACGATTTTTAGCCCGCCTACCAAGAGTGACTATAATATATGTATATTCATTAATGTAACTATCATTTAGCATTTGGCCGCCAACGACGCAAATATGACTTGATCATCGGCCTACAAAAGGCATTTGACGGTAAACTCGATTTTTCACCTTTCAAAGTTTGCAAATAACTGTTAATAAATACGTTGAACAGCCACAGGTAAGCTACATAGCCCTTGGGTGACACTTTTATCGATGCCAAACCGGTCTAAGTAGACCCCATTGATCCTGACAAAAGCACTAGAGTCCCTGTAAAGAGAGCTTATTGCCTGTATCAAACCAGCCCTCAACCTAAATGAGTTCAGTGTTTGCCATAACATAGTCCTGTCCACTCTGTTATAAGCCTTTTCCAAGTCCATGAATGCACAAAACTTTTCTGGTTTTTGGCCGAAAACTTCTCCGCAATCATGCGCATGGAAAAGACTTGATCTTTACACCCCCATCCCCTTTTAAATCCTGCTTGCCATCCAAAATTTTTCCATCAGTTCCTTTCTTTCATAACTCATTCAATTAACACATTGGCATACAGTGTACACACAGTACTAAGCAAGCTGATACCACGGTAGTCTTGACAGTTCAGCTGTGATCCTTTTCCTTTATATAGGGACTATAACTGCCTTACACCAGTCTTCCGGTACCCTCCTTAATTTTCAACATAAATTAAACAAGGTTTGCACCACTCCCTCCCTAGCCCTTAGCATCTCGAGTGATACTTTATCACACCTAGCTGCCTTACCGGCTTTCATACTTTTCATTGCTTTAATTATTTCATCTACACTTATTTCCCTGCCCCTTTCCACTTCTTTCAGAATTTCTAGTTCACTTATTTCAGACGACTTTTCACTCATAAACACGCATTCAAAGTATTCCTTCCATCTCTTTATACTAGAAATTTCGTCAATCAGAATAAATTCATTCTCATCTCGTATACCATTCATTCTTAAATTTCCCCCGGCAGTTCTTTCAAGTTTCCAGAACATTTTAATATTTGCCTGGACGTTATCAGTTATTATTTTATCATTCTTATCCGTTCTTTCTTGCTTTTTCCTTTCAACTATTTCTTTTACTCTCTTATTTAGACGTCTAAAGTCTGACTTTTTTCTTTCAATCTCATTATTCATACAGCAACCAGTAAATCTAGATATGCTCTCTTCTTTGCTTCAACTTTCATCCGTACCTCATCGTCCCACAAGAACATATTATTTTTCCTTTTATTTGTTCTCTTACTTACACCTCATACTTCGGTGGCTGCATCCACTAAACCTTTCTTAACATTATCCTACACAGTCTTCAAGTCTAAATCATTCATACACAATTCATTCAAACACCTAGTACTTTCCCTCAAACTACATTTATATTTCTCTTTCACATCTTTATCTTGTAACTTCTCTATTATTATACGCTGTAACGCAGTGTTAGACACATATGTAAGTACGATGCCGCCAATGCTTGAATAGACCATTAATTCCACATAAGACTGAGTAGCGATCGGTCCCTACGTTGGACCCCCGGTAAACCCTTGTGTCTACGAATGCACTCCTGATTATTTCATCCACAATTTTGAAATCTATGATGCTTCTATCATCACCTCTTGTGTATACATGTGAATCTCCTTATGACGAAAGAAAGTGTTCGTCACAAAAATATTTCTCATTTATACTTTAATCACCAAACGTTCGCAATATACTTTCATAACCGGGCCTCTTCACCCCAACCCTTCTATTTAAGTCTCCCAACATAATAATATTTACATTTTTCTTACATTTCATTAAAACCATCCTTACCATGTCCCAAAACTGCTTCTGGATATAAGTGGGCTTAGACATGTCTGGGGCATACACCCCTAGCACAAACAGCTTCTTTAGGCCCACTTTTCCACATATTGACCCATTCTTTCTGAAAGGAATATATCGACTCCCTGGCATGCCCACTCGATCGCGTTTACACCAGACCAATACGCCGTATACATGCCATGTGCAGTGGCTTCTTTTCCCTTTCGTTTTCGTGTCTTTCCGCTTGTATGTTCATCATTTCGCATACTTCATTCGTCTAATCATTCATTACTCCACATACATTCAGCGTAGCCAGACGGGCTTCCGCAATCCACTCTTCGCCCCTCCGGAAGATAGGACGTGACGGATGGCGAACCTCGTCACCGGCTTTACTCTCTGAGATTATTCAAACCCCTGCCCCATTAAAGAGGCGCCGGGAACTCGGGGCCATTTGTTTTATTTTGTGCCACATGGTGCGAAACTAGGGGGGTGGTGGACTTTACGCCGCCACCATACGCCGAGTCTATTCTTTCGGCTTTGTCGCTCGTTTAGCACCACTCGGGGGACACGTGTAAGGTGGGCCTAGGGTAGGCCATCATTGAAGCCTACGGACGCGAGCGACTCATCCATAAAACTGACTATAATAATGTCCTCCAGACCGAATTTAGTGCGTCATCGGTGCAGAACAGTATTATAGTGCCCAAGTATATGCACTGGTGTACTTTCTATTGTCTCACTCACATAGTTCGATGGAACGGTAAACTGACACGATCGGAAAGAGATCAGGCGCAGGACCAACGGCTTTAAGTGCTATCCGAGGCACGGGGGTGAGACACCGCTAACTTCCAGACTCCGGACAGCTACTGAGAATTTCTTGGTGAAAAAACTCAATAACTGATATTTTTTGGCCCGACCTGGGATTAGAAGCCGGGAGCCATCAGTTGCACTACTATAACCACTAGACCGACGCGGCAATCTAAGAGTGACTATATTATGTAACTAGAGGGCCATAAACTCGTACAGCAGTGGATTAGAGTTCAATAGATTTATGTATTCTCTGTTTTCACCACGTTTTTACTATCCTGCTTTCGTGTACCTACGTCCGTGTAAATTCGACGCGGGAATTTATTAATTGATTTAAAACTAACTGTGTACTAGACTTGAAATATTGAACATAAACCAGAATCGTAGGATAACGTAAGAATACGGTGCGTATTTATTTCTTTGTGCGTACCTATGTCACCCACGGCTCAAAGCAAACCGGAATATATATATATATATATATAGAATATAATAAATTTAGGATAAACTAATTATAATAATTATTGATATAGAATTGGAATACGAATGATAATTTAAATAGGAGTGGAGAAAGTTATGTAGAATATCACAGTTATACTTAGAATCTGTCAAACTAAAATAGATATTGCGTTACCAGCCAACATAAACTGTAAAATAGATCATAATTAAATAATATAAGTTATATAACATAAGTTCTCACGCCTGCCAACCAAAAGGGGTAGGCATAGAATATGGACTTCCATTCGGTACGATCCTGACACACCTCTCTCGCTTTCTTCACATCCATACATCTACACATACATGCTCGTATATTAAAAACAGCTGAGAAATATGTATAATGAAAAAGTGTATAAGAATCTAATTTCAGTATTTATTTATAGGTTTTATACTTCAATCTGCTAGAACATGATAGAAAGATGACGCTAAATATTTTTTTCCTTCTATTCGATTGTCAACTCCAAGTTTAATTATAAACTTTCGCTAAGCATCTTAGATATTACGGAAAACGAGTGGATCGTTTTCTCGATGGTGAAATCTTTACAACTATAAGTTGTTCTAGTGGAAAACAAGAGAACCTAACAGTAAGAGAAGGTAAACATAGCTTCATTATCACCTTTTCTATTAGCATAGAGCTATTATCAGTTATTGGCCATTTCTCCAACCAAACAATCAACTTCTCCTTCGTTTCCATTTCGCTCGAGTTCATTTTTATCTCCGCCTGCTCCGAAAGAAATGGTCCCGATATCCTCACTAGTATCGAATGTATTTCAGACGCATTGATGGTGTAATCTGAAATTTTGACGTGAGTTATTCATATTTAGCTGGAAGGTTCTAGGAATATTTTTTCACTGGCCGACACGATAACGATATATCGTCGCTAATACAGGCTCACCGATATCGGTGCACTTAAGTGTTCGAAGGGGTATGAATATTCCATTGACCGACGTAACATCAATATATCGTCGCCAACAGGTTAAAGGCGCCGACATGTTGGTACCACTTTCGCTCACCACAGAATTGTCCCGATAGAATAAGAATAAGAATGTGTGACATAAATATACAGATAAATGATGTTTATGATATTCATTTCATTTATAAGCTCGTCTGACATTCGCTGTTGGCCCTCACCTCCAAAGAGTAATATTTCAAATCACTCTATTAAGCTATAAAATATACTTTTTTTGCTTTTACATTAACATATTATTAAATTGAACCATCAATTAATACCTCTAATTTAAAATAAACTTTCGGTAATAAAAAAAATAATTTTGAACTAACTAAAAAATCAAAAACTATCGAAATTAAAATAATATGCACCAAAATAGTAGTATTTATTGATAGATCAATTTCATAATATGTTATTGTAAAAAAATTGTAAAATATCAGTGCCATAGGCTTTTTATCCTGTTACAGTAAAAAAATCACTCTGTATAAATTATTGGCTATCATTTTTCAACTTCTTATAAACGAGTTGTAGATTATAACCCCACCTGGTGGTAAGTGGTGATGCAGCCCTGGAAAGGAAATCTCACTGTCTTAGTCAGTTCAGTCTTGTATATAAAATAAATACAATGGTATACGTAGTTTGTAAGCGAGGTAGGAACGTTCTGTCTTATCGACACTGAATGCAGATTTACGCAGGACAGGATTAAAGTGCACGAGTTTGCACAAGCACAGGTGTAATCTCTATTAACTCCCTATCGACGACCAACCAACACGAACGGAAACGGATCAGGATTAGGACCAACAGCTAACGTGCTCTTCGAGGCTGACATGATCAATCGACCAACCATGCAGACAAGAGAAAGAGGGAAATTCATCAGGATCAGATTTATCCCCACGCGCAGCAATGAAACTATTATAATACGTGAGGGTAATATGACCACTTTCTTATAACTTAAAAACTGCTGCCTTGTTTGCATAATGGCTTTGTGATACGATAGCTCTTCATTGGTCAATCAAATAATAAAAAGGGTCAAAAGAGCGATGCTTTATCGAGGCCATTTAGACAGTCGAAATTATAGTAAATATTTTATAGTCGGTTTTAGTATGGTGTAGTGTAGCTAGTTTTTTAAGTAGATTTTTCGAAATCTTCCTAATTATTGCCAAAGCTTGTTTGCTATTTTTTTCTTAATATATTAGTTATAGTATACGAATTTGTGATTTCGTCTGTGTTCTTCTCTTAGTTTTGGTTTCATAGCGCGGCAAAGCTTAAGTTGACTATATTATCCTCACGTATCCTATTATTATGAAAACGTCTCGCAATAGCAACTGTCGCTTAAGTATCGCAGTCACTGCAACGGGAGTCGGTTATCGACGTATAAAAGCACAGTTTTGTAGTAAAAGGCTCGCCTGCACCCTCTTTTCCCAAAAGAGGGTCGCTCCCGATACGGCATAAGAAGCTTAAATAGCCAGTTGCTAGTCCCCAAAGGCGGTTTTTAGAGGGTATCACTTAGGTTCCCCACTTAGGCAGTGAGTCCCTCATAACCACGATAGACCGGCTATCGTGGTATGCGTAATGCATTTTCCGCCTCCCTACATAAAGGGTAGTCCTTTCCAATTGCTTCGGGCGCAAAAAAAAAGTAAAAGGCTCGCGGCTGAGATCGCAGGGTGAGACACGTGGCAGCCATCTTATAGTTATAGATCGATTTTTGAATAACCCGGTTTTTATTAAAACGCTTTCGGGTATGTCTGTTCGGGTTCCCGATGAACTAGAGACTTGACAAAAAGCGTGGTACGAATCTTTTTTTAATTTTACTTCTTTATTATTTTGACCACTGGTTGAGTTTATCGACCCTACTTTTTATCAACTCTCGCCGAACGGACTTTAGTTATTAAAAAAAATCTCATAGTAGCCTGCGAAATTTAGGCTATTTTTTACTGGTATTGCATGACAACATACTCTTAACTTCTCCCGGGGTGATGGCGGTGTTCTTGTAAACTTCCTTCTTTTCATTGAACATTAAGAATACGACTGTGAAAAATATCCAGCATCCCAGCAATAGAGCCATCTTTGTATAATATTTCGCCGTCTTTATCTGGAATGAAGAAAGTATTTAAATTAATAATATCGTCATCCTTTAAATATAATATACTGCACGACAGAGTAGCCCTTAACAAGACTATTGCTGAATATAAGCCTCCCCAAGTTATGCCATAAACCACTAGAATCATCTGCATTTATCGACCTTCTGCGTATCTTCCAAAATCATTACTCCACCTAGTGGTGCTCTGCACTTATCCATACGAGACTAATATTCGAGAACCTATCATCCCGATCACTTATCAATTCTTCTGAGTTATACGGCCGGTTAATTTCGTCAGGCGTTTTTTTAAATCCCCTACTATTTATCCTCTCGTCTGTCCAAAACCTTCTAAAGGTCGCTGTTAAAAAAGTACGTGTCTGTCCACAACCTTTAGAAGGTTGCAATTTACTTACAAATTTCAGACACGAAACAGCCGTAGTAAATGTATCTATATCTCCCTCTAACTCGTATTTTATACCAATAACTTACTTATCTCGGTATGGAATTGTCGCTATTGAAGTACAAAATGTGCCTTTTTTTGTGCCTGTTTCGGGTCATCTTAAGTGGCCCACATTATTGTCGAGCTTATGGTTTAAAAAAATTTACGCAAAGTTGTGTTATTTTTAATTAATTATTGTAAATAAAATAAATATTTATTGAAATAGTTGTTGTTTTACATTTTTTATTCACCAAACTGGAAAAAAATCGCTTTTAGCATTTTTACCACGGAATTTAAAAAAATATAAAAAAGGTGAATGTACACATTTACAAATATTCTATTAGCCTACTTAACAATAATTCTAATAACATATTATTTTATAGTTTACATTCCTAAGTATTAAGATATAGCCATTTTAATGACACGCGCCACGTAGGCAATAAATCACTCGTTTAGGGTTGGACAGTATACGCCAAAGCGACCATTTGGGCCGGGACAGTTGAGAGTATACGCCAAAGCGACCATTTGGGCCGGGACAGTTGAGAGGATACGCCAAAGCGACCATTTGGGCCGGGACAGTTGAGAGGATACGCCAAAGCGACCATTTGGGCCGGGACAGTTGAGAAGGTATAGGCTTTATTTAGAATGTACCATCGGTTATATAATATAGCATTTAATATATATGCGTTATTTAGTTGCCATATACAACAAGCTAGGCAAGGGAGTTGGTAGAACCGAAAACATCGCACTGGTAATACTGCTTCTTCCGCACTGGCAATAAACCAGTCTGTTGAATTTGAGTCCGACATTTTTGGGTGAATAATAACAAATTACCAGGTGCTCGGTGGTGATGGAAAACATCGCGACGAAACCTTTACATCAGGGAAATAAAAATATTTCGAAACTATATGACAGGAAAACAACACGACGGCCAATTTTTTTAGAAATTAGCGATTTTTAGGTATTTTTTTTTAAATTATTGGTGCCAGTTTGAATTCGAAATGTCTGCCTTAAGGTATATGATTAGTCCCTATGCTAGCATGGCTCGTAAGCCCGGAAACTCTTAGGAGTTTTTTTTTACCACATCCTTAAAAAGAAAGCGTTTTACTGAGGTTTGGAATAAAAGAGAATTTTAAGGAATCGGTTATCCTGCCAAGTTGCGAATGTCGATACTCTACCATACTCACCCCAATGCAATGTTCCCTTTATAATCAGTGTGGTGACGGGTAAGGGTATCCGTCACCCCATTTCATTTAGGGGTGTTCTAAGAGCTGACCATGAGAAATATATAAAAATAGCCAGACATAAAGCCAAAAGTCTCAGACAGCAGCGTCAAAGGTGCAAGACATCTAACACTGCAGTCGTCGTTCCGCTTGCCGCACGTGACGGTCTAGGGATACAAAACAGCACAACCCCACAAAAGAAGAGACCTAATGATTTCTTATAGTTACCCGAATACTACTTATTAAAACAAATTTTAAGGTATTATCGCGTTTAATTTTAACCTTTTTTAAATTCCTGACGTTTCAGGCACTTTCCAGCACGGGTCATGGGAGAGGACTGAGGTGTTTGACGTCCCGATGTCACAGTTAAGGAAGGCTACCTTCAACTTTTAAATATTAATGTTTGGTCTCCTACGCAGAACGAGCTTACAGTATCTTGAAGTCGTGCAGAAGTATGCTCGGGTTTTGATTTAAATTTATTAATTATGGGATCCTAGGCAGATGGTAGCACCCAGCCATCTTCTCTATTGAAATTGGGATGTTTTTTTTAAATTTCAATAGCCTCGCTAATCATGTTTGGTGGGGATTGGTGTTTTTAACGAGGATTTGTGATCTATCAAATCTTATATAATGGTTTGGACGATCGTGAACATGTTGACATAGTGCAGGCTTCCCGAAGCGTACATTCTTCACATCAGCAATATGTTCTTTTACGCGGGTTTTTATGGATTTTTACATAGCGCAAACTAAAAGAAAAATTAACAATTAAAAGTTGAAGGTAACCTTCGGTAACATTGAAATCGGGGCGTCAAATATCTCAGTCCCCCGCCCCCGTGACCCGGGGTGCTGGAAAGTGCCCGAAAAGTCGAGAATTAAAAAAATAAAATTAAACTCGATAGTATACGTAAAATTAGTTTTGTTTAAGAAGAGGCCTATGTCCAGCGGAGCATTTTACAGTCTGATGCAAAAAAAATATCTTACCTTCGTTTGTGATCCACTGGCCGGTTGGACGCGGCTGAAAGTAATTGTCAAGGTAAAAAATTATTTTCTATCAAACATGGATATAATTTTTTTTTAAATTAAGAATAAAATTACAAGAACGTACGTATCACCCTTATGCTCCAAAATCTGTATCGCGGCACCACCATCATTGTTGGTACAGTCGTTTGTGATTTTTTCTTCAGTCCCCGCGTAGTCTTTGCCGTCAAGTAGCGGCGCTGAAAAAACCAGTGGCAATCGTTTCGCTCTGCGTTCTGAACCATTCTTCTGGTTTACTGGTCGAAGTTCTGATTTACCTGAATAACAAGTTTAGTTGTTTAGTCGCAATAACAATTCATAGGCATAGAAAGATTAAATAAGACTTTTTATCGTCGTATGGTGGCGGCGTAAACACATCTATCACCAGATTTTGACCCGTGGGTTGTTCAGCAGTGGATTTTTAATGGTCTCGAACGATAATGATGATGTTTTCTTATGTCAATGCGAATACTATACATTATTTTGAAAAAATACCTGCAATGTTAACATTAATAATATTCCCTATTCCCTTCACCCACTTTATAAGCTCAAAATCCTTGTGTTAGTAGTGGTTCACAACAGTTTTCGAATGGCAGATTCGTACCCACGACGCTGTGAGTTCGCAGTCCACTGCCATTAGGCCTCTATCGCTTTAATATTCATGATACTCTTTTTTACGGATTCTATTGCGTTAAATTTTTTTATAATTTATTTATAGAAGTGTGGGGTGACATATAAACATATCCCGCTTGATGGCAAGTGGATGATATATATCTTCATCTATCAAATCATCTATTCAAAGCTAGGCGCAAGAAAGAACGACGAGCTGAAGGTAGGGAAATTTGGGATAGGGCAACGGAACCCAAGGGGCCAGCAGCTGGCCGAGTTCATGGAGAAAGAGGGACTCTTTATGATGAACTCTTTCTTTCAGAAGCGGCCCTACCGAAAGTGGATCTGGTCAAGCCCGGAAATATCGACAAAAAATAAGATTGACTTCATTATGGCGACAGTGATCGCAAAGGTAAAAACTGGCAGCGATCACGGAATGGTTTAAGGCACACTGAGCTTAAACGTTAAGTTTGAGAGGTATCGACTATTGAAGTAAACGCTGTGTCTTTCCTGGAATATTGGTGTTGGAGTAGTGGTGCCGGGAGTAGTGGTGCTGGGGTTAGTGGTGACGGGATTGGTGCACGCAATTGGGGGAGGGCGGAAGGTGCTCTTTAATCTAGGTAAGACACATCATTGTATTTAATTGATCGTTTTGCAAATTAACTATTAATATCTTTATTATAATGGATTTCCGCAAAGTAACGCCTGATTCTATTAATTATATTTGCTTTTAGCTACTGGAAGCATTCTAATAACGATTTTTTTTAATTTATATAGCCTCACGAATCATCCATGATAGGCATTGTTTTTTTTTTTGCGCGTATTTGTAGTGTATCTAGGGTTGCCAGCCGTACTATATCTAATTTATAGTATCGTACTATATTTCAGTAAATTTTTTTTTTATAGAAGAGGGGGCAAACGAGCATGTGGCTCACCTGATGTTAAGTGACTACCGCCGCTATATTATTTTTACTGTATTATTTTTCTAATATATACTAATTGTAGTATATATTAGAAAAATAATATAGTATGAAAAATACTACATTTTTATCCCTAATTCAACTGTCGCGCTTTTTTACATTGACTGTAATCGGAAGTCTGGAACAAGTATGTTTAACGTAAAGAATTTTTTCCATCATGAATGTAAAATTGAAATTAAAAAGAAAAAGAGCATGTATTAAATGAATTAAAAATTAATTGTTAATTTATTTTATTATGAACCTAAGTTGCTCAGACTCTAATAATTATTTCAAAAGTAATGTAGAATGTAAGGTGGTTAGATTATTAATGGCCAAAGCAAAGAGCTATAAGAAAGAATTATGGAAAAATACATAAAGATTAAAATAAATCCGTACTTTTTTCTCCTGAATTTTGAATTTTGTTTCAAGCATCTTTTTTCGAAAAAATACTATATTTGTTCAAAAAAAAGATAGCAACCCTAAGTCTACCATGCCTGACGCTAATAAAGTCTAAATATGTTTACAGACTGCATAGTGTAACTCTGGAGCGCCAGATAGTAGCAATTAATTTATTTTGAACATATACATTCAAAATAAGCGCTGCTTCTGTTCGACTACGATTTGATGAAAGAAGACATAGACATAATAGACATAAACACTCACGCCTGTCACCCAGAGGGGTAGGCAGAGACTACAGACTTCCATTTGGCACGATCCTGACACACCTCTCTTGCCTCCTTCACATCCATACACCTACGCATACATGCTCGTCGGTTAAGGGTACTCCTAATTTGGCCCGTTTTCAATAAATCGCCAATTTGGTCGATAAAGTTTCGCCTAGGACGTCCCTTTCCGACTCTGCCATTCACTTCTGCACCATAAATTTTCTTTGTCACTCTTTCCTCATTCATTCTTTCCACATGACCAAACCACCGAACCATTCCTTTCTTAATCCTGGTCACAACATCATCTTGCAAACCACACTCTTCTCTTATTACACAATTTCTTACGTCATTCAGATTCAGCCCTAACATGATGAAATAAATTAACTTATATAGCGTTTTAGTATTGAAGTAAGATTTTTTACTACTTTATTTCGTCGTGTGGGTTTCGTAAGAGGTGGCATAAAACATCACGGCCTCTGATAAAAAGCGGTATCATCAACTAAAACTAGATATCATTTTTTATACCCCTTTAGATAGGGACCTATTATATCTTGATTCTTTGTTTATAATGGATTGATAGGTATGGACAAAAGTGTTGTTCGATTCTTCATAGTGATTAACTCAAATAAAAATTAGAAATTAATTGGAAGGGTAGGTTTTCTGCAAATTTATGTAGTAACATCCATACAGTTTAAGGTATTTAATAAAAAAGAATCATTTGAATCGGTTCAATTATTTCCAAATCAGTGATCAATACATAAAAATATACGAGTCGAATATACGAACTTCTCCTTTTTAAAACCCGGTTAGAAACAAACTCGAATTACCCAATAAAGGAGGCTATATTTATTTAGCAGTTTGTTCAAATTCAGCGCAGAATTTTTCATATTTTGCTCGCATATTAACATAGTCTCCCTATATGGAGTTGTTAATGTACCAAAGAACAACGTTTCCAATTATAATTTTTTTCGGTCTAAGTTTGGTCACCAAGAATTGAAGTAATTTATTTGAAAATGAAACCTTAAGATTTATTTTTCTTGTAAAGTTTGCGAAATCGGTGCCCTTAGCAAAATCTTTTTAAACTTACGCTTTCGTATCGTACTCGATTAAAATTGTATCATTTTTTTACCAATATAAAGTTAAATTATAAGGACACAGCCCGTAATTTATTTTCAAAAAAATTGTAAATCCTTAATAAAACTGCAATAATGTAACCCAAAGAAAAGAAGCAATATTTAGCCTATAATATTAATTATTTGGCGTGCACTGAGAAAACTATAGATGATACATAAAAAATATGTACAACATCACACAACTCATTATTTCCTACAAAAAAGTCAGCGTGGGAATATATCTAAATGTTTTTATAGAATAAGGGTGACAAACGTGCACTCAATTCATGTGATGGTAAGTGAATGCTGTGGCCCATAGACATCTACATTTATCCTCGATTAAGAATCAAAACGCAGATGCGTTGTCACCCCTGAGGACTAAGATGGAATGCCTCGTTTCCAAAAAAAAGGGTCTTCGGATCTCTACACTGGTATTCTGTGAGAGCGTTGATCTTCCGCGGTCGAGCCAACCTGTTCATGCTACAACCATTATATAGCTGCAGTGTAGCTCCACCACGTATAACATCTAAATATCATAGTTTAAGTCACAATAGTAGCTTTTGTCTTCTAAAATTTAATTAGATCGCCGGTTGAAACAAAAGTTGGTTACATTCTTTAGTTTTATTATAATGAAATAGTTAAGAAATAATTTATATTTCATTTTATTTTGGCTGTACAGTTCAAAATTTTAATAAAACTAAATTTAAAGCAAAAATAAACCGATAAATGATAAAAAAAACGTTCATATTTTGTGGTTGACTGCGCGAAAACTATAAATGATATCGCTTTTGTATGTATAAAAGTTTGATAGAAAATTTATCAAGGATCATTTCGTACCTTCAGACTTTTCATGTACCGTGTACAGTAAGGTATCTTTAAAACTAAAAAACAACGCGTTTCGGGGCACTTTCTGGTGCGAGGGGTTGTGATGTTTACCCGGGACGGGGATGGAGAATGGACAAAATTTAACTTTGCTGTATAACGTACATACGCCGATAGACCAAAGCACATCATTAATTTTGCCACATTTTGAACTAAAATGATTGAACTAAATGAGTGAGGTGCGCCATGTCATGTCACGCGGCTCAGACATATATTAGACGTATGTTGTAAAAGTTGTATTTATTGTTTAAATATTTTTGGTTCCTCTTTATATATATAAAGAAATACCAAAAATATTTGAACAGCATCCCAAGCGGACGTTCATGGAACAATGTTTAGTCTTGCAAAGTCACTCAGTCAGATGGCGACACGAATTCGATGCGATAGAAAACTCACATGCTCCGTAGGTAACGACATTGAGTTAATATCCAACGTAATTAGATTCATAAATATCATTGTTTACGTACTTTAGTAATTCGTGTCGTGATACAGATATAAAGAAGAAAATAAGATAGAATGAGATAATGAGTAAGTTATTAGCTTCATTATCTTATGATATAATATAGTATTGTATTCATATATTACGAGCAAATGTAGATGAGCTTTGATTATATACCTGTCTATATAAGTAGACGAGCCTGCGGCTCATCTGATGGTAAATGACTACCGCCGACCATGAACAACTGTAACACAGTAGTAAAACGCACAGTGGTGGACTGCCAAGCTTCCAGACTGTGTGGATGGAGTTGTGAGTTTTGTCAACATGTGAGTTAGTGAATGAAAACTGGAATTATGTCTCTGCTGCCCATCTTCTGTCTTGTCCCTCTGTACCACACACTCGCAGCTATTATAATTATTGTTACTTATGTCTGTTAATTTATCTTTATATAAGACAAGTGTTTACGCCAAATTGTGGCGACTTGAAACTTGCAAGACGCGCGTCTCGGGCGAGGAATTGGGTTGCGGGGGGGGGGGGGGGTTCGCTTTTCGGTTGTACGCGACGGCCGTGTCGATTAGAGGTCGGGCGTTACGTAAGAATCGTTAGGTCGCGTTACGACTACCTCCTTTGTGTTGTATTATTTTGTAAGTATACGTGACAGCGACGCCTTCTTTGAGTTTGAGTGATTACTTTATCTTCGATTGCCTTTAATTTGCGCCGACGAGTGGCTTGTGTAGTTAATATTGTACGAATGAATTTTGCTTTGTCGTGTGGAACGCTAAACTTTGTGATCCGGGTGGAGATCGCGTTCGATTATAGTTTGTGCTAAGTGACGTTAGACTTGAGTTCCGATAGCGGGAACCCCCACTGGAGTGATTGCGCCTTGTGGAGGAGTCAACGCATGTGGTTATGCTATTTGATTACATCGGTGAAGTCAGGTTACATTACACACCTTTCTACACCACTCACACATACCATTTACTTGCCCCTGAGGACACCTTGTGGTCGACCCTACCTCCGGAACTCGGTAAGTTTGTGTTTGCTTATACAGCTATTATAATAATTATCCATAGGCCATTTAGGCCCTCCCCTCAGTTGCTCGTTGAGTTGGTTTACTATGAACCCTAGCTCAGTCGACTTTTGTCGGGGCAACTGAGGGCCGTAACAACAAGTCATATCTATCATGACTTACTGATTAAAGGAAGAGTGGACTTATCCTAATACAGGTTTTTCAAACTTAAAAGGGTGAGATCCATATCTAACGTCGTAAATGAGACTTGTGTTATGAATAAATATTTCTGTATTTTGTATAATATCATCAGTAAATCTAGCTGATAATTTCAATGAAAAATATCACATACCTATATTCTCGTACATATTTCTGAAATTCTTCAACTCTGGATCATATTTCACTTCCTCTGGCAGGCCCACCCATAGTTGCAACGTATCAAGAGTCACTTCACCAGAAGGCACTAGTGAGTAGCTGCTCCGGGTCATCTCATGACTTGAATCTTTCTTCGAACCTTTTGAGGCATTCCATAGCCTCTCCATTTTAGTTCCAAGCCCTAATAACTGCGCCTATACCGATTACCACATTAGTGCTTACGGTTTATCTGTAAAAGGATTTTTTTGCATTTAGAAGTTGTTATTTATTGCCTGAAAATATGGCCGCTCAGGTTTTGGCTTGGGTAGAGAGATATTAGGAATTTTCTGCTGTAAATTAATAATTTTAAAAATAGTGGATTATCTAACGCCGTAATTGCTGTATATTGTTTATTTTATAGAATAAGGGTGACAAACGAGCACACAGTGCACCTAATGGTAAGTGAATGCTGTGGCCCATAGACATCTAAATTTATCCTCAATAACGAATCAAAATGCAGATATGTTGTCACCCGTGAGAATTAAGATGGAATGCATCATTGTATGCTAACTAATAGCGGAAGGTTGCAAATTAATCAATATCTTTATTATAATTTATCTTTTTACGTAAATAATTTCGAGTAATATATTTTGAAATAATTGTGATTTTGATACTGCCGACATTCGCTCTTCTCATTCGTAATCTAATTTTAATTAAAATAAGTCATCGACTAAGTTATTGATGACGGTGCCAACTAGCCTATTGAACAAAAGGGGCTTGACCAGGCGAGACATTTTATAGTAAAAATTAGGAAAATTAAAAATTTTGTACAACCAACTTCAATATAAATAAAATGAGAACGTCAACAATATATTTATAGTCAATTTATTACGCATTATTAAGGATAACTTAAAAACTACAGGTCAGAACTTAATCAAATTCATACAGGACCACATGAGAAGCATCAGCTTTCAAATAAAAAAGAGTCATTAAAATCGGCTCTCCCAGAAAAAAGTTATGAGGTAACGCACATAATAAAAACATACAGCTGAATTGAGGAATTCCTCCTTTTTGAAGTCGGTTAAAAAGACTGAACGATATTTTAATTGTCAAAGATAACCATCATTTACTCTATCTTCAGCCTATCCACAGCTAAATAAAAACTCTAGCAATTTCAGAACGTTTCCTCTAATAGACACTCATAAAGATTTATTGATTGATAATGATCCGTGGTAGCTCAAAGGCTTAGCGCTAGTGTTATCCAAAATCGGTCTTGATTTTTCTTAAATTCATTTATTATTAAAAATACAAAATTTAGTTTTTAAATATACATATTCCCACAAAACTGCTTACACAGTTTGTCCGTAGGAACATTTGAGTCTCATTTACATGATATATAATATTAATACTAAGCACTGAGACTTGCCAATAAATATTTCTTTAATTTATTTTTAAATATGTTTTTTACTGGTTCACGTCGAATGTCCTCAGGCAAACTATTGAAAAATTACGGTAGTCGTTTCTTTAAAGTTCTATCCCCGAAGTAGTTATTTACTTTTGGTACAACAAATTTGCCTGCAGACACTGGCCGTATACCCTGACCATGCTTGACCAGTATTAGAGTACGGTCTCAACAGTTGTAATTGTTTATGGCAAGTAATTATTTATGTTTTAAACTAACTGAGAGTATTTTGCAGATTTTAAATAGTTTTTTGTAATCGCCTCTACAAATAACTTTAGTTTTTTATTAACAAGTAACTTTAAAAATCTAATTTTTAATGCTTCAAGCTTATCAATGTAGGTTTTAAATGTAAGACCATAACTGTCAATAGCGTATCCCAAAATCGAATCTACCAATGAAAAATATAAGCATTTTAATGTAGCAGAAGGAACTTTAAAACTTAAGTGATAAAATTTGCTTAGAAGTAATCTTAACTTATTACATACATAATCTACATGGCTGAACCACGAGGCGTTAGTTTCAACTTTAACACCGAGGTAGGTTACACAATCGACTTTTTTCAATATAATTTTTATAATCACATCGACAATTATTTAGACTATTATGGAGGCACTCAAAGTTATGAGTATACATTTGAGGAGACGAGTCAGTAGGACGTAGATAAGGCGACTGAATGATAAGATACTTGGTTTTATCTGAGTTTAAGACGACTATGTCTTGCTGTAATAGGTGACATGTCTCCATGAGATTAGTACCAGCACGTAATATACATAGGTCATCTGTGAACATGTATGAAGAGCTATGCTGAAGTACGTCATATAAGCTGTTAACATGCAGTAAGTAGCAAATAGGCCCACATCCCGAGCCTTATGGCACCCCGCACCTCACCTCAGTCGCCTCACTAAACGTGTCACCAACCTTTACACGGAAAATGCGTGATGCAAGATAGTCACGGAACCACTGGTTTAACGGTTGTCCCACGCCACATTCGTCCATTCCATTTAAGAGTGTTTCTGTTTCTAAGGTATCAAATGCTTTTTTGAAATCGTAAAAAATAGCAACGACAAATTTTTTATCTCCTAAATATGAGTTAATTTCGTCAGTAAATTTTGATAATAATGTATTCGTACTGTTAAGAGGCCGATCCCGTTTGACTTTTAAAAAAAACACCAAATAAACCTAAAGGTTTATTGTAAAAGTTCACACACCAAATTAATATAGTCCCTGACTTCCGAACTCTAATACGTCTAGGAATCTATGTCCGATCTACCCGGGGCTCTGAGTCTAAGTGATCATTAAAAATGGAATAAAAACGAACATGGAAAGGAACAATATAATTGCTGACTATAGCTATATTAAGGAAAAGTACCGTTTGATTAAATAAATGCTTACTAATATTTTATTGCCTTGTAAAATGGGATATTACAGCCCCCCCCTTTTGACTGAGCTTTTTCTAAATTAAGATAAAGCGAAGATTCGAAATAGAAAAGCGATTAGAGGTCGGAAGACATTACAAAATATGAAGATAGGAAATTAAAAATTGTAGTAAAATATTGCAAATCAAACTCATAACAATATAAAAACTTTCGAACTAAATTTTACATAAAGATACAATAGTATTATTCGTTAACTAACTAAGTTATACAAAAGAGACAGAGTAAAATTCAAAAAATAATCAATTTAAAATTAAGTAATAAAATTATACAAAAATGAATTAGTAAAATATAAAATTAAAAGTATTTGGAGCGAAATAGTAAAATTGGAAATTAACTTGTATTAAACAAGGTAATTAATAAATTGTAATTTCAATTACAGTTACATAAATTGCATTGAAAATAGTAAAATATAGCAATTACAAAATATAAAATGACAGAGTAGAAATTAATTGTATGACAATAAAAACGATTATTTGTGTTAACACAAAATATTTAAAACTAAAATTGAATAAAATTAGAAATTAAGATTTCTTCGAGAGGAAGAATGAACCTTGTGTACAGTTTGATAAGGCTTATAGTTAGTGCAATTTGGTAAAGATTTTAGTGAGATATTATCTTCTTCAGATGTCGATTTATCGGTCATCTCAATTGAATTTGTAATTTTAGAATTGTGTTTCAATGACTTTTTATTATTACATTGATTAAATATTTGTATACAATATGCACTATTATAGTAACGATTTCTGCAGCATTTAAATAATTTATAGGCAAGGTATAAAAATGTAGTACTGTGTAGCCATATTTAATAAAATGTGATTCTTTTTGAAGTTAATTCAAATTATAAACTATCCAGTTCATGATTTGCATATTTGATAGTTACGGTTCTTTTAGTATTGGGCTTTGTATTTTTTATGCGGATTGCAGCATTTAAATAATTTATAGGCAAGGTATAAAAATAGTAGTACAATTAAAACATAAGTAAATGTTGAATAGTATGAGCCATATTTAATTGTGTTCTTTTTGAAGTTAATTCAAATTATAAACTCCAGTTATGATTGCATATTTTAAAGAATCTAAGTTAACTTTGCTTGAAGAGATTGGCGTTAAATGTGGTAAACTTTTATTAAATATGTCCTTTTTTGCGACAATCGTCTTTCGTTATATCAAAATTTATATCTATGGTTGATTTGATCGAAAATTAGTAAATACTTGTTGGCAATAATTGAATAGTTTTGGAATAACCCATACAATTTTTGGTTAATTTGACAATACCTGTGCCAATAATGGAATGATTAGTAATGTCGTCATCACATTTGATAGTTAATTTATTTACATTAGATTGTACAGTAGATAAATCCATCTATTATTTTTTTAATTTATGCCGAATATCGATTTGGCCAAATAATAACCTGGCGTTACACTCAGAATGTAAGGAAAGAGTTACTTCCGTTAGTAATTTAGATTCACAATTAGGATTATTTACATTAGACGTTATAGTAAATAGTTCACAAATATAGTAGTTATTATTAATGAAATTACATTCATCTAAGTTATTAAACATAGTATAATGTATTCTATCGTCACTTAACCTATCACTCACTGCGCCCGCCATAACAAAAAAAGAGCTTTGTACCGAGGCGTCCATCGTCACCTCAGCTGGCGGCACTTGTTTTAAATATTTATGTTTCTCACGACCTTTCATTTATGTTTAAAGTGGTTTTAGTTACAGTTATTTAAAGTCGATAAGATTTTTGATAAGTAGATACAATAACCATAACATATAAATGTTTATTTTATTTTGTACAGCTCTTTGTTTCTAACGGATCTTGATAAAGTGTACTTACTGACGATAAATTTTATTTTATGAATGAAATATCGTAAGTTTTTATTTTATTTTTATGTACTTACAATCAATACAACATATTCTTCCTAAATGAACCGAAATTATGCATGTAATAATTATAATAATTCTACTTTTCCACTTGCAAACATTTGCTAAAAATTCGACAATAGACAGTTTGCGTGCGCTTACTAAACTCATTTTCAAAACCTTTTTGTGTATATATTTTATATCGTCTTCCTTTATTTTTTTTATACAATCATATAGATATAACATTTAGCAATTACTAGTAAAAGTATTTACCATGGTATTCCAATAAGAAATATACTATTATTATCTTATTAGAATCTTATTAGAAATCTTGACCGTTACGAATTGTTCGCGTGGAGGTTTTTTATTTCTACTTTTTTATCAATTGAAACATAAAAAGTTACTGTTGTTGTAACTTAA